CCCTGTCGTCTGTTGGCCTTTATTACCCTTATTATTACGCAATTCGTTTTTAGGAGACACACCGTGATTACTTCTGCTGTTATGTGAAATTTACGCGATCAATCGGTATTTTTTTATGATGGGGGCAAACGAGCAGGCAGGTCACCTAATAGAAAGTGACTACCGTCACTACTACTACTACTACAATAGGTATTACATAATTTTGTACTGCCCGACGTTTCAACCAGAAGGCGAATTCTCGTAATAAAAGTTCGGTCACAATTCAGTTCTGATTAACTCTCGATCTCGCAACTGTCATTAAAGGTATTTTCGTAGTAAAATAGTAAAGTATTACTAAGATTAGCAGATTACCGATTCAATTTTCGGTTACAATAATCGTATCGTAACCGAAAATTGAATCGGTAATCTGTTATCGATTCAATTTTGTTGACTGTAATGTAGTTACCTATAATAGCTAATTATACATTACAGTCAACATTCGATGTTTAATACTTTAGTACCAAAATATCTTTTTTGACAGTTGTAAGATCGAGAGTTGATCAGAACTGAATTCTGACCGAACTTTTATTACGAGAATTAGCCTTATGGTTACAGTGGTTGGTGCTGTACGTTTACGTGTTTGTAATGATTTATTGAGCGCGTATGAGTGTTATATAATTGTTGTGGAACTAAACTTAAGTATAACTTATTTAATTGATAAATTATATTTATATCGACAACCTGAAGATACACAGAAAGAAATCAGTGCAATCGAGAAAAAAAAAATTGAGTTTTTAAGTTTAATTATATTTTAGACATTTCTTCTGCTACATAATTAATTGATCTAAGATTAATTACTCAATAGATTATTAATTCGGTATAATAATTTTCATTAGTTTTCAAAAACTGCTTTGAAAGGCTATTGGATTTACTATATTTTGAGACTACAAAACTACTCGTAAGTCGATGTCAACAGTATAAAACTTAAAAAAAACCTAAATCAATTAATTACTACAAAAGTTTTAATCTATTAAGGCAATACCACTGAAGGTTGTTACAAAGTCGTTTGAGAGCTTACTGATTATAATTTATCCGTTAACGCAAATATCTCGAAGCCATAAATCAGTACAAATTTCAAGGTGAATTACAGACTGTTAATAGTATATGACCACCTTTATTAATGTTAAATTCTAAACTATTAGAAAAAAATATTAATCTATACATATAAAATTACTTGCCCTGACTGATTTTCATCTAATCATTCTTCATTTTTCATCTAAATCGGTTCAGCGGTTTAAGCGTGAAGAGGTAACAGACAGACAAACACACTCACATTTATTTATAATATTAGGATGGATTAGTATGGATGTATTGTAAATATTTTCGAAAGCGTTGTCATTCGTCGTGACGAATCTGTATATATATATATAAGAAATTTCCACGTATATAGTCACTCATCACGATATCTCTGGAACCATTAGAGCTAAAGACTTGAAATTTGGTAGGAATATTCTTTTCACCGAGTAGAGGTCAGCTAAGAATCGGAGTAAGCTAAGAGTCGGATTTTAAGAAATTCATAAGAAAAAAAAAAAAAAAAAATGTAAATAGCAAAACAAAGTTTGCAGGGTCAGCTAGTACTATATAATAGTAATAATAATCTGCTCATCCGTTACCAAATCACACACGCGCACTAATCTATCTTTACAATAGAAGAAGGGTGAACATTTTATGATAGGGGAGGAACTGACTGCACGGATGGCATAGTGTTTTAAGCGGTCACCACGCCGCTTACTACTACGCTAAGTGCTGTGGGTCCGATCCCCACGTGGGACTACACTTTGTGTGATCCACAAATTGTAGTTCTGAGTCTGGGTGTTCTTTGTGTCCGTTTCATGTATGTTTGTAAAGTCCCTCGCTACACAGGATATACTTATTCCTAATGCGGGAGTTGTCTTTAAAAAAAAAAGAAAAACGTTCTAGGCCGTAATTCAAATAAAATGAGAATTGTAAAAAAGTATAGTCTAAAAAGATTACGAGTTATAACAATTTATGTAATAAGTAACTTATCTAATTTTGACCTGTAATCTCAGAGTAACTAACATACGCAGTAAATTTTGCACTATGCATTATTTATGTTAATGTCTGCTTTAAGAGATAAACAACGTACGTATCGCTACAAATTAATATGATTACCTATGCATTATTCGTGTTTTATTTCTATTATAATTCTGGGTCAACTAGCACTCACTACGTTTTCAGTTAAGTTTAATGTTGTCCCAATTTTGGACGTAAATAATATATGTAAAGATACACATTATATTTTTATTGCCGCATTCACATCTGTATAAACAAGTTAATTATTAAAATAATACCTTGTGTGAAAATGTATAATGCAATTTACAATTTTTATAAAACCAGTGTCACTGGTTTGTGTATTCTTACGATTAAGACGAATCTAACAACACCTGAAGCGCCAAAATCCATGTGTTTAGGTTCGAAAAACGTTCCCTTCTGACACAGACGGGTAAAAATGCTTCTAAGGACAGAATTCCTATTTAAAAAAAAAGAAACAACTCTCGTGCTAGGAATATATATTGTGTCGCGGGGGACTTAACAAACATACATGAAACGGACACGAACAGGCTCCTAAAGCAGGATGGATAATATATTGTCATCCAGAAAGTAATTAAATCCTTATTTAAAATCATCAAAATGTTTTACAAGCAATATAACAACAAGTTTGATATTAATCACATTATTTCGTAACTTAATCAAAACTGTACATACTCCATTGTAACGAATGAAGTACTAGGTAGATATTAATATCCTAAAATACTAAGAGTTTGACCATTGTTATCGAAATGCGTGTCAGAATGTCAAGTGTAGCGGGCGTCCACCAACGCGGCACGGCGCGGTTCGATGCGCGCGCACCGACCTAAAATTTTCCTTCTTCGTATTGAATCGGCTAGTCGCTTTTCCTAACCTCAAAACTTACACCGAAAACAGCTGTTTCATAATTCGCGTTAAACAAACAGTATTAATACATTAACAGCACGTACAATCACACGGCACGGCTAGACGCTTCGGATGCTATTACGAAATTGTTTAAATTTAGAACCTGAATATATATTTTTTCAATTTACGGCTTTCTTGGCTTTCATTCAGTTCCCAGCCAGTCGGAATCTCGGATAGATGTGCTCGCGTGAAATTCAGTCGTGAAATTGTCATTCAGTTTAAAAACTTCTGTTGTTGATGTTATAGTATATTATTTCTATAAATGAAGTTTTATCGTGTTTTAGGTTACTTTTATGATACAAAATCATATATGTGCTTTTTATAGAGTTAAGTGTGCCTAGTGTTAATTTGTAGACATGTACCCGTGTATTAAATAACTTTAGTTAAGTGTACTTATCGAAAAATGGAAGAGTACGAGTATGACTTCGCCTACGAGTGCCGGGTGGGTACATCTTTTTTAAGTATTTCTGTATCAAATATTTTCCATATGTGCAAATGTTTGATTCAATGCAGGCAAAGAATTACGCACGCGACTGCGCCTTGAAAACAAAACAATACCATTTTTATTACAAGGATATTAAAATGTTAGTGTGTCTAATAAATTGCTTCTATTTTCTTAATGCTGCACTATATTTCTTTTTAGTATAGAACCAACATGGGACATGTTTTATTGATTTTTGTTACCACTAAGGTGGAAAACAAATATCCAAAATGCAACATTATAAATTGTCAGTAGCGCGATGCCAAAACTGTTTGCCTTATAAAGCCCATATAGTAAATCTCACGCTTAGTGCGCGTAATAAATATAATTAATAAATACGACATCAGCGCTTTCTGCGTTTACATCATTGAGGTGGAAAACAAAGGTTCCCCGATGCTTGCCGCAAAACTGATTGGTCACTAGTGTGTTGTCGACTGTGGTGCTAATTCTGTTGTTCGAAAACTCTCTAAACTAAAAATCCCTAAGAAAAATATTCCTGCCAAATTCTACGTTTTCAGAACAGGAAACATTATTTGAAAGGACGAAATTATTTTTTACTGATTTTTAGTTTAGTTTAGAGAGTTTTCGAACAACAGAATTAGCACCAATGTAGAACCAAAAGACTTAAAAAAATATGCACTTCAATGGTTTAATAGCTAGCACAATGCCACCCAAAATAAAAACCGGTACTCGATAAATTACAATACTGGACGAACCGATGTTTCCTTATACGAAATGTCGTACTTTTGTAATACTTTCATTGCATCGGTCAGTTACCTTTGGAGACTGAGTTTTTGCGATAAAATAGAGCAAATAAAAAGTGTCCACGACGTTATACAAGGATCTGTTTTATGGGTATTACAATATACTAGCATTTATTGTAGCGTAGAACTAAATGAAGCGGAGATTCTAGGAGATTCTGAGAGTTATGTCTTGTATTGTCGACCATGACAATTAAATAATACATCCACCAATTTATATAGTTTCTTTCAAGCGAGTATTCTCAGACTATAACAAACCGCGTACCTCAACTGCAAGCGGAGTTACGGAGGTATAAATAAATAAACTTATGAAAATCTATAAACTTATGAAAAATGAAAGTTACGAAGAAATTGTGTTTGACTGTAATTCCGAATTAATTTCGTATGGTAGATGAAAAATCTGTCCTTATAGCTGTCTCCAATAGGTACCTTTTATTAAAAAACTAACTAAGGGGGGACGGACTTGGAGCAGGTTTCATTTCTTTTTAAAATGTAGGTGGAAGTAGTATTAGTAAGTCTTAAAAATTTACTGGAAAACATTTAATAATGTGACAGTCGGTATTTTTTAACCTGTTTAAAATTATCGTTTGAAAAACTAAACGTTCAATCGGTTTTATCATCAGAGATGATAAGGAAGACATTTATACAAAATATTACTTAAATAATGTTAATAAATATGTCACTTTATAAAACAGCTATGACATTTTAAACTAATTATCTATTGTTAAAATGTAGCTTATAGGTATAAAATTATTTTTTTTCAGCGTCTCGTGGAGGCGATGGCGCCTCGGTCAGCGCGGTCCTTCCGCCAAGAGTTTAACATGCAAGACTTGACCACAGAACACACGTACACAACGCACTATACCACAGAAAAGTAAGTACTTAGTATTGCTAGTAGTAAATTAGTAAATTATGCATATAATTTTATTGTAGGTGCGGTATTAAAGCATGCAAACTGATAAAAATTATTCCTTTCTAAGCAGATACACCAAATCGTCACATACGACAGAGCTAGACGGTCAACCAGTTAAATCAATGACCAATGGCAAATTAAACTCACCTAACTATACAACGAAAACAATAATAACAGATGACGACAGACCCGACGTTAGAAAACTTAAACGGGTCCACAGAATGTACGAAGGACCAAATATTATTGAATCTAAAGGTATATTGCATCCCGAGACCAGAGAAATACTCACAGTTGGTCAAGCGATCAGTATGAGAATACTTGACGTACGAACCGGCAGATTATTATCTTCCCCTGACACAAGGCAAACGATGACCATAGATCAGGCAGCCCAAGAAGGTCTTATAGACCCGAAACTGGCTGCTAGATTAACCGGACCTTGCGGCATGACTGAAGATGGTAATGAAGTAACGTTGCTAGAAGCGATACAAAGAGAACTATATGACGCCGAACAAGGACTTGCTGATCCAGCCGAGAAAAGAATCAAGGTAACTGTCGAATCTGAACAATCGGCCCAAGGAATGAGTATCTCTGATGCCCTTAATCGTGGGCAAGTAGATTTACAGAAAGGTCTATATAGACTACCGAATGGAAGCTACATTACAATAGCAGAGGCGTACCAAAGGGGTTACCTCATCTACAATGAGATTATAAAAATAAAATCAAGTGCTCTGTGTCTGTCTGACGCTATTAGTCAAGACTTAGTTGATAACAGTGGTTGGATTCTGGACAGGAATTCGGGTGACAAATTCCAATTAGACGTAGCTATTAAAAACGAATTAATCAACCCTAACATTAGAGAAGTAGTTGATCCTAAAAATGATACAAAAATAACGCTTGCTGAAGCAATAGAAAAAAATATAATAAATACTAAACACTCCAAATACGTACACAATATAACTAAAGAGAAACTTACTTTCAAAGATGCAGCGGTCAAGCGGTTTATTTGTAAACCCATGACGCTAAAAGATGTTTGTGATAATAACCTTATGACTAATGATGGTAAAATATTTTCGCCAGCAAATAGGGCTCCCTTAAATATTCTGGAGGCAATATCTGCGGGTGTTCTTGATAGTGATAACGTAAAATGCATTACTAATACAACAACAGGAAGTCTCCTAACATTATCAGAGTCGTTAGGTGCTAAAATAATTTTACATGACAATAAGTTCCGTGATAATTTAACAGGAGAAATTTGTACCATCCCTGAGGCGGTAGATCGTGGTTTGATTACTTCCGTATCTCAAAGATCGATATTTGATATTGACGGTTTTAAAGATCCTAAAACAGGTGAATTTGTCTCATTCAATAATACAATAAGCAAAGGTAACCTTAAATACGTAAATGGTGAAACTTTTCTTAAGTCAGAAAGTGGAGACTGGGTGTTCTTAGAAGACTGTACTAAAGTATCTTTAGTTAGGGCTGAAGTATTAGAAATGTTAAATCGTAAGATAGGTGTTTATGATAATGGTAAAGAACTGTCAGTTTTAGATGCCGTATTTAAAAATATACTTGACCCGAAAACGGGTCATTTATTAGACGCGACCACTAAAAAGCCTATACCTTTTAATAAAGCCGTTGAAATAAATATGATAACACCTGAAGGCGCGGCCTTATTAAACTCTCTCCTTAATATCATTCTCACTTTACAAACTGTTACGAAAACAGTGAAGCGTTACGTAACAGTAACAAATACTAATACATCTCAAAGATCTGAAACAATAATCACATTTGCTGAGGCAATTAGACGCGGCCTCATAGATGAGCATACACAAACATTCACAGATCCAACTACAGGTACTGTGTTCCCCATTCAACAAGCGCTAGATGAAGGATTGCTAGGTGTAGAAAAGAATGAACCGCGCGTTGTACATATATCGGATCGTGTTTCTAAGAAAGATTTAATTCCAGGTCAGGTTGTAGAGCTTAAAATCACAAAAAAATCTTTCATAAAAGACATGCCGCCTAGTCCTGAGAGTAAAGTTTTAAGAGATAATAGACCTGAGACTTTAAAGAGTCCGGATTATACTATTCGTGAAAGTAGTCAAATTCGCGAAAATGATAGCAGAGTGGCCATTTCAAAATCCTTTGTCCAAGAACCTTCTGTTACATCTATGACTATTAAAAAGAACACTATAGAATTTCCATGCGGGGGTTGGACGTTACAAGAAGCTATACAACAAAACCTTTTCGACCCTGACACTGGCATGTTCATAATACCAGGAACAGACAGAGTTCTGGAGCTTGGAGAGGCTTTGCGGCTCAACATTATTAATGCTGATTCAGCAATTGTAATAGATCCTAGAACTAACAAAGAGTTCCCTCTTAATAGAGCTTTAGAGAATGGTATGATTAATAATACAGGTCATTATAAACTTGTGACCGAAATCTTGACTATGAAACAGGCAATTGAGCGCAATTACATCATATATATTCAACTAACTAAAACCGTGTCTACTCAAAAAATAATAACTATAACGTCCGTCGCGGGTATGCCTGACAAGATGGAAATATCGGAGATGGATACGCATTCGCAGAAGCTTTTAGATGAGCAGTCCGTTTTAGAACCTGTTCAAGTATCACCAGGAGTAATATTCGACCCAGCAACGGCTTTAATTATTTCCACCTCGTCAGGTGTATCCGAAAATGTACTTGAAGCTGTAGAACACGGCATTATATCTTCTAATATTGTCCAAGTGATTAACCCGCGGTCGGGTCAGGCTATTCCATTAAATCGCGCTGTAGAGCAAGGTATCATCGATCTAAGAACAGATGCGTATGTGGATAAAACTGGAAAAAAAATTAAACTTGTAGATGCCGCTAAAGTAGGTTTGATTACTGTTATAGGAGCACCTTTAGTAGCAGCATCTAAGGTAATTCAAGTTGTTAGGAATACTATGGTCCTAGATCCGCAAACAGGTGAAAATGTACCTTTGGAAGTAGCATACGAACGGGGCTTAGTAGACCCAGTTGTATATAAACAGTACGAGGAGTCTATTAGAGATAGATCCCCAGTTACTGAGTTAACTGAAGAAATAAAAACATCAACTACTACAAATGTAACATATTCCCAAGTTACTACAAAAACCATGCCTACAGAAACTACTGTAACCGTTGTGGTCGACCCTAATACTGGAGAAAATTTACCAATAGAAGTAGCTTATGAAAGAGGTTTAATTGATCCAGTATCGTTTAAAAAGTACGAACTGTCAATCAAGGAGAAATCACCTGAGTTCTCCCAAAAGGTCTCTCAAATGCCTAGCGAGATAACATTTACTCAAGTACCGAGTGCAACTACTCCGGATACATACATAACAATGATAGTCGATCCTAAAACTGGCGAACAATTGCCAATTGAAGAAGCATATAGACGCGGTATTATTGATTCTGTTACATATAAAGTATATCGCAATGCACTTTCTGTAAAACAAAATGTTTTTCAATCTGGGTCAGAAGCAAAAAGTGTGCCAGGAGGAAGCTCCGTCACTTTTTCACAAATTACTTCAAAACCAATATCGGTTGGTGCAGCAGTTTCTGAAGGTTTTATAACTGTTGAATCTATACAAAATAGTATTCTAGCTGATAATAGAAAGGTTGTTGAAACTGTTAACATTAACAAACCCAAAGGTCATCCGACTGATGTAATTCAAATAAGTAAGTCATCTATTGGTCAAAAACCTAAATATAAAATAAATATCAGTAGGGAACAAACTCCAGAAAGTACAGTTATGGAAGGAAAACCCGTTGTCTTACAAAAGCTAAGGAAACAAGTTATTTTGCCTGTGGAAGCTGTTGAAAGAGGCTTAATTAACCACGAGACAGCTAAACTTTTAGATGCTGTGAAACAATATAAGGATAATAATGGGTCTCCTATAACACTTGAGAAAGCCATTGAACTAGGGTTAATTGATGAAAATAAGGGCCACATTATTGATCCAGTTCATGGTGATGCTGTTACGATAAAAGAAGCACTAAAACGAGGCATATTAGAAGGAGAAGGACAAAATGAAGTATTGATTCCTCTAGCTAGAAGTTTATCTGTGGCAGAAGTAATTGAACAGGGACTATTAGACCCAGCTACCGGTAAAATTATTCATCCCGAAACCGGAAATCTGTTAACCTTGAGAGAAGCTATCATTTGCGATATTGTTGATCCCTTATCTAGCATTACCTTAGCACCTGGAAAAAAAATTACATTAACAGAAGCCATCGAAAGAAATATTATCGACAACGACAAAAATATAGTCAAAACTAGTGAAGGTCCACTTGATTTTGTGGCAGCTGTAAATGCTGAGCTATTTCCTGCTACGCATTTAAATGCCACAGAATATATTCCCCCTGCTGCCATGACCCTAAATATCGCAGTTCAGAAGAACTTGATACATCCACATACTGGAGAATTGAGACATCCTCTTACTGGTGAACTAATCCCTATTAACGATGCCGTCAAAAAAGATCTAATCATGTCTATACCCTATCCTCAAACTTCGAAAACAATTACATTAGAGGAAGCTCTAGAGAAAGGTGTTTTAAATTTAAAACATGCTACATTTGTGGATCTAGATACTAAGGAAGTAATCTCGTTAGATAGAGCCTTGGAACAAGGGCTACTCTCTATCAAGCGTGAAACAGATGCACAGGCAACGGGTGTAGTAACAACGTTTACGGAAACGTTCTCTTCCGAACATACTATCACGACTAAAATGATTGAGCTTCTTGCTGATTATGTACTAATAAGTTCGAACAGAATACAAAATACAAGGACGGGTGAAATACTATCCATCGAGGAAGCACGTAGGAAAGGCATTGTGAGAGACGAACAAACAAGTAAAGAACAATTCATTACCAGTGACTCGAATATAACCTTTGCTGACGCTCTAAATCTTGGTTACGTAAATATGGAGGCTGGTACATTTACTCACCCCAAAACTGGTGAAACAGTAACGATATCGGAAGCGATTGAAAGTGGCACCCTAAGTACCGAAGTTCCTTCAGAACCAATTAAAGTAACTCCTAAACCAGAGAGTTTAGAATTGCTAGATTTAAATGAAGCGTTTGAACTTCTCTTTGATGAGAAAACCCAAAAGTTCAGAGACCCTAAATCACCTAATAAAGTGCTAACATTTAAAGAAGCACTAGATCAAAACATAATTAATCCTGATTCTGTTATTTATAATGTTGAAGCAGCTAAACCAATAACGTTACAAGAAGCATTAACCACTGGATTGATTGACAAAAAAACAGGCAAGTTAAAGGATACCAAAAGTGGTAAATCTATTGATGTTAAAAAGGCAGCAAAGATGGGCTTGATAGCAGTTGTTGCAGCTCCAGTGTTAGCTGGCATGGCAGTAGTACAAGGAGCCAAAGCAGTAACCAGCAAAATCTTACAACCGAAACAAGAAAGAGTCGTTGAATCGCCGAGTCGTATTAATTCGGTACAAGAAACTATTAAATACGATGAAAGTAAAACACTGGAAGGAAATAACAAGAAACCGGAAGGAAAGAAAATTGACTCAAAGGGTATACTGTCACCTGCAGAAAGAACTAAAACAATGACTAAACAGGAAGAAAAATCAACAAAACTGCCTGAGAAACATAAAGTACATGAAATTGTTACTTCCGAAAGTACAGTTAAAGCCACTGATATAGACACCCCAACTGTAGAAAAGAAGAACATTGCCATCGAAACGAACATTGCCACTGAAAAAATAGATTCAAGTAAAGAAAAGACTCCGGGTAAAGTTTCTTCAACCCAAGAATTATCAGAAATATCGCCATCGATGAAACCTCATGTACTAAAAGATTTACCCTCCGAAAAACAATCGAAGCTTGAAGAACTTCATAGTCAAAAGGAAATTCCACTAAAACAATTAGAACCGCAGAAAGTTGAACAGTTTAAGCCCAAACAGGTAAGTAGTGACAAGACTGTAGTTACTGAATCAACTGTTATAACAAAAGATTTAAAAAAAATTGACGAAGATAAGCCAAAAGAAAAAGACTTTGCGCAAGGTAAAGATATTATTGAAAAACCCAGCCCAACTAAAGATATGGAACATGTTGTATTTGAAGAAAAACCAGTAATACAAGAATTTAGAAAAATGACTTCTGATGGTGAAGAAATTGTGACTGTGGTGAAGAAAAGTACAATAATTAGGACTGAGTATGATATTGCAGAAGAAGCAGCAGCGGAAGAACCTAAATATGAAACGTATAAAAATCTGTTACACAAAGATCTGCCTGTGAAAGATGAATTACAGTCACCTCAAAACCGTTTAGGAACCGAAACCCAAGCTGCTAAACCTGATTTGGAAAAGGAAATTAAACCTATTATCGAACATCATAAAGTTATTCAAGAACTATCTTATATACCTGATAACCAAGAAATTTCATTACCTAAAGAAAACATTAATGAACGAATGACGAAAACAAGTGAAGAACGACCAACAATACAAGAAATACATGAAAGTACACCAGATGGGAAACAAATCACAATTATTAGCAAGTCCAAAGTACGTTCATCAGATCCAACTGAATTCGTTACTGAACATAGTAGCACAATTGTTACTTCAATGTCATCCACCGTCACTACTACTGTAACTGAGATAACACAAAGTGAATCATATCAAGTAGTAACAGAAGAAGTTGCTGGCAGTGAAAGTTCGACAGCTACAGATGTACAAAAATACTACGTCACAGAAGCACCTGATGAAACTGATGATGCTCAAGTTGCATCGCAACCATCTTACACTGAAAAAGATACTAAAACAGTTGAAATAAGTGTCGCGAAACAAGGCTCTATACCATCAGAACGAACAGAATATCCTCAAGAAAAACCTCAAGTTGAAACAGGTGCAAAGGATATTACACCAAAAACTAGTAATCAAAAAGATGACAAATCTACACAGCCCTTAGAAGTAGCTCCTGGGGTAATATACGATCCTAATACTTCAACAGTAATCTCCACACAGATAGGTGTTGCTGAAAATTTATTACAAGCTGTACACAAAGGTATAGTGCCGTCAGAAACGGTAAAAGTCATTGAACCTAATACTGGTAAAGAAATTACGTTACAAGAAGCTATGAAGAAAGGAGTTGTTGATATCAAATCTGGAGAAGTAAAAGACAAAACAGGTAAAAAATTAAGTGTAGCTGATGCTGCTAAGTTTGGGTTAATAGCAGTTGTAGGCGCGCCAATTATGGCAGCTGCTAAAGTTGTTGAAGTGGTAAAGAACGTAGTTGTGATTGATTCTGAAAGTGGTAAGAAGATGTTAAAAGACAAAGCACGCGAAAAGAGGCTAGTGGACGATGATACTTACAAAACATGTGAAGAAGCTATGAAAACTCAACCCGCCGAGGGAATCGTAACTGAAGTAATTCAGCAAACTTCATTGGAACGGCCAAATGAAGTCACTCTCATTGAAGAGGTCGTTGAACACTATACTACTACTAAAACTACAACACGTCCAGATGACATTATTATTACAGAAACAACGGAATATACCAAACCAGTTATCTCTGAATTTACAAAAACCTCTATGGAGCAGACTTCAGTTGAATTTAGTAAACCTTCTAAGCCTAGCATTCAAGATGGAAAGTCTATTTCGGCCATGCTTATTGATGCCGAAAAACAACCCTTAAGAGTGATTGACGAGATCACTGAACAAAACTTAACTAAAGAAAAATTAGAACCTATAAAACCGCTTTATGAAAACATTCCATTAATTGATGCAATTGCACAAGGTAAAGTCGAACCTAAAGTTTGCAGAATTATCATAAGTGGTGTTGAATCTCCTCTGACTGTTCAAGACTCTTTGGAACAGGAACAAATAAGTAGGTTTGCCCCCGTAGATGTTTTATCTAAGAACTGCGTAGTTTTAAGAGAAGTAAAGCCTAATTATTGCGTGGCTATCTCTCAAAGAATTACTCCCGAAGAATTATCTGAGATGGGAGTGTATGACATTGAAAAACAGATTTTCTTGAATCCAGAAACAGGTGCTAAAATATCTTTTGAAGAACTTGTTTACGGTCTACACATATTCGATCCAGAATCCATTTTAGTCAAAGACTTAAGTTCAAAATCAGAAGACTATATTTCGTTTGACGAGGCAATCGCTAAGCCTATTATTGACAAAGTAACGGGTCATATGGTTAATCCAAAAACAGGCAAACGTGTACCTTTCTTAGAATGTGTGCAATTAGGTTGGGTAGTTGAAAAGCCTGAAGATGTTTGTGTTCCTGAACAAGTTACTATAGAGTCTGCTATAGAGCAAGGTCTATACAATCCTAAAACTGGTTTAATCAAAGACGTTAATACAGGTGCCTTGGTACCTATCGGTCAGGCTGTTGAAAAAGGCTTGATTGATCAAGATACATTGTTAATTAAAGTGCCTCATTCTACTGAAATTATTACTATATCTGATGCTATTGATCGACATATTGTAGAAATTCATGAGGGCGTAATTACAATAATTGAAACTCAAGAAATTATAGAGATATCTGTTGCTATTCAGCGTGGATTAATTACTATAATTCGTAGACCTATTTCCATAGAGGCAATTATTGAAAATGAAATGTATGAATCTAAATCTGGCAAAATTATTGATAAAGTTACGGATCAGTTAGTTACAGTAGGGGATGCTGTCGATAGGAATATTGTACATCCTACAATCTCTGAAATCAAAGACACTGCTTTAGAAAAATTCGTGCCTCTTAATGAAGCTCTTGACATGAAACTTATTGATCCAGAAACAGGTAGAGTTAAGGATAAAAAGACTGGAAAACACATTCCATTAGACGATGCTTTAAAGAAGGGATTAGTTGCAACAAAAGCGATCACTTTCTCTTTGTTTGATGTTATAGAATTAGGTTATTACTCTCCCGAATCAGGCAAAATTTTAAATCCCAAAACAGGTGAAACAATCACTTTAGGTGAAGCTATAAACCTACAACTTGTAGACCCCAACGATGTTAAAATCAGAGATCATAAAAACGAAGCAGTTATTCCTTTCGACAAGGCAATCCATTCAGGTCTCATTGACTTAGAAAAAGGGATGTTGACGTCGCCATTCACTAACCTTAAAGACGCTTGCGACAGAGGATATCTGCTTAGTGATAAGAAACCTTGGACTCTGCAAGAAGGTTTAGTTCAAGGTTTTTATGACCCCGAAACAGGTCTGTTAACAATTAATGATACTACTATGACTCTTGATGATGCAATCAAGATCGGTAACATCAACCCAGAAGCTTTAACGGTTAGGAACTCTATAACAGGCGAAATTATCTCACTTGCTGATGCCATTCGGGCTGGTATTATTGATTCAAAGGAAGGTAAGGTCAGGGATCCTATTCATGGTGATAAAATATCACTCACTGATGCATCAGAGCGTGGATTAATTATTCCAGCCAAACGTAAACTCAGCTTACCAGAAGCTGTGTTTAAAGGCTTTTACGATCCTAAAACAGGTAAATTCTCCAATCCTCTTAGCAAGGAAAAGATAGCAACAGATAGGGCAATTAAGAAACGGTTCATTGATCCACAATCTACTTTAGTACACGCTGCAGGTAAAGTTATACCATTTGAGTTTGCAGTTGATAGAGGTATTATTGACGTCAGAACAGGTACGATCAAGTTAGGTGATGAAAATATTGACTTCCGTGAAGCTTTTGAGAGGGGAATACTCGTTGAAGTTCGTAAGCCCATGTCTCTTATTGAGGCACTCGAAAAAGGCGTATATAATGAAATTACTGGGCTTTTCTTGGACCCACAGAGCGGTAAAAAGTATACTTTGGCCGAAGCCATTAGGTTGAACTTGATTGACATTCATTCTGTTCATATTTTGGACAATAGACTAGGTAAATGGGACAAAATCACATTATCAGAATCTTTAGAAACGGGAGTTATTGATGATCAAACTTGTAAAATTCGAAATATTAACAGCGACAATGAAGAGATCAGCCTCCGTAAAGCTTTTGAAATCGGTTTAGTAGTTGACAGTAAAGCACCTATTAGCTTACAACGTGCTCTACACCAAGGGCTTTATGATGATAGTACGGGTAAAATTATCGACCCTGCTGCAAATCGCAAAATAACTTTACATGAGGCTATTAGGCGATCCATTATCAGTCCAAAATATCTTTGTTATTTCGACAAGAAATCAGAAAAACCATTGTCATTGGCTGACTGTTGTCGTAGTGAGATTATTGATAGAAGGAGTGGAAAATTCAACGAACCAGGATCGGATGTCCAGGTTACTCTATCTGAGGCAATGAGTCTAGGCCTTATCGTAGATATCGAGAGTGCAGGTTTTACTTTGTATGACACCTTAGCTATGAACATGTATAACATAACGGAATTAATTTTTGTTCACCCTGTTTCTGAAAGAAAAATCAATTTAAGAGCAGCTATCGTAGAAGAGTTAATTAATCCAGAAACATCGTTAGTTAAACATATTCCTAGCAGTAAGTACATTCGGTTAGGTGAAGCAATTCTGAATGGTATTATTGATGACGAAAATAATGTATATATCTTACCAAATGGAAATCAAATTAACTTACTTGACGCTAAACATCGCGGTCTTATAGTAACGACAAAGAGAAACTTAAGCCTCGAAGAGATTATTCGTAGTGGTCTTTTCAGAGCTGATAATGGTAAAATTGTTGATCCCAACACTAACGAGTTTGTTGACATTAATAAAGCTATAGAAATTGGACTCCTAAATCCTGAGCTTACTGTAGTAAAAGATACTGTAACCAATAAATTCAAACCCCTACACATCGCTATTCAACAAGGCGATGTTGACGTATCTAAAGGTAGAGTTATCGATACTAAAGCTAAGAAAACGTTCAGCTTGGATATTGCCTTTGATAAAGGCCTTCTGGTGACAATTACTCAACCACTTACATCTCAAACAATTTCTAAAAAACACATATCGGATTCGTCTGCGTTCAAGGAATCGATACTTAGGGAATTTACACTTGATGAAGCTATCAAATATGAATTTGTCGACCCCGAAACGGCTGTAATAAAAGATCCTCATAAGAATAAATACATTCCATTAAAATTAGGTATCACCGAAGGCATTATTGATAAAAACGCTAAAGGTTCATTCGATACGCAAAATCGCGCTCGTACTCTTTGCTTCGTCTTTGAAAATGGTTTAGTTGTGTATGTTCGCGAACCTATGACGTTTGAGCAAGCGATTGAAAACGGTCACTTAAATATTGCTACGGCTCGTTTCACTGATCCTCAATCCAATGAAGTTTTAACAATTAGAGATGCGGCCTCATTGGGCTACATAGACCCAGACACAGCACTTATAAAGGATAATCTCAAGAGGAGGCTAGTTAAGCTTCCTGAAGCTTTCCGCAAAGGCCTCATGGATGCAGAAAAGGGCAATATCTTAGACACAGAGACTTCTAAACTAAACACACTAAGTGCTGCTATTGAAAGTGGGCTTTTGATGACTCCTCAGAAAAGCTTTAGCTTAATAGAGACTTTGAACTTTGGTATATATAACCCGACAACCGGAGCTCTTAACGATCCTTTCATAACCACAAGCGTGATGGCTAGAAAGCGATTGAATTTAGGTGAAGCTATTCAGCAAGGAATCGTAGACCCGTCAAGTACTGTCGTCAAAGAACCTGAGACAGGAAAGATATGTTCATTGGTACAAGCGATAGACCAAAAGTTGGTTGATCCCGTCGAAGGCAAGCTCGTCATAGATCCAGTCAAATCGATCAGTTTGGACTTAGTCAAAGCTCTGAAAAAGGGCTACTTGCTGCCAGCAGAAACGAGGGTAAGTTTTTTTTTGTTTCTTTTAAACCATGTGCTTTTTTCGAGCAAAGGTGTTGCTTTACATCTTCCTGTTTTCATTCTTAGAAGGTGATCTCTATCTAAAGCGTTTGGCTTAAAACCATTGGCATGGCACGACACCCACTGGATTCATAGTGTCGATTTTCGGGGTTGTTGAGCGATTTTTATGTGTCACAGATTGTACTTGTGGCCTACACTAATAAACATAACATGAACATTTGAACATTAATACTAGATTCTTTTTTATTTATAGAATTTTATTCATATTGTAAGAGTAGTGACAGCACATATACATTATTCACGTACTTACATTCTATTGAGTTGAGTAAGATTAGCAATCACTTAGAGAAAATGTAAGCTTATAACGTAGTGATACTTCTAGAGGACATTTCTACTACCAAAATGTTTGGCGATTACTCATTGCTTAGTGAAATCTTAAACCTTCATCTCTGTATTTGCGTGTGAATGATCTGACAAATCCATTACACATCTATTTTTACAAATTATAGGGATAACTTTAAGCAGTGATTCAAATATGTTTGATGAGATTTCCAGGGGTTTGTTAAGTCTTTCTTTGATTACTTTAGACATTACGTTCCAATCTAAAATACCAAGAGGGCAAAAACATGTTTTTAAAATGTATTATACAGAAATTGGAAAAAATAAATTTCTCACCTTTCATGCAAGGGGAGTTGATAATCCATGATTCAACTAACTCGATTTAATCTGGCCTTCCGGCCAAGGAAAAAAATTAATAAAAAATTGAAAAAAAAACGTTTTCTTATTTACCGTGACATTAATAAGAAGAATACTTTCCATATATTAATAACTTAGTTGAAAAATCGAACATAAATCCATAAAAAAAAGAATTAAAAATTGTCTTTGAATGCTTCTTTTATTTCATATAAAAGCAAAGAGAACATCATTTTAATGTAATAAGGTGTTCCTTTAAAAAAAATCTCGCCTAGTCCTTAGGTAAATATAGTATATACAAGAAAGTTATACAACTAGCTCCTGTTTTTCCACAATGCTCAAATAGCAATCGTCAAACAACTTTCTTAGTAGAATTGCCCCCGAATGCTCATGTGTTGTCCTAAACGCTTATAGGCCATAGCGCTCGACAATGGCTAGTCTTTCACCGAAGACTAGCGATTGGACAATGTGCTTACCTCCCATGTACTAAGGCTCGATGTATGTTGTTTTTATTTCCAGCCGTTGCCTGCGATGCTAAAGAACCCTTTTGAGCTAAATCGTGAATGCTTGCCTGTGAGGGATCATATTAACGACGATATAGAGAACCATCACCGTTTCGCCCAATACCTAACCTCCCATATATCAATCACATTGTGCTAAGATTTTGAGGTCATTTTTATGGGTTCACGGTAGCCCATTCGACCGAGCTTATTATGTTCGCTTCCATTCAAAACCAGTGTATTATGACTACTGGTTCCGATACGTATTAGATTATTTTTTTAAGATTTTTTTTCTATGAAATACTCATTCCTTGGAACCCGTATTCACGTGTTTTGGAATGCATGAACAACGCTATGCTCTTGTGATGTCGATATAACGGCGGTATCCCGCAAATATTCACAAAATCGAAATGGTAATACATTTTCAACACAAACACGGAAGGTAGTATTTATTCATTATCGTCTTTATTTAAATGAACGTTGCGTCGGCGATGCGTTTAGTTTATGTTCTGAAGCCTATGACACACGGCCACCTAATCCTTAAAAGCTTTCTTTTATTCAACCAATGGAGAGTTTCTAATTATTTTGGAGTTGCAAATGGATTCATTCCCATTCATTTTCCAATATAATCCCCTCCTATCATCGTCAACATAAGCCCTGTAGTTACTAAGGATTTCATAGAAATAGATCATAAAAAATTGTATTCAAAAGATACTGCAACTGCAATAGCCGTGGTTGTGTCTCATGCATCATACAACATATCCTAAAGGCGTTCACGACTTTGTGCCCTCGTTTTTTTATCATTTAATTATTTCGAAGTGGACGCAGTTTTCTTATTTATCTTTTGATTTTAGTATTTTTAAAATATGAAAACAAAATGAAATAAATGAAGGCACAATTTTATTTTATTTAAATGTAAAGTACGTGCGAAGTTTCGTGTAAATTCTTATATTAATTTTTTACTTCATCATTTTATACTTTTCAAGAACACTTTTATTTATTTTTTCTACTCTTTATTTATTGTTCAAAAAATACTTTTTCAAAGTTTCAGATTTACGAGAAGGTATTCTTTCACTTTTTTATCTTATTTAACAAATAACTCTAATAAACATTAATCATGAGGTTTATTACCATCGGAAGATGTTGATACCATGTTATACAAATATTGCATGCTTATGTCGGAAATATTCATTCCGTTTACATGAACTACTCACTCTGCATGCATTTTAAAATTATCTTTCGCCATAGGGGGCAACAAGTTTACGTGCCTCAATGAAATATTTCCGACATACGCATTTCTTTCACTGCTCGCATGTTCAGCTTCGGCATGTTAATGTTACGGTCCGTGTGTTTTTTGTTGACTGTCATTTGCATTCTCTATTGGCTGTCTGTGTTCGCTCCTTAGGATGTTTCGACTTTGCTTACTGTCTGCGTAAATTAGTTCTATGTATATTAAACATTTGTTACAGGTCAAGTTGGTGCATGAACTATATTCCGAAATGAAATATTTCATAGCGTCTTGCAACTGTAATTGTTCTTTATCTACAACTTGGGTTATTTCTTCTATATAGAAAGAAAGAAAGAAAGAAAGAAAAATCGTTTATTTTGGCAATAATACATTTTGAACAATTGCAACTTGGATTACCAACGATGCCAAAAACGGACCCAATTCAGCCTTATGTCAGATGGAAGCCTGACGCTGGTTTTCAATTGGGCCCAAAATGATGCTATGCGTAAACCCTGTTGCATGTAGTACACATAACACATGTAGTACACATTGTATACATACATCACAACATTAATAACATATAACAATAATATATAACATATAACAAGACAAATTACAGATATGCAGATCACAATAAAAATACACTACGATTTACACAATATCCAACAACGTTAATCTATAAATATCCAGTCTCCAAAGCGTGCACGCCCCTCATCCCCGACTCTGACAGCGCTCACGTTAAATCAGGGAAGAGTTCACAATGGCCATATCCAGTCTCCGCTGTGCGTCTATGAGATACCGCCGCAATCTATATTTAAAAGTGCCAATCGTATTTGACGATCTTATAGGCGGCGGTAAATTGTTCCATATCTTTGAGGCCGCATAGCGGAAACTACCTTTAAAAGCGGCCGTTTTATGCGGCAATATAGAGAGTTGCCGTGAGCACTGTCTCACCGTACAATCACGTCTATTGGACACCCATTCCAATTTACGAAACAGGTAAGTTGGTTCGCGGTGTGTAACAATGCCAAACATTAGTGATGCTAAGTGAAGCTTGCGCCTAGACTTCATTTTGAGGACATAGTTGTCATTCAGGAACGGAGTGATGTGAGTTCTTGGTGGTATCCTGAAACAAAAACGGGTGCAAGCATTTTGGAGCCTCTGAATCAACCTATCCGTGCGAGCTAGAAGCCGTGGCCCATACACCGTATCGGCGTAGTTTAATTTTGATAGGACCAGCGACTCAACCAGCCGCATTCGCAGGCTCTCGGACAGAAACGGTCGTATCTTGTACAAAATGCGCAACCTATAGAAACAGTTTCGAACTAATTCAGCAACGTGCTTTTCGAACCTTAAATTACAATCGATAAGCAGGCCAAGATTACGGGCCTCATTCACCCTCTCAATTGATTGTCCCATAAGGGTTATGTTAAAACTGGGAAGTGAGTTTAGATTTATTTTAGTGCCGAACATCATGTATTTTGTCTTATTTGGATTGAGAACCAATGAATTTCTTTCCGCCCACTGCACGATTCTGTTCAGATCATCATTTAAGTCAGATATAGCTTTATCGTAATCACTTAACTTAAACGAAATATAAACTTGAATGTCATCAGCATATATATGATATCGTGAATTAATCAAACATTTTGTTATATCGGCGCAGTAAATACTAAAGAGAATAGGTCCTAATATTGATCCCTGAGGAACCCCTCTTGTAACAGGGGTGAGTTCAGAAACCACTGAAGCCCCACCATCAAGATGCAGTTCCACACCCTGACATCGACCTGACAGATAGCTATGGAACCATTTAACTGCATTACTGTCGAACCCGCAGTATTTAAGCTTTGACAGCAACAAAGAAGTGTTAATGCTATCGAAAGCCCGGGAAAAATCCAATAAGACAAGCAATGTACACATGCCCTGGTCTTGTGCTAATAAGATATTATCAGTCACATCAAGCAAGGCAGTAGCGGTCCCTCGACCCTTTCTAAATCCGGACTGAACCTCCGGTAAAACGTCGTATTTCTCTAAATACTCAGACAACTGAGCGCAAACTACCTTTTCTATAACTTTTGACAAACACGGCAGTATACTTATAGGCCTTAAGTCTTTTACATCAACCGGGCTAGTGGTTTTAGGCAGCGGCCTGACAGTAGCGATTTTCCAGATATCGGGAAAGGTTGCCGTCTTTATGGAGGTATTCACCAAATGTGTGATAGCGGGCAATGTATACGGCAGAGACAGCATCAACATCTCCAAATTGATACCGTCACGACCCTCTGCATTTGATTTAATGGCTGAGAGATGTTTCGAAATGACCTGTTGGCTAACAGCTGAAAGAGCGAAAACTTAAAAGACAATATATACATATAGTGCAGATGAGGGGTCGTTCTCATAATTTTGGTGACTATTTACCAATGGTCACTTTGACTTAGATAGTTTACAGGCACAGAACATTATTGATTATCTTTATGAACTCAACTAGCTACGTACTACGTTAGGACTAAATTCCGAGCAGTTTGCAAGACGTTTTGTAATTTCGTTCTTGTCATCGTCTGACTTATGTGTTGTACAGTTCAAAAATATTCTGCATTTAAGTACACAGAGTAGTTAGTATGCATTGTAAAATTTGCTCCGTAGATTAGATGCACTGACGAGCTCTCAATGAGCTTTGTGTATGTGGATTGAACATGTACAAGAAGGTTTACTGATGATTGTATTTTATGTGTAGCAAGCAGTAGAAGAGAAATACAGACTTTGCGATGAGACCCTGTCAAAGTTGCTGGAATGGATCGCTGTTGTTGAAGAACGTCTCGCTAACCAAGAGGCCGTGAAGGAAGACATGGATGAACTCCGTAACCAGATTAATATTCTCAAGGTATTTGTCTTTTAAGTTACAGGATAAAGTAAGTTTTGCTTGCAAGATTCTTATTGGCAAACTTGTTCACAAGTGTTTTGAGTAGAAAGGTATAGAAAAGTTCAGCCTACTCTAGAAGAATAAAAGAAAACGTATGTTCCGAATAAGTATAGTTCATGCCTTACTATGATGATACGACATTGGGTGAGATATGGAAGAGTATCTCTAAATTTTAGATTAAAATTTTTAAATTTTATAAGGATACTTAGAGTAGTAAGTATATACTTAGGAAGTATCTTACCGAAGTATTAATCGAAGGAATATATAGGATCTTATGATCCAGGCAACTAGCTTCACGACCGACTTAGTCTAACTGACTCCTGACAATTCATAAGTCTATGATTGGTTTAATTGAAATAAATTATTTGGATACAATAACCAAACCCTATACCAACCCGCCTGGCAAGCGTGGTATAGTAGGCCAAAACCTTCTTTCTAAGGAGAGGCCTATGTCCAGCAGTGGACTATTAAAGGCTGTTGATGTGATGTGAAATTATTTGGATGTAAACGGTCTACTCATTTTTGTTTTTGTGTTAATTCTTAAATATTGAAATATGCCACATTTTTTTAATTTATTGTTCTATAAAGACACTAAGCTGACAGACTGATGAAAATGTGTTAATAAGTTCTTAACAGGGAGCAAAGAGCTGCAAGCTGCAATCCTACCTTTTTTTTTACAGTTAATTAAGGACGACTTAGAGAGTCACCAACGCCAAGTCTCAGCGTGCGCTGACCAAGCTAAACAACTGCTAGTTTCCGGAGGCGATGTACTGGCACCTCATGAGGTAAACATTTATCTTCATTTAACATTTTTGCCAACCCCTGACACAAAAACGACAGGATGTTAGAAGTATGACGTGTCTATGTGTGTATGTATGTCTGTTGCGGTCTGTTGCATCGTAGCTCCCGAACGGATGAACTGATTTTGATTTTTTGTTTGTAAGGTGAATTAGTCGGGAGTGTTCTTAACTATGTTTCATGAAAATCGCTCCAAGATGGTTGCCGCCACAAAATGGCGGATTACATATTTTTTCACAACTCACTCAATATGGGTATCAAATGAAAGACCTGACTAGTAGAATGCTATACACTATGACAAATTTCAAATCCAAGATGTGTGTCAGGGGTTTTTTTTTATTTTTTATTTAATGTTTTAAACCACTGGTAACGTGGATCACAGTCACTTTACTGTACTTGTTTAAAGGGGCTTCGTACTAGTAGTGTGCTGGGTAAGACACAGCATGTACCTATTAGTCTACTGAGACATTAGTTATTACTCGTGGTATTCCACAATGATGCAAAAAGCATTTCCCGCGTTAAAAAAAAGGTATCTTTGTAATGAAATTAGTTACTTAATGTAATAGTACCCTTAAAAACCATCTTTTACATTTTAGTGTATTTGTATATATCAATAGCTGTTCCTATGATGTATGAACGAATACCAACAAACAACTGAGCCGTAGCCCATTAAACGCCATTGTAATACACCTGCTTACAGCATTGTTACAAAAGTCGTTCAACCGTGAGTTAGAGCTCTGTCTCTGGATACAGAACAACCTGTTGCATGTAATACTATCCTTTGATAGTATTATATGCAACAGGTTTAAGCGGTCACCTCGCCGCGTCCTACTGCGCTGAGGGTTGTGGGTTTAATGTAACAACACTTTGATTGGTTTACAAAATGTTCTGAGTCTTGGTGTTCTTTGTGTCCATTTTGTGAAAGTTTGTTAAGTCCTCCGCAACACAGGGTATATTCCTAGTGCGTAAGATGTATTTTTAAAATGAAAAGAAAAAAAGGAATTATCCAGACAATAAACGTGTATTTTGCTGACAGGTGGCAGCCCTGGAGCGCGGCGTGCGCCAGCTGAAGCAGCGCTGCGACAAGTGCACCGACAAGTGCGACAAGATGTTGAGGAGGTTGGCGGCCGCTAGAGACGAGCTCGGAAAGTTCGGGTAAGGGATTCTAACTTCTCTACACTCATAAAACAATTAACCCTTAATAACACTACTCTTACGACACCCACGGGATGAATTGGGGTAGTGACAATTTGTATTCTTAATCCGTCACCACACGGACAGGGAGCAAACTAAGCAGGACAACAGCACTGCAAAGAGAAGGAAAACTTGAAACAACAACCAACCCGTCTGGCCAGCGTGGTATAGTAGGCCAAAACCTCCTTTCTAAGGAGAGGCCTATGTCCAGCAGTGGACTAGTATAGGCTGTTGATGAAAACTACTCTGCATTGGGTGGTGTTAAGTAAACTTCTTCAATAATTGGGTTATCGAATGCAAAAAGAATTTCCAAAGCTCGGATATCGGATAAAACAAACTCTTGCTGCAATAGAATGGATTGGCTTCGTTTCTTTTTAATTTGAACCTCCTCTTCTTATTGTAAATATATGTATTTCTTTCTGTACTATAGCAACGAACTGACTACGTTCAACACTTGGATGGAAGGCGCCTATCGCACTCTAGAAGACAAAGAAGCAGCATTATCGAAGCTGAACTCTTTGCCGGACCAGAGTGAGGACGTGCGCGAGTTCGTAAGTGACGTTATCGCGCATCAAGCCGACCTCCGGTTCATCACTATGTCCGCGCAGAAGTTTGTGGACGAGAGTAAGGTAAATCGTTTATATATACAAGACCATCTGGTGCTAACGACTTCGTATTAGTTTTTTAGATCTGTATTTAAAATAAATAAATAAATTATTTAATTACCTTCATCGGTAAAAGACGAAACGATCCGTTGTTTATTTCATCAAATGCTAGTATATTCAAAATAAATTGCATCTTAATATACATATTGCTACTACTAGTACATTCTTTTATCCCTTATTGCACTTCCTCCAAGCTTTATTTTCAAACAAAAGACACTAAAATTGGTTGAGTGATTTACACTTGAAATCATTTCGCATCAACAATATTAGTAAACATAGGTATTGTGATGAGTGAGTGAACGAGTGCAGTAAATTTAACTCGCGAATAATTCGTTATAGGAATTCCTGTCGATCTTGAACGAATATCGTACATCGCTCCCGTCTCGCCTGTCGCACGTGCCGGCCCGCGCGGACAGCGAGGTGCGCGGACAGGCCGCAGCTGCGCGGCGGCGCCACGCCGACCTGTGTGCGCGCGCGCAGCGCCTGCACGACCGCCTGCGCGGCGCTGCCGACGTCACCCGCCAGTACCACGACGCGCTGCAGCGGGCCGGCAGGTGGCTCTCGGAGGTTAGCTTTAACAACTTCTCCACGACACTACAGCATTCACATACGCTAGTGATGCCACAGACTAATACATCTTAAACCATATCCAACTATTCAGGCTTGACTTCAATCCTCATGTGCAATCGACTATATTCATTTATTTATTTGTTCTTGATAAAAACGGCATCTGGCCTTTTACACTAATTAAGACAAATCGTTAATACAGAATAAACTATACTATATAACAATTTTATTTAGAATATAAAACCACGCTTCTCGCTAACACATAGACTTCTCGTAGTAATTTATTTATTTAATAAATATAAAATATGCAAAATATACATTTAGTCCGTCAACTTGTCAGCGATAACAAACATTAATGTAGTTAATTACATACTTATTCAGTATCTCACTGAAGAGTAAACAGTTAAAATATACATATAGCCATAATATCAAACGATGAAGTCGTATACGCATAAGACGCATAGTCATCCGGATCGAAGGACCATTACATGAGAACAGGTTCATTTACTGTAACTTGTTATGCACTTTATTTTCCATACACTGAACATATATATGTATATTTAAAATAAAATTTGTTCCAGATCGAGCCCCAAGTACGCTCAGTACTTTCGGAACCTGTCGGTGGAGAGCCTCGTGCTGTTGAATCTCAACTCTCTAAAGCGAAGACTCTTCACAATGACATATTATCTCAAGGACGTCTTATCGACAACACTAAAGACGTAAGTGCAAACATCAATTCGAAATTTATGTTAGGGGTTCCCACCTAGTACACTACTTACTGAAATCGTTCAAGTATTTAACTCAGTTGAGGAGTCAAGAAGAATTATAACATGTAAAAACTGTTAAAAATACATAGAGAAGTGATAAAGAAGAAATATTAAGTTATTAGAAGAATCATGGCTCTACTCTTATACTTATAGGCATGTGAGCAACTAGTCAAATCTCTGGAAGGCAATCTCACCCCTGCCGAGATCCGTCAGCTCGAAGTGCCAGTGCTGGACCTGACGGCGCGCTACAAGGACATGGCGGACGCACTGGGCGGGCGCTGCACGGAGCTGGAGGCGGCGCTGCTGCAGTGCCAGGGCTTGCAGGACGCTGCTGAAGCACAAGGTCATTGGCTCTCACAGGCCGAGAGCTCTTTAAAGTAAGTCATAGACGCAATATCTTTATAGGCTTTCCTATACATTCAAATTCCTAATATGAAATGTGATAAATAACTCTAAATGAAATTTAAAGGTGTTTTTTTAAATAATTTTTTTAACACCGCGTGTGGCTAATGATGTTAAACGAATATGTTAAATAAGAGTAAGTATTCTGTAATAGACCTGACATACCTTATATATAAGTTGTATGTAAAATTAATGTTAAAATATAAGTTGTGTGTAAAAGTAAAATTAATTAATTACAATGTAAAATTATATGCATGTATAAACTGTTTAAAAAAAACATATCTCTTTTTGTACAGAGTGTACTCGTATCTATACAACAAACTCAAAAATTGAATACTTGGATTTAAAAAGTCATATAGACATAGTAATACAGTTATATATTTATACCATTGTGATTTCTTTGTTGTTTAGGACTCAGTACCGACCAGCTTCTCTTATTCGAGAGCGTTTAGATGAACAACTCCGCGAGCAGCGCCTTTCTCTTGCCGAGTTGGAGGCACGCAGACCAACGTTGGCCAAACTGTTGGCCAACGCAAGAGATGCCGCCTTGACTCCTTCCAATGCCAGGATCGCTAAGAAACTGGAACAGAGAGCTGAAGACATTTATGCCAGGTAAATTAAATAAATGTGTATTCAGGTTCAAACCTCCATAAAACTATTTGTCTGTTTCATCGATGTAAGTCCTTTGTGCCTGTTGCAAAGTAACGTTTAAAATATGATGAACATTAACAGTCTATTCTAAAATCAACAAAAAATGTGTAAAGTTTATTGCAACCAATGTGATTGTTTTACTCTAAATATTATTTTATTAATACCTATCACCTTATGCTACAGATACGAGAAACTTGTAGAGCGTTCTGCCAAACGCAACGAGTTCTTAGACGAGGTGTCGAGCGAGCTGTCGCACTTCAGCCAGCAGGCCAACACGCTGGACGCGGCGCACGCGCAGCTCGTGGAGCAGGCCGACGCCAGGGAGCTGGCGAGGATGCCGGCCGAAGAGCTCGGCGCCAGGCTGGCGCAGCTAGCGAATTACAGGTAAATATATTAATTTATAACACGTTTATAGAATTGATTGAAATTGAAATTCTCTAATTGATGTAAATTTTGACGAAATTGTTTACCTAGGATGTTATTATAAACTCACAAACATATTTAAAATATCATAGTTAAGATTTTCTGGATCTTTCTAATAGTGGTGATGTTTCCAATTAATACTACAATTTAATAAATCTTTTTCTAAAATATGTTGATACTAAAATTGTCTTTGTGACAGGGACAAACAAATGCCGCTGTTAGAGGAGTGCCTGCGCGCCGGCAAGCAGTTGGTCGCCAAGAAGGATGTCACCGACACACACGTCATTCGTGACAGAATGAAGGTACAGAATTAGAAAAAAACGTAGCTTTAATTTTATTACTAAAAAGTCACTCCAATTTCGCTTAAGGTCTGGTTTCAATACTACCAAGTTATCTTACATAAACGAAATATTTATCATCGATAGGACGAAGGGTTTGTTTAACTGTTCATTATATATTTGACTAATAAACAAATCATAATAACAAATCATAAAATTATTTGTATATTAAGTAGAATTCATTGCGAACGAATATATAACATAACGCTACGATTCTTAGGCGATCAGATCATGACAGGGATCGTAAAATTGCATGAGACTACGGCAAACAGACAGTTTAAGAGTAACTAAACCAGTTACATTTTTTGTAGGCTTTGGAGAACGTGTGGCGCGATTTCAACGCGACTCTGGAGGAGAAACAAAAGCTGTCCAAGCAGAGAGCTGACCAACTCAACCAGTACGAGACTCTTAAGTTACAAGTGAGTTGCGCTAAAATAATATCTGTATAAAATAAAAACGGCGTGAGGGGTCTATGGACCCCCGGTCGGAACGAAGTTCCGTTCGCTTTATGGTAGATGTTTGCTATATTTGACGTGTAAATAAATAATTGCCACTTATTTTAAGTTTATTCCATTTGAAAACAATTTAATTTTGTAGTGGACTTCTCACTAAACTAAAACAAATTGTAATCATAGAACTAACAACAAAAATATTATTAATATCACGTAAAAGTAAATAGTTGAACCGCCATCTATAAATTACATTAAGAACTAAAAAAAGTAACGAGGTCATTCAATCACAAAATTTTACTCGTCATATATGAAAATTGAGTCTTAGGGAGTAAACTCCAAAAAATCTATATGTCCTTCCGGTTATTGGAGAGGATATTAAGTGTTCAAAAACTTTCTTAAAAATTATCATGTATTTACAGACACGGCGAGTGTATAATTATTAGTCTTAATCCTACTTCTCATTTTCTCTCGCCAGATCCTAGATTGGCTTCAAATGATGGAGAATCGTGTGAATCGTTTACAACCTGTCGCCGTGGACCTGGACGTTATCAAACAACAACAGGACGAGCTGCGACCGCTGGCCAAAGAGTACAGAGACGTGTCCATTACTATTGACAAGGTAACGGATCAATATTACTCTTATTGTTAGAAGGATAAAGTTTAGTATTGCATCTATCACTAAAGGTCGAACTTCTATAAAAAAAATAATTAAAATCTAAGTATCGCCATCTTATTTGTTGCATTAGGGGTTTTATTTTCTCGGTACTATACAGAATTTTGTTTAAATGTAGCTTGAAGATATTTTAAAATCTAAAAATAAATAGCTGATCTAAGTTACAACTTAGTTTGTAGAAGTATATCAGATAATAATTTGAAACAAAATGAACATAGGTTATTACAGAAAGAAAGCATAGCAGAAACGAGATTCTGTTACCACTTATACATATATTTAGCATTAAATCCTGTAGTGAGAGTAGTGACAGTGCGGTATGTCCGTTGCGCAGGTGAACGAAGCGGGAGCGGTGTACGAGGCGCTGGCGCGTGGCGAGCGCGCCGACAGCCCGCACCGCAGGCGCCAGATCTACAGCCCCACCAAGCGGCAGACGCCCAGTGAGTACACGCCCGCCTCTCACTGGCGCTACCTGCATACCGGCGCATACCGCCATACTGACAGACAGCATCTAGCTTTGAAGAAAAATCAAAAAATCAAAGTGAAAAAATCAATTTGCAAATAAATTGATTTACTGCAGTACCGTTGACTGCACGGATGGCGCAGTGGTTTAAGCGGTCACCTCGCCGTTTCCTATTGCGCTGGGTGTTGTGGGTTCGATCCCCACATGGAACAACACTTTGTGTGATCCACAATTGTTGTTCTCAGTCTGGGTGTTTTTTGTGTCCGTTTATTGTATGTTCGTAAAGTCCCCCGTGACACAGGATTTATTCCTAATGCGGGAGTTGTCTTTTTTAAGAGAAAAAAAAACGTTCGACACGCCGCTTTGCTATACAGTCCGTAAAGTAAAGTTCTGTACAGTATGGCATATCAAAGGCATTTAAATTCTTCGTTTTTGATATATGCAGTTAAATTATATAATTTACAAAATCTTAAAAGAGTTTTATAAATAATGATAACAATTTTTAAAGCAGTTAATATTTGTGGCTTAGGTCGCACTCTAGACGGCCGCTCGCCATCACCCAGCAAGGCCCACGGGCTGGTGAGCCCGGCCTCCACTCACTCTACGTCCAGCGGCTTCTCCTCACGACGCTCCAGCCAGGACGGATTCCACCTAGAAGGTGACTACTAAAACAAAAGTCCAACAACTTAACTCAAACACATCAAATAAGTTTTATACAAAACCAACTAAACGAAATCCTCGTAGTGCCTAACTCTTTTCCCTCGCTCCCTTTCTCTTCGGAGGAATTATAAATGAATCGTCTCCCACAGAACTATCGCCTGTACAACAACAACTGTCCGAGATCAATAACCGCTACAGCTTGTTGGGCACCAAGTTGGCTGACCGACAGAGTGAACTCGACGCTGTTCGGGAAGAACTCAAAAAGCACCTGGATAGCTTGAGGGCTTTGAATACATTCTTGGACAAAGTAAGTTAGCAATATTTTAGAGTTACAGTTAGCAATTTTTAGAGTCTAAACATGTATAAGAGAAAATCCCTTTGTTCTGTTCGCTTTTCTTTGCAATTGTTAACGAGCCGTACAACAGAAGTAAAGGGACTACATGAGCTCTAATTTCTAGATCCTCAAATGACCTAAAATTTAGCAGAAACAATGTATTTTTATTATAAATAATAAAAAATACATCTTTCCTTCCAAAAATATTATAAATATACTATTTGTTTCAAGTGATAAATGTATTTCTATAGGTACAAAGACAACTACCTAAAGAAACAGTTCCCAATACAAAGGAGGAGGCTGACAAGACCATCAAGCAATCTCGCGCTGTCCTCGAAGAGATGTACGAGAAGCAGAGTATTCTTGACTCCACTAAGACCCAGGTAAGCAATGACTTTTGATATCCGTACATACAAACAAGGTTTGGTCATAGATAGAGTAAATATAAATACAATATATTACTGATACTGATAATAGTTATATTTTAGTCTGAAAATAACGTAAAATAAACATGGATTTTTTAACAGGCGGTGCAGTTTTTTTTTTTTGATAAAGTAAAATTTAGTTAGTAAGAAGACTTTTTTGAATAAAACTACGGGTGAAAAAAAAGAAGTAAAAAAAATAACTTACTCAAATAATTACGTCTACCTCACTATTCTAAACATAACTGACTAAATATTAAACCATTGACTAAATATTTTGTATGTGCAGGTCCGCGAACTCCTCAAACGCAAGCAGAGTGTACTTGGAGCTGATAGGCTTCATGATGAGATGGAAGATGTCTCCTCGAGGTGGAAGGCGCTTCATGACGCGTTCAAGGACAAGTTAGTATCTTTTATTTGATCTTTATTGTAATAACATAACAATGCTCAAATTTTAATAAAATACCAGTTAATCTGACGGTTGGCGTTTCACAAATTCTGAATTGTAACAGGCATTTAGATAATAAAAGGAAGATTTAAAATATTAATAATGTGTGTGTGAACCTCGTCACTAATAAATAATAATAAAATTTAGAAACAAAATAACACTGTAGACTGCAGTACAGAATATGCCGTAAACAACATGGTCTTTCGAGCCGAATTATTTATTTATAAACTTGTATATACAGATTAGAATAAAATATGTTTAGTTAAATGATATTGAATATGTTTTATGTTTTTGTTATAGAATCCGCCTAATGGAAGAAATGAAGGACTTCCATGACACTCACAGTAACTTATCACAGTGGTTGAGTGCCAAGGACCGTATGATGACGGCTCTGGGACCCATCTCTTCAGATTCTAGAATGGTCCAAACTCAAGTACAACAGGTAATTTATTACTTTTCCTACTTCTACTTAAGTCTTAGAAAGGGAATAATAAGAGATGACAATATTTCTGGTTCTTGAATAAGATACTACCTATCTAAAAAACATGTTTGTTTCATTATTATTATTATGCAATTTAGCTTTACGCAACATAAGTTTGCATTGTTTAAACATTACTTTATATTGTTTATACCTTGGTTATACTTATACATTGTTTATATACAACATATTATATCACTATGCTAAACTGCTTATAAGTTATATTAGTTTATAAAGATTGTGATCGGTTATCACTAATCATGTTAATTAAAGATATGGTTTTACTCACGCATCTGTTGATTCTCAATTAGCTTCGAACCCAACAGGGATGAAGGGGTAAAGCGACCTGCCGCGTCTTTATGGCGCTTCAAATGCTATCAAATCGAAATGGTCTCTTAGTGGAGTATATATATGTTGGCAGGTGCAAGTCCTCCGCGAAGAGTTCCGCGGTCAGCAGCCGCAGCTCTCGCACCTGGAGGAGGTGGGCGCGGCCGCGCTGGAGCGGCTCGAGCCGCACTCCGCCGACGCTAACAAGCTGCGCCTCAAGGTCGCCGACCTGCAGGACCGCTGGAACGATCTCTTGAACAAGTCAGTGCTACATTCGCGTCTCAGGAGATTCATTCAATTCTAAATTAAACACCATACACATACTAATATTATAAATGCGACAGTGTGTCTGTTTGTTACCTCACGCTTAAACAGCTGAACCGATTTAGATTAAATTTCGCATAGAAATAGTTTGAGTTCCGGGAAAGGACATAGGATAGTTTTTATTCCAGAAATCATCCTTCAAGGGGGTGAAAAGGGGGATAATATACCTCACACATCTCACACACGGCTGTCTGATCCCAAACTATGCGGAGCCTGTACTATAGTAACCAGACTGCTGATAAACATATTTATATATTTTTAAATAGATATATATTATAGGTAAATTACACCCAGACACAGAACAAATGACCATGCTCATCACACAATATTTGTCCTGGGTGGGAATCGAACCCACGACCTCCTGTTTAGCAGTCAGGGTCACTAACCACTAGACCAACAGGCCCGTCAAGATAGGGATAGGAGTTTACATGGTGAATCGATAACCACTGAACCGATTTAGATGAAATTTTATAAGGAGATAGTTTCAGTTGTGGGGAAGAACATAGGCTAGGCAAGGAAAAACACGCGGGCAAAGCTAGTTAATGATATAAAGTTTATTGAGTACGAGTACTGACCTATTGGTCTGGTGGTTAGTATTAATGCTAAGCTAGAGATTATGGGTTCGATTCTCACCATTTAATCGTGTAATGAGCACGAGCGTTTGTTATTTTTAGGTGTAATTTGAACACACCACGTGTTAAAAAAAAAACACGGCATTATTTTGCTAAAACATACTTCTAAGTGGTAATTTTTTGAATTTCATCATTGCTTACACAGACTTGTACAGTTAGAGTGAACTTATAGCTTCGTAAATACAAATTTATCTCTCTGTAATTATAAATAATATGTTTTAAGGTCTCAAAGTGTAAGCGTGTGATGTCATGTGAAGGATTGTTTGGTCCTAATGCAATCGTAACCCTTAGGACCTCAAATTGAATGGAAAAAAGATTTCTCCAAATAAGACGTTACAAATTACCAATAATTATTGTTAACAAATTTATATAAATATTTCTATAATCCTATAGATTGGAGAAACGCGCCGATAGTCTAGGCGCGGCTGCAGACACTTCTCGCGAATTCGACGCAGGTTTGACACGTCTACGCGACGCGTTGCATACCATCAGCGATAAGTTAGACGAAGTGGCTATGGAGAACGAACCTGAAGAGCAGCTCAGGAAGATTGAGGTAAGGAAAGAACTCCACGATAAAAAGCAAAAATTGTTTAAAGAAATTAGTTGTAAAGTCATCAAATAACTATGAACCTCAATGTTTCCTCTAGAACCTGGAACGTCAATTAGAAGGCCAGCGTCCTTTGCTAGCGGACTTAGAAGCCGCCGGAGCTACGCTAATCACCGTGCTGTCCGACCCCTCCTCCAGGCAGGACATACAGAGCAAACTTGCGGCTGTCGCCAGGCAGTACGATAACCTGCAAAGGAAACTCGACCATAGGAAGGCAGAAATAGAAGCGGCACTGAAGTGAGTACTACATAATTTTTTACCCTTCACTTTTACGTACTGCAAAACATGGTTTTTATCTTTGGATGGTCCAATTTATTTTAAAGGTGTAAAATTATAAGGTTTTCTATAATATCGAGATACCTGGACATGTACTAAACAGCAGTTTAACATCATCACACGATACTAGACCCATAGCTAATATTTAGTTCACATTGTCTTCGCTAGATGGTGCTGAATTATATTTTTGCTTATTGACTCATATCATTTTTTGTACTTAGTACTGTTTGTCCATTATCAAAACATAGACACACATCACGCCTGTATCCTCTAAGAGGTAAACAGGTTTCTATACTAATTGAATTTCTGTCTTCCTAATTCTACCATTGTGATCGTCTACCAGGGATGGCCGCAATCTCGAAGAGAACGTAGCAAAAACACTAGGCTGGCTCCAATCCGAGTTAGGCGCGCTCCCTGGACGTCTCCTCGTCTCAGCAGACAACACCAAGCTCCAGCAACAGTTAGAGAGACACGAGCCTCTGTACAGAGAGCTCACGCAGAAAGAACATGAGCTCATCATGTTGTTGGATAAGGGTAAGACGCAATCTCTAAGTTACAATTGCTTGATACTGGAATTAAAACTTATTTAGGTTTTTTTTTACTTACTTATAATATTTCCTACTTTTTGTGGCGCTAGAAAAAATATCGAAACTCTAACTCTAGCTAGTAAAAGTCAAATAACATACCAACTAACAATAACATCGAAATTTTCATTCTAAAGGTCGCGAGATGGAGAAGAAGCCAGCACACCAGAACTTACGCAAGGACCTAGACAGGATCCAGGCGCAATGGGACAAACTCAAGCGGGAGGCGGTCGATAGATACACCAGACTTCAGACAGCAATGGTATGGTTCATAATAATATTACTTTTAATTGAACTTTATCGTTCATTTTTTGTTATTGCATATTATTATGTGCAATAGCACAAAACTCACAACTGCGGGAGTAAGGCTATGAGATAACTCCATTATTTTATTTCTTATTTTTTAACCCATTTTTCAGACAACCCCCATTTAAAGTTGATGATTTTCATGTCTTAATATACATAATTTGTTAGATTAATAATACACAATTTTAACAGGAACACTGTCGCAAATTCCACAAAGCTCAAGAATCGTTTACACCTTGGCTATCGGACGCCGAAGACAGACTCAACAAGTTGCCGGCTACTGGCTTCACTAAGAAGGAAGTCGAAAAGCAGCTGAAGGAGTTGCAACAGATCAGGAATGACATCTGGAAGAGGTGAGTTATCGAGGAATAACATTCTATATTAATTTTATTTAAAAGATATTTTGATTGACTGATATTCGTGAGACATTTTTTTGTGGTTTGAGAACTTCGCTTTCGAATTATTCTTTTTATATTAAATATGTTTTACATGTCGTTTGTGTGTTTTAGTGTATGAAAGTATTGGTTAATCATGTTTGTTATTTGTTTAGGTCCGGTGAATATGAAAACAATAAGACACTCGGCGAGACCTTCATTTCTTCATGTGACGTCGATCAAGAAATAGTTAGGAAGTTGCTCGACAGCATGAAGGAGCGATGGGACAGAATCAATAACGGTAAGATTTTGTAAATTCCTTTCGTCTTAGCAACTATTGTTAGGCTCTTTAATGTTATTAATAAAATAGTATCATTAATAAGAAAGATTTGATTTCCCATGATATTAATAATTAACTATTATTACTGTAGAGTTTCGATCGATCTAACTAAAATATGGTTTTATTGGTATTAGAGAATGATATTAGAGATTGATTTAACAAAGCGGTATCGTTTGTGGTGCAGAGGTATTCCAGCAGGTGGAGTTCTTGGAGAGTACGGCTCGCAAGCTGGGCGAGTTCGCGGAGCGCGTGCGCGGCGTGCACACTCCGCTGCAGCGCTGCGAGGAGCGGCTGGACGAAGCGCTGGCAGCGCCGCCCGCGCAGGCCGCCGAAGCCGTTGCCCGCCTCGCCGACCAGATACACGCGCTCCGGGCTCCACTACAGGTGATACCCTCTTGCTTTCCTGGACTCCTCATATTTATTGTCTTTGTACTAAAATTATTAAGTTTAATGAAGAGAGGGTTCTTGTTATGACTGTTTTTTTTTTCCAATATTTTTACATATGTATATATTACTGTCGTTGTAGATAATATAATGAGGGTAGCTATAACTCTATATCAATATAATAAATTTATTTATGTTTTTTGTTTACTTCACTTCTATGTAAATTATATTCAGATTTGATATTCAAATTCTTAATAAGGTTTATATGTTTTTACTTTCAAGATATAATACAACCTATAAAAACGGAATAATCTGTATAAATGTGATATAAACTGGCCGTAACGAGTGGTAAAGTGACGTATGCGTTATTGTTTGTAGAGTATAACGTCAGCGGCTGACGACATCGTGTCGCTGGCGCTGGAGAGCGGCGGGCGCGACGCAGGCGCACGCGCGCGCTCCGTGCTGGACGCGCAGGTGCTGGCGCTGGCCGAGCGCCTCGACGAGCTGGACGCGCGCGCCGGGGACGCCAGGGGCCGCCTCGCCGGGGCCGCCGCCGCCACCGCACACTTCCAGGTACCACTACCGCCGTACAGATATAAGCATACAGAGAACACGAGGCACAGATGCCTGTAAGTGGAAGCGATACATGCGACGTGAAATGGACTCCCGATAGTTCCCTCTGTCTCTGTTTAGCTAAACTGCCATTGGCGATCTTGAAGCGGGCATAGTCTTATTCGTAGAACAGACGGGAGATCATGAATTTCCAAAGCCAACCACATAGCTAGAAAGACCATCTATTATCCATCTCTTTGCCTATATTGCAAGATTGGAACTCTTGTTCACTCTATGCTTATATCTCTATGACTACTACTATACGACCGATGAAACTTTATTATATTCGACATCACCGTCGGTACAAAAAATAACAAATTTACATTGAACCTTATCCTTCCAGGACAAAGTGAAGTCACTCTCCCACGACTTATCCGACTTAGAGAAGGAGCTCGACGGTATGAAACACCCGGGCCGAGACATCAAGACTGTGAAACAGCAGTTGGAAGACATCGGCAGGTTCTACAAACGTCTGGAGAACGCCGACGATTTAGTCGGAGACACGGAGAGGGCGGCCGAACAGTGGGTCGACAGTGGATACACTGTTGACACCGCTAAGACCAGAGATCAGGTACGCAAAGACAAACAAACCAATTAAGAACTATTTTCTGCCTTGTCTGTCTCCCGATTTTCTATTCTTTTTTTGGTAATTTAGTAACTGTTGCTTAGCCAGAATGAGTGATAAAATTTAAAAAAAAAAACAAAGTAAAAAAATTGCTGCCGAATTACGACCACGAACGACACTTTTTCCTAGAGAGAGTAATTTATATAATTATCTTTTATTCTGTCAGGTGGAAGGACTACGTAAGCAACTCGCCAAGTTGGACGAGCGTGCTCGCGCTAAGGAACAAGATCTGGACGACACTTTGAGCAAACTGGAAGCCTTCTATAAGGCGTACGACTCTGTCATGGATGATGTGACCGAGGTGAGACTTTGAACACGTGCACATACAAAAACATTGCTTCTAAATGACTACAAACTATTAGCAAAATATTTTTTTTTGAAACATTGCAAATGTTTATAAAATACCGACGTGCGAATCTTCTCGTTATCAATCACAATCTAGTTACTACTTTTCGGTAAGCATCCTTCAAACCACTAACTAAAGCATTTCCTTTAATAGGCTTCAGAACAAGTCCGTAGTCTCAAGCCTGTCTCTTCCGAAGTGGAACAGATCCGCGCTCAACAGAAAGACTTCACGGAACTCAAACGCCGTACCCTCGAGCCGCTGGGCCAGAACGTGGCTCACTGCAACAAGATCGGGCAAGGGCTCGTCAGGTCCGCCCTCCAAGGGGTCAGCACACAAGTCTTGGAGAAGGATCTAGAAAAGATGAATGACAAGTGGAACGCATTGAAAGAGAAAGTGAGTATATTGCCATTAAATATGTATTTTAATATTTTTGACTTGACCATTTATGGTCAAATATTTATATAGTTCTTTATAGTACATAGACAAAATAGAGGAACGTAGATAACGTAAAAAAACATAGATATTAATGTAAAAAAATATAGGTTATGTCACATGCTAATTCCATATCTTTCGCTATAGTTTCTTTCGTAGTCTTTTTCTAGTTTCGTAGTTTCTTTTAAAGGTATTATTATAAAGTAATGTAACTTTTTAATTAAATTTATTGCATTGTATAATTTTTTTACTTCTCTACTCTACTAAACGTAGACTTCGAAGTTTAATCAAATGATTGAAATAATCTAAACAGTAGTATTTAGTTTAGTATACAATAAACTATAATTGCCCGAGTCCCAGGATTTTAAATATATATATATATATATTTTTTACCTAGACGAACGAACGTGAACGTCGGTTGGACGTGGGACTGCTGCAGTCCGGCAAGTTTGCCGAGGCGCTGGCCGGTTTAGAGAAGTGGCTGGCCGACACCGAGGACATGGTCAACAACCAGAAGCCACCCTCAGCTGATTACAAAGTGGTGAAAGCGCAGCTGCAGGAGCAGAAGGTAGGGATCAGATTTATATCCATTAATACCTTCCAGTACTCCCAAACATGTAACACCATTGCCGCGTTGTACCTTTCAGATTTTGATCTACAAAAAAAAAAATACTTCAGAATTTATTTCGTTTTAATCTGTGATGTGGTATCACAACATACATATATTTTATTCTGACAAATAGACTTTCACAATTATTTTTTTCCATAGTTCCTCAAGAAGATGCTCATGGACCGCCAGAACTCGATGTCATCTCTATTCGCGATGGGTAGCGAAGTGGCCGCCGGCTGCGAGACCGGTGAGCGGAAGACTATAGAGAAGCAGCTCAAGGGGCTGATGGAGAGGTTCGACGCGCTCACTAACGGCGCTCAGCAGAGAATGCTGGACCTCGAACAAGCTATGAGGGTAAGTTCAATGTGGGGACCTGGAAGAGAAGTTACTCCTACGTGCCATTGTTTGATTGTTTCAATGGGGATAGCGTTTTTTGAGATGATTTTAAAGATAATTTCTACTAAAAAACATATTTTCTATCAGTGTTTTCATAGATACCCTTCGAAAGTATCGCCAAGGGTTGTCTGGTATTATATCTTTTGTCCTTTGTACTCTTGAGATACGTTTTATTTCAACTTTATGTTTATAATAAAGAATATTCTATAATATTTATATTATATATTTATATAATAAAATATTTATATATATATTATATAATATTTATATTATATATTTATATATATTTATTTCGAAAACAAACCTTTATTCGCTAAATTACATTAATTCAAAATAGCGTAACAATTTTTTTTAAGAGATTTTGTTTGGTTATGTTTTTCCATTTGTCAAAAGCTTCATATACTAATGTGTTTATATTCTAAAGGTGGCAAAACAATTCCAAGAAGAGTTGCAACCTCTGGTCGAATGGCTCGGCGTCACTGAACGGAAGGTGAAGGTGCTGCAGCTCGTTCCTACTGACGAGGAGAAGATACAACATAAGATCAGAGAGCATAAGGTAAAGCTGCCAAACCTGGTCCTTGCATAGAGCAGTAAACTGCCATATTTTATCATTGCAGCTTCCTGGGTAAATGACCAGTCAACAGCTCTATGTAGATATTCTGGTCTAAACAATTATTTTATTTACTGATTTCATGTTAAAAACAAAATACAACTATCTGGTCAAAAATACAGACCGTCCGCTATACAGCCGGGCTTTTGTTATTTAACATAATATGACCAGTGTCACTCTAGATAAAACAAGGTTCATAAAGATGGAGTATCTTTCTAAAAGTTATAAAAAAAAAGTGAAAAAAGAATCTTACATTTGCATATGAAGTCGGCAAATATTAAAAATATAATATTATTTACATACATCCTTGTACAACACTATTTATATTCCAGGCCCTTCACGATGATATCATCTCGAAACAGCCTCCGTTCAAACAGCTGACGGAAACAGCTTCGACTTTGATGGGATTGGTCGGTGATGACGAAGCTACGGCCCTCGCCGATAGACTTCAAGCAGCTACCGACAGGTGAGGAAACAAGGCCATCTATTTTGCTGCGAAAAAGCTAAAAAAAAACAGTTTCCACCTAAATTCTCCATAGCCTATATTCCTGAAAAGTTTAACAGAAGCATATTAATCGAATCACGTAATTGGGGAAAGCCTATTACTGTCAACCAGAAACTTTAGGAATTAAATGAGAAAATTGGGCATTTAATATAAAAGGTCACCACCCCTATTCATCCCGTGGGTGCTTAAGAGCCGACTAAGGTAGCCAACTAAGCAGGACAACAGTACTGCAAAGAGAAGGAAAATTGACACAAACCCTATACCAACCCGTCTGGCCAGCGTGGTATTGTAGGCCAAAACCTCCTTTCTAAGGAGAGGCCGATGTCCAGCAGTGGACTATTGAAGGCTGTTGATGATGATGATGAATATGAAAGAGAGAGTTGGTAAGATGGGAAGGATGATAAGGAGTTGTGGTAAGGCTCAAGAAAGTCAGGGTCGCATAAAAATACATTTTCCACCTTGCTTTAAAAGTCTCTGACGTAAATTGTTTTCTTCTTAGATACCAAGCTCTAGTAGACCACAGTCTGAACCTCGGTGACTTGCTCGAGAGCTCACGTAAAGGGCTCCGACACTTAGTCCTGACGTACCAAGATCTGTCAGCCTGGATGGACAGCATGGAGCAGTACCTCGCCAAGAGGAAGATCCTACCGGTCCATATGGAACAGCTTCTGAGACAAATGGATGAATTAGCTGTAAGTAGCATTTGTCATTTTGAAATGCATTAGCATTTGTCATTTTGAAATGCAGGTGTCCATGGGCAGTGTTCGTTAACCTCCTAGATCCCAAAAAAATAATAGTTGAGTGACGTAAATGACTCGTCTATAATTCCAGTTCGAATCCTAGCTATAGTGTAGCAAAGGTAGAATTGAACTATCAATTGTTACTGACATCCACAGTATGATATGACTTCCAATAGGCCAAAACCTTCTTTCTAAGGAGAGGACTATATCCAGTAGTGAACTGCAGAATCAGATGATTCGATAAAAAATTATCCATCCTCAGGAAAAGACAGAAGAAATAGCTTCTAAACAAGAAGCAGTAGACAGCACAGTGGAATCAGGACTGGAACTGATGAAGCATATATCTGGAGACGAAGCGTTGCAGCTGAAAGACAAGCTGGACGCTCTACAGCGGCGGTACAACGACCTCACCAGCAGGGGCGCTGAGCTGCTCAGGGTCGCCTCGGAGACGCTGCCTCTGGTTCAGCAGCTGTACAACAGTCATGGCAGGTCGGTAAACTTCTCTCATGAATGGTGTCGAAGGTTTTAATATTTACTTTCCCAATTTGTATATTACAAAAAAGATTTTTACGGTTGTTGAATCAACTGACATTTTGATTGGATAGTCATAAAAACTTTTTTCGTTTAACATCTTTGATTGGTTCATAAATGTTCATTTCTTTGTTTTGTTTTCATAAGGATGTGACAAACTTATAAATCCTTTCTTATGTCAATTATAATGATAGTGTTTAGTTTTCTGATTTTTAAATGTGATCTGTTAATTTTTGTCAACAGACTCACCGACTGGATGGCAGGAGCGGAGTCGTGCCTACAATCTGTTGAACCCCGTGAGGAGGATATCTTAAGATTAGAGGGTGAATTGCAAGAATTTAGGCCCGTATTGGACAATATCAACCTGATTGGGCCACAGCTTTGTCAGGTATATTAATATTATTATTTTCTTGGCGTTTTTGAGATCGAGTTTATAATGTTAACATTAAGTAAAATATAAAACATTTTTATACTTTGTTTGATAAAGTTAGTAAAGTTTTTTTATGTTTCATATGTGTCATATGTTAAGATTTTTGTTGGATTACAAGTGGGTAAATATGTCCAGCAGTGGACTATTATAGGCTGTTGATAATGATGAAATATCAATTGGAGTTCTTGCATCAGTAGCTCATGAATTTTGTTACTTCCAGATATCACCTGGAGAGGGCGCTACTTATATCGAAAGCATCGTGACTCGCGACAATCGTCGGTTCGATGCTATCGCAGAACAAATACAGCGTAAAGCTGAGAGGTTACTGCTAAGCAAGAAGGTGAGTATTTTTTTCAAGGGACGAGGATTAATATAATACTGTTGCACGTGACCATTATAATATAATTATTTACTTATTATAAAGTCAGTTTTAATAAACCATTAAATTATAGTCGTTGAATATGAAAAATTATGTTTAAAAATAAAATGGTTTTATCGATAACGTTACAATTACAATGACGTTTTAAAGATTTATGAGTTAGTATTTAGATTTAGAGCCGTACGATCTATTCGGTAGCCGAATCCCCGTACAAACAGACGGTAGGTATACGCTAACGCGTGTGTCGGTGTGCGCAGCGCTCGCTGGAGGTGGTGGGCGACATGGAGGAGGCGCTGGAGTGGCTGCGCGGCGTGGAGGCGGTGCTGCGCGGCGCCGAGCCGCCCGCCGCCGACGCGCCCGCCGTGCGCCGCCAGCTCAACGCGCAGCGCCCGCTCAGCGACGACGTGGCCGCGCAGCGCGTGCGCGTGCGCGACCTGCTCAGCCAGGCCAAGAAGGTACTGCCCGCCCGGCTCGAAGGACCACTCGCTCCTACTTTAAACATAACGCTATAAAGTAGACAATTCATTAAAAAAAAATAGGCAAAATAACTATCCATACTAATATTATAAATGCGAAAGTGTGCTGTCTGTCTGTCAGTTGCCTCTTCATGCGAAAACCGCTGAACCGATTTAGATAAAATTTGGTACAAAGGTAATTTGAGTCCCGGAAAAGGACATAGGATATTTTTATTCCAAAAATCATCCTTTAAATTGGTGATAAGGGGCCTGGCAGTTAGTATAATAAATCAAAAACCGCTGAAATGATTTAGATGAAATTTGGTATGGGGATAGTTTGATTCTTCAGGAAGGACATAGACTACTATTTACCGCTATAAACAAAATAGGCGCAGGCGAAGCCGCGGGCAAAAGCTAGTATTTAAAATACATATAAATTCATAATTTTCAACATATGTAACTACAGGTAACGATTCTTTAGATTACATACTTGAATATGTACTCTCCCTAGGTTCTCCGCGAATGCCAATCGTCTGAGGAAACGGCCGTTATCCGCGACCGCAGCGAGGAATTGAAGGAGACGATGGAAGAAGTGGGACATCTCAGCGCTGCTCGGCTAGCCGCTCTCGAACAAGCGTTACCTTTGGCTGAGCACTTCGCTGATACTCACCATGGGTAAGTTTATTGTACAAAACTTCGTTAGCTTTATCCAAAAACTTCGTGAATAGTAGTAGGTAGGTAGGTAGGTATAAAATATTAAAATACTCACTAAAATCAATATTAAACCACTTGAAAAGTGTTCTATTATAAAACTAAGTCAATTATTTCATAGGTCCAATCTTTCTTCCTTCTGAAAAGTATACTAAAATTTACCTAATAGTAATGCTTAAAAATACTATACAAAAATATTGTTCTTAATTAAATTTCTTTTAAAGATCATTTTCTAATTTCTAGGTTTTAATACTAAACAATTAATATTATTTCTAACATATACACAATTTCACAGCCTGTCATCATGGCTAGATGATATGGAGAAGCAGATCCATATGTTGGCAATGCCCGCATTACGACCAGAACAAATCGTTCAGCAGCAAGACAAAAACGAGGTAAGTTGTCTATTTAGTTTTATCTAACTGTATGACGTCACTCGAAGCTTTACAGGCAAAACTGTCTAATAGTCTACTTGTCTAACTTTAGACATTTAGTGTATGGCTATTATAAAAATTTCTATATCCATGTGTAGCAGCTGTTAGCCAAACCTTGTATGCTTAGTTGTCTTGCACTCTGTTGTTTGATAGTAGTTTACCTTACCTCCACTAGATGGCGTTAGGTATATGGTAACAGTTGGTCTATGGAGATTAAGAAAATAAAATTCTTATAAATTATTATTTTTTATCAGTTGGATATGATTATATTTTATTTATTAAATTTATTTATACACTACTCTAAACTTAATTATTAATACTCGTTTTATATTTTTAGATGCTGCAACAGTCCATCAGCAATCACAAGCCGCTAGTGGACAAGCTGGTCAAGACTGGCGAGGCATTAGCCAAGCTCTGCGGCGATGACGACGCGGCCAAAGTGCAAGACATCGTCGACACCGACTGCGAGCGGTACAACGCTTTACGAGCTGAACTTAGACAAAGACAACAAGAGTTAGAGCAGGTGAGATATATACAACACACAGAAAAAGGCGCACTACCGCTATTACACTCCTTTTGACGGCCGGATGGCGTAGTGGTTTGTGTAATGGACTGCTATTCTAAAGGTCGCGAGTTTAATTCCCGCTCAATTCAAACATTTGTGTGCATGAACATTTAATGTATGATTTGGTCTGGGTGTTTCTATGTATAATATGTATGTATTTAAAAAAAAGTATATCTGTATTTATATCAGTTGTCTAGTACCCATAGTACAAGCTCTGCTTAGTTTGGGACTAGGTGGCGTTGTGTGAATGTTGTAGAATATTAATATTATTTGCTAACTAAGACCTGTACGTGATTTATTTTAAAACAAGGTACGGCTATAATACATAGTCTAAATGGATAGCGTTTGAAAAGTCTAGTGCTTTTCATTTAGACTACAAAACCCGCTAAATTTATTCAAGATCTACTATGATCGTTTGTACTGAATTAAGTAATCAAATATTAATCTGAAAACTAAAGCCTTTTATAAGTAAAATAATGTATATGTTTGTTTTCAAGGCGTTACAAGAATCATCTCAGTTCTCCGACAAGCTGGAGGGTATGCTCCGCGCATTGAACGGAGCTGCAGACCAATTGCAGCGGGCTGAGCCTGTGTCTGCTCATCCGCCCAAGATTGAGTAAGTATACCTATAGGCATGAGTTTTTTTTATACAGGTAAAAAAATCGTCCTTAAAGTCTGAATGGTTGCCGTCATGAAGGTCATTTAAAATAGATTGATTTTATAAACATATGTTATTAATTTTTTTATTTCTTTTCATAGGGACCAAATCGAGGAAAATAATGCTTTAATAGAAGATCTGGAGAAACGTCAAGAGGCTTACAATGCGGTACAGCGAGCAGCCTCTGACGTCATGAGCAAGGCTAACAAGAGTGATCCTGCTGTACGTGACATTAGAAACAAGCTTGACAAGCTTAGCAAGTACGTGTGAAACTCATTTTAATTTACGTAGATATCGTCATAGTCGTGGTGTCGGATCTGACATTTATTGAACTTTACAGGGCAACCATTTCAAAAAAATTTTTATTTTTTTTTACATAACTTTTTTAATTCTAAATCTGTAATTATGAAAATTGGCATACAAGGGAAAAATTAGGTTTGTTTTAAAATTCAATAAAAAATACCAACTAATGAATATACAAGTGTCTAGAAAAATGCTTCATATTACTTTAAGCGCCTATCAAACAAACACTGCATAATTTATAAGCTAAAATACATATAATTTTTTCTTGAATGTAGTAATAATATTTAGACAATGTAGTATCCAAATATGGTAAAAACTGAATTTCGTATTTAAAAAAAAAACCGACAGTATTCTACGATCATGACGATATAATTATATGAGAAAAAAATATGACTGTACTGTGAGCACCTGGCATGATAGCCTGGCTAAAGCCACTGACCTATGAAGTTACTGAAACATACAAGACATTAACTATTATAGTATAATTTACATTTAGTTATGGAAGAGCGGAGTGTCCTAACACAGGCATTGTTTGCTTAAAAGGAGGCTCCAATCACAAATTAATGCTAAAAGTGTTATTCTATTGAAAAATAAAGATATTTGATTTGATAGTATAATTATTTATACTATCATTTCAGGTGCTGATGAAGAAATAAAATTTTATATGTATGCCAGAATTATACTCAATCTAACTTAATTAAGTTAGATTGAGTTTATTCTAGAATTATTATTAAGTATTTGTAATAATTAAAATCATCATCATTGTCGCCAATATTCTAATGGAACGAGTGATGTTGAATAAAGAGGCCTCGCCAAGACCAACACTTCAAGAAATGATTTTCTATCATGCGGCTTAGTTAGCTGAAAAAATTAAAATCACATCAATTACACAGCCTTAGTCTCACAAACAAGTTTTAGTCCCACAAGTTATCGGTCCTGTCTATTATAGACTAGATAATTGATAATTTTTTTGTTTGTTAGGATATGGGACGAGGTGCAAAAGGCGAGCAATGACCGCGGCAACTCTCTGGACAACACGCTGGAGGTGGCGCGGCGCTTCTGGCAGCAGCTCAACGCCGTCATGGCCCAGCTCGGGGAGCTCGAGGACACGCTCTCCGCCCAGGCCCCGCCCGCCGCGCAGCCCCGCGACATACAGGCGCAGCAGCTCGCCCTGCAGGAGATACGGCACGAGATCGATCACACCAAACCGGAGGTAATTACCTAACTTACTCCACAAAATTACAAAGCATTGTATATCTCAAAATATTATTATTAGTGTTCAAATACAAACTTTTTATATACAAGCTAATAACGACGCTATAAACTTGTAATAAAGCTCAAACTGGAGTACACGTCGTTTTAACAAGAAAAAAAAATACCTATAGGTATCACGGCCTGTACTGGCGGGTTGAAATACAAGTAGTATTGTGATGATAATTCTATTCGTATGAATTAGTGTTATGAATGACATCTCTAACGTCTTTTCCCAATCCCAGGTTGAGAAAGTCCGGAAGACCGGTTCGACCCTGATGTCTCTATGTGGCGAGCCCGACAAACCCGAGGTGAAGAAACACATGGAAGACTTAGACAATGCGTGGGACAACATCACCGCGCTGTACGCCAGAAGGGAGGAGAATCTCATTGACGCCATGGAGAAGGCTATGGAGTTCCATGACACCCTACAGGTGAGAACACAATACGTGCATTTTTTTTTAATGCTGTCGCATCACTAGTGTTACAAATAATTAAAAATACTGGCTTTATTATAATATATAATAAAAAATAGGTGTTCAGTTTCGTATTCTAAGCAAGCTACGCAAGCTAAATATGTCTACTAATTAAAAAAAACAAGGTAAATTAATTAACCGAAATAAGGCTTAATTTTATTCTTAAAACAATGTTTATAGATGGTTGTTATCAAATTAGGCATAATAGATTATTCCTTTTCGATTTTAACATTTTAAATAATTATCTCTATACTGGGCACGATTCTCATCTGTATTAAAATAAATTCTTCTTATTACAAACTAAAACATCTCTAAATTATTTCCACACTAGAATCTCCAAGAATTCCTGGACTCAGCCGAAGACAAGTTCTCTCGCATGGGTGCACTAGGATCTGACATCGACGCCGTCAAGCGGCAGATCGCACAGCTGGCCACCTTCAAGCAAGAAGTCGACCCCCATATGGTCAAAGTAGAAGCTCTCAACAGGTATGTAGGGGACAGATGATGATGCATGGACTAACCTTAGGGGTATACTTTTGGGATTGGATTATAGAAAAGAGGATTTGAAATTTTGATAGGGAGGATAGAAATATCTTTTCATTGTACATATGTACATAGGAAAACTTGAAACAAACCCTATAAAGTACCCTAAAATTTGATGCTTCAGCTGTACGTTGCTCGATCAGCCCGTGAATAAGTCTGTCAGTTTTTTTATACATATAAATAAAACAATTTAAGAATAAATTTCTATAAAATATACTATAAATACACTTTCTACTAAATATCTCAAGCGACTCCAGATGGTAGGTATTGTTAAAAAAAAATGCTTACCTTACCTGATTTTCTAGATAATTTTAATTGGTAGTAAATTCTTATAGGCTATGACAGATAAAGTTTGACATTAATATCCTTAGAAAACCTAAATAATATTTAATTTACAGAGATTCCTTTTTTAATTTTAAGCTAACTTCTCCCATCTATGGTTTGTGTAATATTCCCTTTTTAAATATTTTTTTACAAATATAGCAGTAGTAATATTATTTATTGACCCAGTTTTACCCCTTATTTCTAACATTCATAAACAGTAATAGGATAGTGTCACATGTAAGATTTTACAGTATTTCAAAATACTCAACCAAACAATTTAAAGTAATTGATTTGACGATAGCAAGTGTGACGTCACAAGCTATTGTTTAAACAAGTAAAATCAATAAAAACACTATTCTCATAAAGTATCAACTAAAATACCACCCTTTCGAATTTATACAATAGGATCCTTAATTTAAAGTCTGTTTTTCTGTGTTTATTCCACGTACTAATATTGTATTTTTTTATGCGCCCCCCTTCCCGGATTGATGGACATGAAGGAGTTTAATGAGGCAAGATATTACCTTGTAGTACAAGTGTGTGCTTGTGTTTGTTCTGTGTATGCATACATGTAACCTTAGTTATGCGTGTGTGCGTTTATTTGTAGTGCCGTATTCGTACGTTAAACTCTTTTGTAATGCGATTTTTAGGGAGCATCCAATAATTACGTGAGCGCTTTTTCTTTTAATTTGCATCGGAACTAACTCCTAACTAATTGTTTTGATGGAGTGATATATGGTTTTAAATCGTTCTTCTTTCAATTAAAATGCTTAGGAAAAGATCAGATAAAATCTAAATAAATAAGAAGAGATGTGTTAAGGCTGTTTTTTTTTCGGTAAATAAGGCTAGCAATTTTTTTGTCCTGATGTAGAGGAGTGACAGTAGTGGGCGTGTGGGAGGGGTTAGTCCCATAAAACAATCTTTTTAAAGAATGGTAAAGTTTTGTTAGATCCGTTCTTTGCATTTTAAATTGTACGCAATACAAAATAGAGTTTAAAATTAAGCTATCGTTGAAGATGTTCCATAGAATATACTAGTTTGTGCCATGTCTGCTCAGTAACGCCCTATTTCTGTTTTTTTCTTTTTATTGATCTAAAATCTGTAAAGATTAGTGTTATACACGGTGATTTTGAAAGCGTTTTGGAAACGAAATATTTGAATTTGGAATCATCTATAGTACCAATAAAAATGATTAAATCAATTGTAATGTTGTCTAAAAAAAAGTTTCAGTTTTAATATTCATTTTTACTCGATCGACTTGGAAAGTAGTAATGGACTGATCGTTCATTCATTATCTTATATGAATGAAACACGTCCGTGGGCGTTTCGGCGGCCGCTGCGCACCGCCGACGCTAACAGCAGCTGACAAAACTATACCTATAGGCGCGAGCTAGCGAGTACTTACGTAGATAGACTCCAATTTGTCCTTCATACTTTACACGGGCTTAGGACCGTCAGAAATACCTATTTTATTTAAACTTCTTTTCGATTATTAACCACGATTGTTCTTTTCACAACAAATCAATTTATCAACGGACTGTAGGTATAAATATTTCAGGCGTATTTAAAAAATCGGAGCTATCTACAGAATAATTAACTTACATACCTATTTACACTATTTACAGTTCTCTGTATCGAAGGAACTGCTCAAAATGGAGTCCGCTGCATTCAATACACAAACGTCCACGTTTAATGCAATTGTTTTTTAATTTTCTTAATGTGTCTCTATCACTTTTCACTTTAAAGCGTCCACTATCGCAATGCGTAAATTATCACGGCTTTCATATTCCCGTGTATTAACAAGTCTTTTTATTTCCGACCATAAGAAAAAATCCAGGGGCGTTAAGTCCGATCACTAAGCTCATTGTCCAGGTATGCACGCACTACACTCCGGCGAATAATGATTAAAACGTCCTTGACCTTGCGCATGAGTAGGCGCACGAAATTGTCCGTGGTCGAGAAGACGTTGGGTTGCAGCCAAGATAGTAGGTGTGGAGGGAATTTGAGGGCTTTCAATTCCACGTAGCCGTAGTGCATTTAAATGCTCCGGCTTGGGAATACAAACGCCGAGCCTCTTCCAAGTTGTAGTTGGCAGTAGCGTACAGCTGTACCATTGCCAAGAAGTATTCCACGTTTGAAAATTCGTACTGTCGACTCATTTTAGCGCTAATCAAAGCAGCGTGCCGTCACGATGTTATGGTATTACTGACCGACTGACGATGACAGGTGAGCCCCGTGCATGCGCCTACGGGGCAGACGTCATTGGTTGGACGACTCCGGCGCAACTCGGTAGCTTTGTTTTTATTGGCGAATACGATTTGATGTGACACGCATAGTATTTCTATTCGTAGTATTTACCTACGTGTGATTGAATAGCCTACTACTACTGGTTCTGACTTTTTCTCTGTAAACGATATGAATATCGACTTTGATGATAAAAAAAAAATATATTTTATTAAATTAACGTTATATATAGCTTCTGTTACTGATAAATAACTCAAAATTTTCTTTTCCAAAACGCTTTCAAAATCACCGTGTATATATCGTCAACTCCATTGTAATGATATTTTTGCTTTTACTTTAAATTTACTTGCTTAATGCAGTTACGAGAAAGTAACTGATAAACCGCTGTTCTTTCTGTCTAATATGAGTTGTAGAAGGGTAATATATAGTAAAAATAATAGATTTCATAAAAAAAATATGAAGTAGTTCATGAAGTAAAATACAATTTAACTAATTACACGTCATTAATATATGCGACTATTTTATTATTTATTTTTCGAAAAAAAAAAATTCCTTATTGACGTACAAATTCATTTGATTACATTAGAATTGACATCAATTTCAAACACCTTTTGCATGTGTGTGTACAGCTGCAAAAACATATAAAACTTATTTACAAGTATATAAAATGTATTATAGCCAATTAATAATGACACACAATCTACAGACAAGCTCAAGAGCTCACTGAACGTACTTCGTCCGAACAAGCATCGTCCATCAAGGCGCCTCTAACAGAGGTCAACTCACGCTGGTCCGCCTTACTGCGAGGCATGGTGGAAAGGCAGCAACAGCTAGAGAGGGCTCTCCTTAGACTGGGCCAGCTGCAGCATGCATTACAGGAACTTTTGAGCTGGATACAGCACACAAGCGATACTTTGGACTCTTTGAGACCGGTGAGTAAAATAGATTATAATTTTAGTTAATCGAAAAAATGACTTCAAACTGTTTAATATTAGTATCATTACTGAAGTAGTAAAATTATAGATAAGAAAAAAAGGACAAAGAGTAGAACTTAAATGCTGAGTCCAAACTTACGGTACAGAAAAGAGGAAATCACTGAAAGAAATTTGGTCAGGGTGTTTCTATGTATAATATGTATGTATTTACAAAAAAAAAAAGTATATCTGTATTTATATCAGTTGTCTAGTACCCATAGTACAAGCTCTGCTTAGTTTGGGACTAGGTGGCGTTGTGTGAATATGGTAGAATATTATTAATTATCATAATTAATTTTATTATTAATCACTGAGAATCTCGCGATAAAGTCAAGGGGTGGAAGATGTTCCAATGACAATTCCTATCTGTTTGACTGGCCTCAATTAATCATATACCTATACTCAAGAAGTATATCAGTACCCACAGAATATTTTCAGTATCCACCTAATTATTTCATCATCAGTTCAATCTTCCTTGAAAAAATAATAAATACATTTAACTTTAACATAACAGCGTCCTTATTTTAGGATCATATATTTAACATAAAACTCAGTAAAACATTTTCAAACTTAGTGATACTCTACCGTCTCCAAATACAAATGACTCGTATGCTTGCAGGTTGCCGGAGACCCACAAATCCTGGAGGTCGAGTTAGCCAAGCTAAAGGTTCTGGTTAACGACATCGCTGCCCACCAATCGAGCGTGGACACACTCAACGACGCCGGCTCGCAGATTGTTCAGCACGGTACGGGTATGTGCGAGCGCTTTTGCTTTTTCCATTATAACTGTCTTTTAAATACCATTTATTAACTTATTATAACTTTCATACAGCCATACCACATACACATAAAAGAAAATCTTTTGATTTAATTATATTTGCAATCTATTAAAGCTTAATAAATTTTAATAGTTTGAATAATTAAAATTAAAAATATAGCAAAGTGTCACATTACTAGTTTGACACGTAATAATATCTATATGACAGTTTCATCAACAAAGAGTATATCATACCTACTAATTTTTTTGTTACATTGTGTGTGACATGTCCCTTGCAATACGCACTAATGCTTTGAGCTTTAAATATCTGTGTTCGTTTTTAATCTGTACTAATAATATAAAGAGAAAAGATTTGAATGTGTGTAGTCGAGAAACTTAAAATTACAGAATCAATTTTAATAAATGAATAAACGTAAATGTATGTGTTTTATATAAGTTATATTTATGAAGTTCTATGAAAACTTACGTCTTCTCGAATAGGTAATTAACTCTGATTATAACCACTAGGTACTGAGGAAGCTGGTGAAACAGCAGAAAAACTGTCAACTCTTAACCGCAAGTGGCGTGAACTGCAACAGAAGGCACGCGACCGACAGACAGAACTTGAGGACGCGCTTAGAGAAGCTCAAAGGTAACACCGCTAGTTTTTAGTACCTTCCTTGCCGCCTCATTCGGAAATTGATCTTAATTTGATAGGGAATAAAGCACAATTTACATTACCAGCTTTAAGTTGTAAGTTATGTTTCTAATGTATTCCTTGGTGCAGCTTCAATGCGGAAATTGGCGACCTGCTGAGCTGGTTGTCTGAAGTGGACGGTGTCATCACAGCCTCCAAGCCCGTCGGTGGTCTTCCCGAGACCGCCACGGAACAACTTGAGAGATTCATGGTAATTTATTTATATGTTTTTTAATTCGTCATGGTGTGTCCATTTAAAGAAGTCTTGCTTAGACCTTAAGTGGTGCCGTGCAAAGCAAATTCAGCGGTATTTAAGCATATTACAGATTTTATTGTATTTTAAAACCTAACAAAATATAATTAGCCTGCAATTATTAATCTGTCAGACCCTTAAATAAAATTTCCTTGTTTTTATGTTATAACTCACAGTAAAGTAACATTTGACAATATAATACTTCACTACACCTTACATTTGAGAGACTATTATTGAATAACTAAAAATATAATCTGTCGAATAGGAGGTATACAACGAAATCGAGGCGAACCGTCCCAAGGTAGAAGCTGTCCTCCAACAAGGCCAGGAGTACTTGAAGCGACAGGACAAGCCCAACCCCACATCACAGCTGCACCACAATCTCAAGAACTTGAAGTCACGGTGGGACAACGTCACCGCTAGGTAGGAAACACCAACAACTTAACAATAGATTTCATATCTATGTTACTTTTCCCCTGAATAATCCTATATTTGCATTCCACAGGGCATCTGACAAGAAGATCAAGTTAGAGATTGCTCTGAAAGAAGCTACGGAGTTCCACGACGCTCTACAGGCGTTCGTTGACTGGTTGACCAGCGCTGAGAAGACCCTGACTTCAGCTAAACCTGTATCCAGAGTCATGGAGACCCTACTCAGTAAGCACCTAAATCATTAGTAGTTACTTCGTGTTTGATATGTCTTCATTTGATATACCATCAAGCAAGTATGTTTAATGTTGTATGTTTCGATTGTTACAAGTTCGAATCTTGTCTTTTTTTCCGACTTCAAAAAGGAGGAGGTTAGCAATTCGAATGTTTTTTTTTTAATGTATAATTTAGGGCATAACTTAGTTATATATAGAGGGATTTGAAAAAGGAATTTATTTCATATAAATTGCTGATAAGTTTCGGAGATAGACAACGGAACTTTAAAAAAAAAACATCAAAACAAACTTGATTGCTGCTAGGTTATTAGTGCCCTTAGTTAGTATTGTTAGAAGTCGGTTCAAGTTTTTTTTTATTTTAGCTTCCACGCCTTTGTAAAGAGTACAGTATTATATTAAATTTCATTTCACACTAAATTTGACATTTTGACCCGCAGCCCAAATCGAAGAACACAAATCTTTCCAAAAAGAAGTTGCAACTCACCGTGAGACGATGCTTCACCTCGACAAGAAGGGTACTCACCTCAAATACTTCAGCCAGAAACAAGACGTGATATTGATCAAGAACCTGCTGGTGTCAGTACAGCATCGATGGGAGAGGGTTGTATCGAAGGCTGCTGAGCGAACTAGGGCTCTGGACCATGGTTTCAAGGAGGCCAAGGAGTTTAATGATATGTGGTGAGTTTTATCGTACAAATGATTGTAAATCAACGAGCCTCTTGCTCTTGGGATTAGTGATCCTGACTATTTAAACAGTAGTTATGGATTCGATTCCCATTTAGGACAATTAAGCACGAGTAAGGCCAAAACCTCCTTTCTAAGGAGAGGCCTATGACCAGCAGTGGACTGTTAAAGGCTGTTGATGTGATGTGTGATGAAGCACGATCGAAAGTTCTGTGTCTAAATGTTATATATGTATTTAGTAATATATGTTCAATTTTTTAATCAGCAATCTGGTAATCATACTACAGGTTCTGCCGGACTTAGACTGCCGTTTGTGATGTGTCTAAATATATATATATATATATATAAATCTACTTGTTTAAAAGAAGTAACTCAGTTCAGTTCAGGGGTAAACTAATATTATAAATAAATGTCCTTTCTAACACAAATAATTTTTTGTTTAGGAACAATTTGATGACTTGGCTCAACGATACGGAACAACAACTAGACGAACTCAACTCTGAAGCCTCTATCAACGACCCTGAAAAGATCAAGCAGAGGTATGTCATCCAAATCATTCGTTTTGTTCATTCGTTCATTCTTCCTCTTCATTTTTAGTTTCAGTCTTTGTTGTCTTCTTATCTTACGACTATTTAATATTAAATACTTTCTTAGATGTAGAAAAAAAAATCAGAATTCACAATGTAGTGTTATCACATTTTTTTCTGTAGGCTAAACAAGCACCGTGAGTTCCAAAAGGCTTTAGCTGCCAAACAGCCTGTGTATGACCAGACCATGAAGTCTGGTAAGCTACTGAAAGACAAGGCGCCTAAGAGTGACGAGAACACCCTCAAGACCATGATGTCTGATATGAAGACTAAATGGACCACTGTGTGCTCCAAGGCTGTAGAAAGGTAAGTGACAGTGGCTTTAAGGCTTTCTTGATTTACCTTTATTTATAATATTTCGTAAAGAAAATAATTGAGAATACGTATTCTACAAATGATGTGTCATTGTTTATTCGTTATATTAAAAACAAACTAAATACGCATATCTCCCATTATCACGATCGCAACACTATGAACCGGATATGATTATTTGTTGGTTTGAAGGACCATGTACGACATGTACATGGTCCATTTAGTTCTAAAATTGCAAAAAATTGGCAAAATAAAGTATAAACGAAGCTATTTCTACTCAATTTTCGTCGTACAAATAAATTTTCTCAGTAAATATCTACATAGAATTGATTATTTCACAGACAACGCAGGCTGGAGGAGGCCCTGCTGTACTCCGGACAGTTCAAGGACGCGATGTCAGCCCTTCTGGAGTGGCTCAAGAAGCAACAGAAGGAGCTGTCCGCTGACTCGCCCGTGCACGGTGATCTTGATACTGTCATGGCGCTCATCGAGCAACATAAGGTAATATTTATGATAACATTTGGAGACATAAACTGGTAATGTCACGTATTAAAAAAAAAACTGTCATCATACATAGGGTTGTCTTTTATTAAGTAGGCATATGGAGGTAAATTGTAAGGATATATTGTTTTCTTAATTTCAAATATTGAAAATTAAATTGTCATGTTGGTAATGATTTTACCCTCAAATACTTTTTTTAATTTATTTATTTGTATATTTAAAACTACCATTACACGTTAATTTAATGTGATATTTAACTAGTTAGGTGTTATAATATAATAGAATGAAGGTTATTAATTTACTTATTGTAATTGAAAGGAAAAGATTAAAGTGGTTAAAACTGTATAATATATTTAAATTACACTTATTATTTAATATTTGCACTTAACTTAATATAGATAAAAGAAAGGAAATTATTTTAAAGTGAACATGTTGCAAAGGTTTTTAATAAGTTAGCATTTTTCATTCTAATCACTGATTATATTCTTATTATTGTTATCTTTCAAGTGAAAGGTGCTCATTATCAGAGCGTACTTATTTACGACTTTTTCGTCTGTGAGATACGTGTTTGATGATTCCAAATAATTAGTTCGTATCGAACCGAGCGTAAGCATAGCATAGCATGCGCGAGAGTCGGGTCAGGACGTTAAACGCGTTCGCGTTGCAGCAATTCGAGGAGGACTTGCAGTCGCGGTCGCAGCAGATGGCGTCGGTGCTGAAGACGGGCCGCGAGCTGCAGAGCTCGGCGCCTGCTGCGGACGGCGCCGCCATCGCCGCGCAGTGCCACGAGCTGCAGCTCGCCTGGGACCGCCTCGCGCGCGCCACCGCCGCCCGCGCCACCCGCCTCGACGTCGCGCTCAAGGAGGTACCCGCTCGCTCCTTCCGTCTGAGGGTCGTGGATCCGTCGCGTCTCTCGGACCGTGTATAGATCGAGGAGTGATGCCTCTTTCATTTTTGAATAATTGGATTTAAAAAAAGTTCAACCGATTTATCTTACAGCGTTTGAAACTGTTAAGAGATATTTTGGGCTACAAAACTGAACATAAAACGCCTAAAATTTCGAATTATAATAAATCACAAAACGATGTAAACCCTTCTAAATAATATCAAATCGATTTATTACAAAATAATCTAAAATCGAAAAAAAAATTACGCAGTAAATTCATTGTTACTATCCAAAAAATCACAATCACTATTCACATACTTAACCACGATAATATATATATTGAACCAAAGTTTGGACCGAATTACGGCAACCGTAGTCAGAAATCGCGATCCTTATGTACCGCTTTACAAGATTAATAAATTATTTTCAAAATAACATTAGAGATGTCTCCATCAAACGAAAAAAAATCTTTACATCCTAATACTTGAAACTACTTAAATATATCAATTTGTATTACTAAGTTACAACAATAGTAATTTTGTCGTGTAGAATATAATAGTTATTTTGTCTCCTTAGGCTGAAAAACTACACCGTTCAGTCAATATGCTACTCGAGTGGCTATCAGACGCAGAGACCAAGCTTCGATTCTCCGGCCAGCTACCCGAAGGAGACCAAGAAACCCAGCAACAGATCCGCGAACACGAACGCTTCGTGCGAGAGCTCAACGAGAAACTAAAAGACAAGGAGGACACTATCACTTTGGCTCACTCTATCTTAAGCAAGGCTCATCCTGACGCAGTAACTGTCATCAAACATTGGATTACAATCATTCAAAGTCGATGGGATGAGGTAAGATCTTTTGGCTCTTTCTTACATTAGAGGTGTGATAGAGATAAATGTCAGTTTATATCATATTAATTTTATATGAGTTTAATTTCTTTTAGATGATGTTATATTTTTGGTAACCGATAGTCTTTTTAAATCACACCCAATATTCCGTTCAACTATTTTATAAAGGCGTTAAATTTCCGAGTTATCATCCAAAAATACGTTCTTATTTATTTTAATTTAAATAAAGTTCGATAATGATAAATGATATAATATCTTCATATATAGAAAACTAGTATTAAAAGATTTCAATACAAGTGAATTGAGATCTCATTGAAATGTTTTTGTTATTCAAGAAATAAATATTAGGAGTAGAAGCATCTTAAATAAATGAATGATGATGATATTTTATTAAAAAAGGTGTTATATGCAATGAGAAATAAAAAATATTATATCTAATCTTATCAACAAACTAATACTTATGGTACCGATTTAAAACGGCTCCTCATGTAAATATTATTCATTTGAAGCTAAAGATACCATTTTTTAATTTATATGAAACAATAAAAATATCTGAATATTTATTGAAACTTCAAAGAATCTTTTCGAAACTAGGCCGAGACTTTATTATGGTAACCAGACTATTCATATCATAGATAATTTTCACCCAGATTTAAAATATACTGGCTTATCACAAAATTTCTTATCCTTCATGTTAATCGAACCTATATCTGACCTCTGACTCTAGCCGACAGATAAGAATCACTAGCCACTAGACCAACAAGCAGAGCAACGAGTGTGCGATCATTCGTGTGATAGCAAAACTGTAGCAAAAACATACCTACCTTGAAATAAGTACATCTTCCTAGCGATAAAACAATAATTAATCAATAATTACATGTTTTTGTGATTAAATTTTTTCGATAATTAGTATCGCTATACTAGATTATAAATTTTCTTTTACAATTAAATCAGTTGATCGTGATTTTTAGTTACGTAAGATGTCAGTTTGGTCCTTAGATATTATTATGAACAGTGTGGCATAGTAATAGTTAAATCAAAATGACCGAGACTAAGAGAGAGCTGGTGACCACATTTCGTCCAGTCATGCAAATATTCCGAAAGGTTACTCCAGGACAGGTGATGAAACATAGTTATTTACAGACATAAGTAATTATTTTCTGTTAGCGAGTACTTACTTAATAATTTTTATTTCTAAATACACTAACTAAACTAAAAATCACTTAAAAAAAATTTTGTCCAATCAAATAACGTTTCTGATTCTGAAAACGTAGTACTTGACAGTTCTATACTAAATTTGAGTGATTTTTAGTTTAGTTTAGAGAGTTTTCTAACAACAGAATTAGCACCACTATCTGTAAGAATACAGATAAATAAACATTAATCGTTATCCGTGTGGTGATGGGTTAAGAATACCCCCACCACCACCCCCTAACAGAGACATTACGAAGATCGACTAATCATTTGTATATACTTCATTGAATTGGCAACAACGGTATTTATTTTGTGTCCAGGTATGGCAATGGGCGATGCAGCGTGGCACCAAGCTGGAGACCCACATGCAGAGCTTGAAGGACCTGGACTTAGTGCTGGAAGAACTCTTGCAATGGCTCATCGGACTTGAGAATACGCTACTTTGTAAGTTATAAGTTCCTATCCTTATGATTACTTACAAAATACTTTTTGATGATTATTTGGACTTGATTTCAAAAGAAAATAGTAAGGAAATGGACTTAGATTTTTTGCTTTTCTTCGGTTTTTACTTCTCGTTTACTTCCAATTAATTTTGAATAAAAAATACCACCCTTAAGGGTGGTAAATTAAGGAATGCAAAATACAGTTTATTACAATTTTTTAGGGGTAGGTCCACCAGGTTTAACAGTTAATTTATTATATAGCATTTGTAATCATATTAGAAATAATAAACTTACATAAATTTAAGTTATGTTATGTTTAACTTATTTTGATATATTAAATTGAATGAACTGAAAAAAGTCGTTTATACAACAGTGAACTTTAAATTGACAACTTTTACAAGGTTCTACTATCAAAATTGTCTGGATACTGATGAATAAATTTGTTCCAAACAGCGCTTGAAGCTGAACCTCTACCAGAATCGATCGAACTACTAGAAGGCCTTATCGAAGACCATAAGGAGTTGATGGAACACACACAGAAGAGACAAAATGAAGTCGACAGAGTCTGCAAGGCTTACCAGGTAATGAATCCTTCTGTTTTATTGACAAATAGCTTCAGATTCCGTTTATTATTTTAGTTATATGTCAAGTTTCTTTTTTTATTATTATGTTATACATTAAACAAAAACAACAAATATTGGTGTCATAAATTGTTTGAGTATTATGACAGTGTTTTGTTTTATATCTTTGTATGGCCCAGATTTATTTCTTTGTTACCAGTAGTGAAAAGGAAGAGAATAATTTTGTGTAACACATAGAAATATATGAACATACTAACATTTCTGTAAATATCTAGTAAACTGATAAAATTAATCTCTCTAATCTTGTTTATGTAATAAAAAATACATTTTTTAATACATAAACAAGAGGTTGTTTTTGAGAGCTCCAGTATTAGAGTCTGTGTAATATCTATGTTTTTTATCTTATTCTCTGAAGGTTAAGAGCCAGAACCAGGGTCGAGAGAACACACCAAGGAAGGTATCGGCCAAGAGCGCTACTAAAGGAGCACCTGGGTACGTACAAACACAACCACTGTTATACTCCTTAGATATATGTGTGTACCTATTTGCTACTTAATTCACTGGCGACTTTCTATGGAATGCATTCTACAGACGCTTCTTAAAAGGCCCTTGATGCTTAAGGTTGATAAGTTGCCAAGTTTGATGCTATGGGGTTTCACGGGTCAGAGGTATTAACACCCCTAGTAGTATAAAGGACCTACAGTAGTGGAAATGAGGATGGGATTAGTCTTCCTATCAGTCCTCCTATTTGAGAATCAACAGGAGTGGCACACGAAATCATAGATTAAGGGAGACACAAGAAAAGAAACAGAAGAAGTAACCTGAACTGTTTCGGGGCAAGAAGTATATTCATCTACGTCCCTCCTAACCAAATAGGAGAGGAGAGGAGATAAATGAATATAATAGCCCAAGGACTTACAAAGTTTTTAGATTCTGCTTTAAAGGTATTTTATTAAAGGTCTAGGTACACATATATATCTATAGAGTGTATCTTTTTGTGTTTAATACAAATATTTTTTATTTGTATGTTGTGTGTAAAATCTTATTTTAAATTTTATGTTGTAAATTTTACTATTTTTATGTTGTATGTTCTTTTTCTACCACTTTATGTTTATTTTCGTTTGTTTGTCTTTGTCCAATCACGTTCATGCACGCTGCGGCCATGTTGTGACGTCATTGCATGGTGTGAATGTAGACGCGGTTCACAGCACGACCTACATAGGGACAGATCAGTGTCGCCTGATTACTATGGGTCTAGGCGTTTCAGGTGTGTTTGTGTTTTTTTTTTTGTTTTATTTATGGAGAATTCTTACATACAAAACCGGGTATATACTTTAAAAGTCCATTTTAAGTCGATTGTATGATGATTATGTACAACTTGAAATATTAGTCACATTGCGTTCTTTCTCTTTTCCTTTCATTATGCGCTTATTTTATCTGATTAGAAATTTTGTAACTGTTTTGGTAACAAACTACATACAAATGACTAATTATGTGTTTGATTATTTTGGGTGTTAATGTTTTTCAAGAGATGGAACAGTAGTAAAGAATTTCCATAATATATTGTACTTGTTTACTGTTTGTGTTTTTTATACCTACAATATTATTATACAATATGACTATTAAAAAAAATACCGGTATATTTTACTGACATGTCAATTTTGACAGATTTAATATTTTGACAGCTGTGTAATTATGAAGGTATATAATGTATGATATTGTAGGTATACTAATGTTAACTGTACTTTCATATGCTTACGTGTCATCTGTGTAACTGTTGGTTCCATTGTCCGAAAATACCCTCAAAATATTAAAAAAAATTACCTTCTACAACTTTTATTTTTTATTTTTCGATTTCTTAACATTAGTATTTGCTATTTTATATTTAAAACATCACATTAGATAACCTAATTTTTACAATAACAATAGGTTCTATAAAATTCACTGACAATGTTACCAACAAACGTAGCTTCATCCCGCTCTAACACATTGTAAACGTTGCTTTCCGTCTCGCTCTGTGGCACGCTTCAACGACAGTTCCCGGATTCACACTCGCAGTAGGAGAGGAAGGTTTGACAGATTACTTTTTTAAGAGTGACGTAGTTAGTTGCCTGTGTAGTATAGTAGTGTGTGTTGCCAGTGTGATTACAATGCAAGGGAGATTGTTATGTAACTGGTCTATTTTTATTGAAGGAAAAGAAAAAAAAGTTCTCTAATTTTATAAACAGGTGTTAAGCAATTCTTTTCTTGCTTACCCACCTCCCCCTCACCCCCGATTATGGAGGGGAAGGACTCAAAAGGCGGCAACGCACTTGTGACTCTTGAGTTGCAGGTGTTCATGGGCGGCGGTAGTCACTTACCATCAGGTGACCCGTCGGCTCGTTTGCCCGCCCCCCTCTATGCCATAAAAAATAAAAATGACCGTTGCTTACCATGAGTAGAGTATTACACTTAGACATGTTAGATTGGCTTCTATTAAACATGCATGCTAACCTTAGAGACCTACTATTTCTGGCTAAATTTATTTCTATTCTTGCATCCTTTTTAGAGAAATTTTCATGAATTTTTAGTATTATCATTCTCTTTTAAATAAAATACAGATTATGTGACTTGACTACCAATAAATACCCTAATGGGACCATCTTTACAAGGCAGAATTTGAGCATAGACATATCCCCAAAAAATGAAATTTATACATATGTAAAAAAATAGTTTCTTGCGATTACCAATAATATTACAAGCGCCTCTTATTGCTTCGTTTAAAATCGTTTACGAATCCTACATTTTAACAACAAAGTACTTAATTGCTATTATTATCATAATATATTCTGTATTTATTATCGAACAAAATTCTTAATTATTTTATTAATCTATTTCTATTAGATGTTAAGTTGTCATTAGCAGACTTTCCGTGCCGTGACAGGTCAATAGACACGTGTTCAGTATACGTCACGGACACTGGACACGTGTAGCCGGTAATGGTAACACACATTGTTCCAATATTCTGTCTTTCTGCACTTAAAAAAATATTTCAAAATCTTATGTTACCTCTTTTCCTGAAGCTTTTAGAAGATCTTCAGAATCTCAGTGTTTGATACGGTGATTACACCGATGGCTTAGTGGTTGAAGCGGTCACCTCGCCGCTTCCTACTGCGATGAGTGTTGTGGGTCCGATCCCCACATGGGACAACACTTTGTGTGATCCATAAATTGTTGTTCTGAGTCTCGATGTTCTTTGTGTCCTTTTCTTGTATGTTTGTAAAGTCCCCCGCGATACAGGATATATTCCTACTGCGGGAGTTGGCTTTACACTGTACAAATGTGCACATTATAGATAAATATATGTCTATGCCGCCAATCAATGCATACATTGTTTTAAATTAAATTATTTCAGTGAGAATGATCGTACTGCATGACCTAGAACTGTCTAGCCTAATATACACTAAACAGACGCCCGCAACACATTCCTGAATTTATATTTTCGGCATAGTTTTTTACGAAAAACAATCTCTATTCAATCAAAATACCTTTCATTTTTAAACTCGCTTTTCATCAAGAATTGTAATAAGAAACTAATAAAATACAATATATAAACGGCTATAAACGCACTGTAGAATACTAACACTCGCCACAACTTCGGTCACTAATCCTAATCGTATTCGAATACTCTATTGTAAAATAAATACGGTTCAATTTCCTCTGCACAGTAGTCTACTAATAGGGTTGGCCCTGGAAACATCGTATGTTTTGTAACTAACATCACGCGTTCATGACGGACTAACAAAAATGCTCGGTTTGGTTGTCGTTTCCCTGTGATTACATTGTTGCGTGTGTGTAGTCGCGTGAGTCCCGGGCGGGAGTCGCCGGATCGCAACCTGCCGCACTACGGACCCAGGTTCCTGGCGAAGGGAAGGTAAGGTTATCACACCCCGACTATTGTACCGTGTTTCTAAACAATTCCGTAGCTTACGACTTTAATTCAAATCGAAGTCGTAATTTGTTAGTCTTTTTATTCAAATAAAATTTTTATTCACTGACGCGATGTTAGGCAAACCGGAAAGTTACTATAACATAAATAAGATACTTTCGAAGGTCTGTGTTTTATAAACATAGGTCATGACATTAAGCATTCTGGGTGGGACATCGAAAACAGGGCGTTTTTAATCATGATTATTCTTGTGTAGTGTGTAGCTTTATTTTTTTTTAAATATGTCCTTGCTGGGTTTTTGTGTGTGGCAACCCTAGTGCAATTTTTTTTAATTCAGCATGGCAAGTGGGCATGCTGCCAATTTTTTTTTTGCTGCTGTTGGTGTTATTTAATTTGCCGAATTAGTTTGCTAAACGTATTCTTATTGTCATATTTTTTAGTTGAATGCCATCATTTTAAACCAAAAATATACAGAATTAACTGTTTCATCCCTACTGTTTTATTATTATATTATTTTTCGCAGGCATACATCCGTTTTTTTATTAATTGAAGTAATTTAGTCATAGATAAAAATGAATTAGGTATAGTTATTTTTTTTTGTAAAATATAAGTCATATCTATTTACTCACCAGAAACAAAATTTTATTACAAAAAAAAACAAAAAGTAAATAAATTTCAATTCATGTTAGTGACAGAAATATCAAAATTTGTAAAAATATATTTACCAGTTTCTCATCGTATTTTTTCTCTCTAGCAGCAAGGGTGCTGAACCAGAATTTAGATCGCCCCGCGTAAAACAACTATGGGACAAATGGCGCACTGTGTGGTTGCTAGCGTGGGAGAGACAACGCCGGCTGCACGACAGACTCGTCCATTTGAAGGAACTGCAGCGAGTGTCCAACTTCAGCTGGGACGACTGGAGAAAGCGGGTACGTGGCTATTGTTTCTAGATGATAATTGAATACCGGAACCACGTTTAATACGATGTCATTTTGAAAAAAGGTGGTAAGCATATATGGAATTAGGAAGTCTACTTTCTAAAGAGTCTACTAGCGACCACTTACCTCACCACTTCCTACAGCGCTAAGTGTTGTGGGTTTCATCCCTACATAGGATAACACTTTGTGTGATCTACAAATTGTGGTTCTGAGTCTAGTTGTTCTTTGTGTTCGTTTCATATTTATGTAAAGTCCCTCGCGACACAGGAAATGTAACTAGTGCGTGAGTTGTCTTTAAAAAAAAATTTAACACTCAATAGTAATAATAAGAATGTTAGCTTGCAAGCCCAAGCTAGACCAAGCCTTAAATGATTTTGTGTTTTACTTTTTATATAGATAATTCCAGAAAAATCCTCAGTCCGTAATATTATCTGCTCCAGTAAATTTTGATTTTCAATTTGTTAATTTAAAACAAGATGTCTGATTTATGAAAAAATAGGTTTTTTGCTTTCGTTGTAACCTTTTCACATTTTTACCGCACTACTAAACTACGTTAAAATATGGCGGCCACCTTTCCAAATCACCTGTAAATTGTACAGAATGTTCGACAAGGTATTCCTTTTGACACTCTAACCTACATTCCCAAGAGTTTGTAAGTATAATGTTTGCCCACAGTTCCTCAAGTTCATGAATCACAAGAAGTCAAGACTGACGGATCTGTTCCGCAAGATGGACAAGGACAACAATGGACTGATAGCGAGACATGAATTTATTGACGGAATTATCAACACCAGTGAGTCATTTAAGTTTAACCATTCTTACAAATAATAATAATTACACGTCTCACACACGGCCGTCTATGCCAAACTAGGCAGAGCCCGTACTATGACTAAAATATTGACTCCTTTGTAAGGAGAGGACCATGTCCAGCAGTGGACTGTTAAAGTCTGTTGGTGAGGCGGCCGGTCACACCACCACCAAGAAACCTCAAATAAAATTTACAAAAGGGCAAGAATTATAATGATCTAAAATACATATTTTTTCTTGTAGAATTTGACACGTCCCGACTAGAGATGGGCGCTGTGGCTGATCTGTTCGATAGAAATGGCAGCGGTCTGATTGACTGGGAGGAATTCATCGCGGCACTCAGACCTGACTGGGTAAGTACTTTTTAAATTACCCACAAAATAAATATATCATGATTTGAGGGTAAAATGTAAATTGTTAATCTAATGCTTATAGTTAATTATATGTATAGGTAAATGCAAAATTTTATTGTAATTCGACGTGGGTTCCACCGAAGTACTGGTACTTCGGCCTGACAGAAAATCGGTGTTAACAAATTTTTTGGTTTCTTTTCACTGAATGGGTGTGGTTACCGAAGCCTTAACATAGACCTCCTGCTTCTTAATTCTGGGGATGAAGGCTCAAAAGGTGGCAACGCATTCTGTGACTCTTGAGTTGCAGGAGTTCATAGGCAGCGGTAGTCACTTAACATCAGGAGACTTAGCTGCTCGTTTGCCAAAAAAAAGGTTATTTTTAATAAAGTTTCGGGCACCGCCGAGTCCTTTATCAGGGGGTAAAATGAGCCGTTGATGGCCCGAGGTACGTCGGGGCACCAGGGATTTCCTTTCTAGGGTACACCTGGTTCCCCGACTCCTGGATCATATTGAACATATCAATATTGTTGACGTTTTCATACAACAGAGCAGGTTACTCCTTATTGTTTTTTTGTTTTTATATTTTCTCACCTTAATACAGTTTCTTCGACATAATTACTAAAGACAGTATACCAGGATCATCGTAACGAAAACGAAGTACCTAACCTCAAATTAGTATGTTAATAGTCTTGAACAAAATACATTAGTTTTATTTGACATTTACAGTACCTAGGTAGATTATATTGTGTGTAGTACTTACATCGAAATGATCTTCACAAAAATACATTCTTCTATTTGTTGATATTGATAAACAATGAGCATCACTCTTGCTAGCAAGTGTTAACCACTTTTCCCGTGTTTGTTGATTGTTTGGAAAATATATAAATAATTTGTCTGGCGTTTTTATGATTGTGCTTTTACACTCGGGCACTATATAGTACTTGTAATACGAAGAATTCATTTTTAGAAAACAGTTTTGTTTCGCAGACTGTGACGTCACGACTGGATGGCGTAGTGGTTTGTGTAACGGACTGCTATTCCAAAGGTCGCGGGTTCGATTCCCGCTCAAGTCAAACATTTGTGTGCATGAACATTTGATGTTTGATTTGGTCTGGGTGTTTCTATGTATAATATGTATGTATTTACAAAAAAAAAGTATATATGTATTTATATCAGTTGTCTAGTACCCATAGTACAAGCTCTGCTTAGTTTGGGACTAGATGGCGTTGTGTGTATGTGGTAGAATATTATTATATTATTATTATTATTCAAGACGCCATGACACTATTCAGCGTTTTCAAGGGAAATTTAAATTGTTTTTTTAAATACAAAATACGTAATGTAAATATTGCTTTTTCTTTAAAATATAGGTTTTTTGGGATAAAATAGAAATCTATACTAATATTATAAAGCTGAAGAGTTTGTTTGTTTGAACGCGCTAATCTCAGGAACTACTGGTCCGATTTGAAAAATTCTTTCAGTGTTAGATAGCCCATTTATCGAGGAAGGCTATAGGCTATATATCATCACGCTACGACCAATAGGAGCGGAGCACCAATAAAGAATGTTTCAAAAACGGAGAAAATTATTACTATTGAGAGACGCAGACGAAGTTGCGCGGGTCAGCTAGTTAAAGTATAAAATTAACCAAGTTTTCAAATTGAGCCAACTAGCCTGTTGGCCCTTGGGGATCAGGCTTTATACTTGATTTAATACTTCGTCGACGTGTTATACTTGTGTGCTCTTCCAATTATTTATCGTGTCCCACTTTTAGAAACCTTATTTTATTTATTCTTTATGTACATATAAACGTGACAAAGGTGGACTTAATGGCGAAGGCATTTTCTACCAGTCGACCTTAAGGCGATGCAGAGCTTAAACGTGGTGGATGCACAGAAACTAAAAATTAGTTTTTATGACAAATGAAAAATATTTATGGAATATATGTCTAATATATGTATGAGTATTTATAATTATAGATTCCGTTCGAACAAGTTTAACGCATAAGTAAAATAATTTTTAATACCTTCAAATAATCGTAAGTTTGACTTGCTTCCAAGTTGATATTTACATACAAAAATAGTAAGAGATTAGACTTACACACTATACATCACTCTCAAATCAATTTCACAGTCTCCCACTGCATTTTATCTGTACAAAATATATAATCTTATCTAATACATTCTTTTAAACGCTGATAGGACGTCGCATTCTTGTGGCAGTCTTACTGTTTGCCCTATTCTGTTACTTAAAGAGAACCCCCTTGTAAGTATACAGCAAAGTGGATTATTAAAATAGTTACCAAGTTTCTTTAGAAAGTTATTCGCAGTATAATAAAAAAATGTCCATTTGAACAAAGTAAACAAAAAATACTGTAAAATGTGAAGAAGTAACCACACACATATAAAACCGGGCCTTTCACGTTCTCCGCTGTATTATCCCAATGATAATGAAGTAATGACCAAAAGGTAAGGCCCTGAAGGGACATCGCTAATATATGCGTTGTATCTACAAATTTTTCAATACAATTAACAGTTTAGTGTGTATTTTTTTATTTATTACCGATATTTTCGTATGAAAGAAAATTCAATGCATTTTGTAGAAAAATATTAATGCATCTTTAAAGAAAAACGTTTGTGAAAGTTGTATTAGTTGTATATTGTGTTCCATACCAAGCACGATTAACGTTATAAAGATCACGGTCAAACATCAACCCAATTTTAATAAAGGTACGATTCAGGTCTTGACGAAAATTTCACCACCCAAGAGGAGATTGTATTCTAGATCGATGAAGAAGATTTTCTAACAGTTTTCAATTTAAGATTTGACAATAAAAACTACCAAGAATAACATAAAACGTCGTCCTCATGCGACGATCGTCAACCTACTGTATAATTTGCATAATATGTACTTTCTATTGAACCGATCATATATATATTTTTTTGCCAAGAACAATGTCTTTGTAAATCAGGTCGAACGCCGCGGTCCACCGACGGATGCAGACAAGATCCACGATGAAGTGAAGCGCCTCGTCATGCTGTGTACTTGCAGGCAGAAATTCAGGGTGTTCCAGGTCGGAGAGGGCAAGTACCGGGTAAGTGTATTCTGCATACTAAACTCCACTAAATCCAAAAATATTTAGTTAATTGCGTGAGTAAAAATCACTCCGGATTACAGGAGTCAGTAGTACAGAACAGCACAGCTTAAAGGAACATCGGAAATATTATCTAATTGCCATTATCGTCAAACATCGGATTTTTATCCCCATATTTTGCCTGATATTAAATTTGGCCGTTAGAATTTAACTGGCATAGAAGTAACGCGTTATTTAAAAGACTGTCCTTTTCTTATTAGTGTATGAAATCATAGGACGGACATACGGATATGTCTTCCCGGCCTCTTTAAACTACTGTAGCCCAGTCCCGCTTCCCTATCCGGCACTTGCGATATCCATTTATCTGGCACCCGCGGCCCTATTTGTTTTCCTCCCCCAAATTTACTTTAAATTTATTTAATTTACGCCAGGCTGGATATAAAGGATACAAGCGAAAAGATTTTGAATGAAAACACATTGCGGTGACGCCAAATTAGTTCGAGAAAAATGTTGAAAATTATGATATGATGATGAAAGTTGCCGATCATGGGTATTTTACGGGTATAATCAATCTTGAAAAGGCCGCATCGTCTTCAAATTTACAAAAACTAGAATGCATTATTCTCCCACAGTTCGGTGACTCGCAGAAGTTGCGCTTGGTGCGTATTCTTCGCTCCACTGTCATGGTACGCGTCGGAGGAGGTTGGGTCGCACTCGACGAGTTCTTGGTCAAGAACGACCCCTGCAGAGGTACGTATCAACTAGTGTGGGAAATGGGACGAGGGATTGACAACGGTTACTGAAGGAGATCAGCTAATTGTAAAATCTCAAGCAACCCTGGAGAAATCTCTTCTGCCTCAGATTAAATTATATAATTTCAAAAGAAAAAAAATCAATCCAATTATGGGTAGTAATAACCATCCCAGTTACATTAGGATTGCCAATAATACGCTATAAATACGTATTAAAAGCCTAAGGTAATGCCTAGACTTTAAATACAAGTTTTCTGATGTGATTTCCTACAGTAACCTACTTAAAGAATTATATAATTCCTATTCTTTTCGGTCTTACTGTTTTTTTCTTTGTAAGTACTGGTGTGTGATTAATTTCTGATATTAAATGAACGTACGACTGTTTTGTTTAATTTATAAGCAGTAAGACCGACCTCTAAATACTTATACGAGAGGATGTTTCAAAACTCGAAATATTGCCCTATACCTACTTCTGGTTACAAAACGTTGATACATAAACTACATACGTACGGATTTACGCTCTTTTTAAGTCCAAACTTTTGACATCTATGAACATTGATTCGTCTAGTAAACAAATAATTACTGTAAGTTACAGTTAACACCGTATGTTACAACAATCCTAAATCAATCTTATATAAATATTTATATTTCACTTTGATGTTTCTTGTGTTGAAAATTTTGAAATGTTCTCTCTGTAAGTAATAAAGACATCATTCTATTAAAAAGAACCTAGCGATGATGAATGAAAAGTATAACCGGAAATTAATGAAAAAATATAATGTGGAATTTACCGTACACATTCTTATTTAATGTTTGAAATTTTACACATTATATTTTGTTTCAGAGTTGATTTTAAAATGACTAAGATTTTGGTAAACTATTCGATTTCATGTGTTTCGTAACTTCTATAATGCTTTTAAAATAAAAGCACTATAAAAGTTGCTTTCGTTTCGACTCCGTAAGCACTAAACCTAATTTTTTTCAAAACATCGACTACTTTATTACGAAGTATAATTATATATTACAGCAGTGCTTCGAAGTCGGAACATTTTTATTAATAGGTATAATGGTTACATTCAAAGTGTCAATCAAACAATTCGGTTTAACGTTATATGTGTTAACACCCTAATGAGGGACTATTGACTAATATATGTAAACGTCCCCTAACCTTGTGGGCAAATATTTTTAGTGCAGCCTTTTTGTATTGGGAGGATAATTTTTAAAAGGTGACCTTCATTTTATAGAAAAAAAAAACGACCTTAGTTCATAAAACTGAAAAGAAATACCTAAAAATATCTTATAACATCAAAGGCGCCTCTTGAAAATGCCTATCCCAATACATTAGGGTTTCGGAGGAAATATTTGTCCATGTGTTTTAAATAACAAAAATAACATATTGTTAATACAATTTTATTACGAGTACAAATATCAATTACAGAATACAAAATTAATTTCACAATAACTTACATTACATTCATAAATTATTAAGTAGCTGGCAATATCATTATAAAAGTTTAAAAAACTAGAAATACTGAACAGAAATGCAAATAAAAATCACAGAATATAAAATTACATGCTAAAATACTGGTTTTGTTTGTGGCAACTATAAACTGAGGAGGTTCAAGGTTAAACTACCTGTTTAATGATCTAAAAAATATTTTTAGCATGACACATGTTAGCTTCCTAAAGGTTGACTCAGATTAATTAAATAGCTTTGAGAAATAATATAGATTAAACATAATTTAATCAGTTCATGAGATAATTAATAAAAATAAAAATGTAAATAACTAACTTAAAACTAGAATAAAATCAGTAAAAACAAGTGTTAAGTCTTTAAAAATATTCTTACTGCTAATGGTTACTAATTGGCAAAATTACACCTACAGTGTATATAGAATACAGTTTCAACTAAGTAATGGAGTACAAAATTTGTTCTTGTTACACTATGTCTAAAAGGCTTATACCCATATTCAGAGATATCAGCTACGTAATCACCGCCCACGCAAACTATATGCGAAGTAATGATTAGACTTAAAAATATTTCTACAATGTTAAGAGAGCTATTTTTTAAACATTTATCAGCAAGCTTGTTTGTTACTTTGAAATATTACCTCTGGACAAAATTGCACAGTCTAGAAAAGCTGTTGTTGGCCATAGTTTTATTTCCCACTTAAGGAATTGATAAACATAAATGGAAGAGCAGGCATTGTCTAAATACTAAGAGTTGAATACTAAAACCGTTTAATCAATAGTAGCCTTCCTAATGAATGATGTGAGGGATGATATCTCACTACTCGCTCTCTCACTAGGCGAAGGGCTGAATTCTATTTCCTCGCTTAAATTCTGGGTGTCCGAAGTATTTTCCACAGCCGGCCAACGCTTATGACTTGGTGCATATAGCACCAACAAAGCAAAAATATAGATATTCCACATTCCATAAACACCAGTAAAAAATGCAGAGGTATACTCTAATTCAATATTATCATCCCACTTCCACTGGCCCTCTGCAACCTGTCCTAGTATGAAACCTATTACTGTCAGTGCAGCACATAGTAGTGTAGCCAGCATAAGAAATTTGAACCTGTAGATAATTCCTTCATAGTGTAAACGTCTCACTGAACACATAGCTGGTAGTGACTGTCTCTTATATGAGATATTCATGAAAACTTGCCATATCATGTAACACAAGAATAGGAAATAAACTCCAGTCGAGATTCCAGCCAGAATAATAAATGTTAGAGCCAAATTAGTGCCAATATCAGTCACCCAGATAGAGTAGAATGGGTTCCGAAGCTGTATGCCTCTTTCACACATATCAAATATGAAAAGTGAAATGCAACCTATGGCAACAGCACTTAAATGCTTCCAGTACTGTTTTAGAGAACTCTGGGTGGAGGCATCTTGTATCAACATATGTTCTCCAGCAAAAACTAACCAAAATGAAAAGAGTGTAGCATAAAACACACCCTGACGGATATCACCTAATAATAACATAAATGGCAAGTCAAATTGTAGCGTTAAGTATTCAATGGGCATGTTTAGAAAGCAAAGAGCTATGCCTAGACATAAAAGCATTTTCTCCAACAATACAGGCTTTCGAGAAAGAATGTGAATTCGCCTCCAAAACCAAATCAATATAGCAATAATGCATGGGAAAAATACTGTTTTCAACGACAGCCAAACTTTTGTAAATCCTCCATTCTGATTAATTACAAATAACCACATATCTTGTATATGGCCAATGTGAGAATTCATAGTAGGTGTATCTACAGGTAATCTCACATTAAGAACATAGAAATCGTGAAACAAAGAACCAAGCTCAAATAATGGTACAGCTGAACAGTTATATAGATATTCCTCACTTTTAATATCAATTTCACAGTCTAAATGGCGTTTTTCGATAGATTGTGTATATAACTTCCAATCGTCCTCGGGGTCGCCTTTATTTCTATATGCTAGGCGTGCGTCAATTGTAACTGTACTCCTCGGTTGCACTTCGAACTGCGGATGGTATTTAATATCCATTTGCAATACTCCGATTAAGTTTTGTTGCCATCTCGAATAGTCCAATGTCTTGCTCTCTCTAGGAACCGGCATTTGAAATGCGAAAACTATATCGGTTTCCGACAAGTCATGATGCGTGTCGCCAAGGTTGACAGTTTTGCACGAGCCCTTCCCACGGTTATAAAACCATTTTGTAGTGTCATTTTTCACTGTAGTTGTATCTTTACAAACTGTGCCGAGTATGCTCTGAACGTTTGCAGGCATGGGTGCGACCAATCCGCCGATAAGGAAACATGTTAGTTGACACAATAACAGGAAACTCACTAAGATGGCGAGTTTTCTACCACTTAAGTTCTCAATTATCGTTCCAGTCATATTGTAGGCGTTAAACTGGCGATATACATTTATACTCGATTCAACACGACGTAAATCGACCGGTCATGACTTCCATTGTTCTTGTTTTCTTTTCGACGCGACGTATTTGACATGCGCAGTAGTCGATGTTGCCAGCGTAAACACAATAACCTTTAATAACGATTTATTTCTATACGTTGCAAACGTTACGTAACGTTAGGGAATTAAAATAACTAAATTATATTAAACGTAATCTAATACATTACTCTTCGGCGTGTATTGATAAATAATTATAAAAGCGTTTTGACTTGAATGTTCACATAAACACATTACTTCACTCACTTTCATTTATGGAGCATAAATTTCTAAAAATAGCTAGTATTAAAAAAGAGTATGAGCTAAGCATTGAATTTGTCCACATAAAGTTACGATGTTGCTACTAATTTACTAATTCGTATTCGCTTTGCCCAATCCACCTCCCGTGGTCCTTTATAAAAATTTGTTTATTTTTATTATTTTTATTTTGTTTATACCCCTACGATATCCCATTACATAAGTAGTATCATTAGTGCTACCACTGCCTGATCCGAGCAAGCCGGAGCAGCATGAAGCTTGTTGCCCGCTCGGTAAGAAATACTAACTGTCGTGGAACCTGATCATTATGATGAATAGTTCTAAAGTTATCACTTTTAGCTTTTTCGTACACAATTGAAATGTATGGTTCCATCGCAGACCGTTTAGTTGGTGTGGCTTAGTGTTTACTTTTGCAATGTTGTAGATTTTCTTTTGCCCTACAAATTCATTTTACACGTTTGGTGCTTTTATTGTTATATAGCTTTATATGAAATTTATCAAATGTGTGGAATGCCAATGACTGTAGTTTTTATTATTTATAAAGTATATTTACTAAATTCGTTATATAGTGGTAAGAGTTAAAAAAAAACTTTGCTTTATATCGTAATAGCATGAATATGGTATAGAGCTTCCTGATTTGCATACATTATTTTAAAGTTTATTTTATTTAGTAGATACTAATAGTGGGTAACTCAAGCGCAAGATTATTTATTTAAAGACAGTCATTTCACTCTTCGTTGTAAATATTTCGCGTTAAAGTTGTTAATTAATAACGTAATGTTTAATTTGTAATGTTATTCTTTTTCTTCTCTCTCTAAAAATAAAAGCAGTGAAAATATCAGAGAATTAATGAATAATTAATAATTAGCTGAAATTCTTATTGAAACGAAATATCATAACCGATTTCAATAGTAACTGATATCTTGCTCTTGACTTACGTAACTGTGTAACACTTGGTGAGAGAATAAACTAATTATATTTTATTATTCCTTTTCCTAACTGCACATGAATACAAAATCCTCCTTTTTTTTATTAATTGTTGTTTGTTTTGTTTGACATGTTCTGATTTGTTTGTTGTTTTTTTTTTCTTTTCCTCACTACCTATGCACGCTGTCCCGTTTTTAAACACTTTTTGGTGTTATTTTTCCGTCTACCTTGTTACCGAACGGTTTTTTTTTGGCCCCCATCCTTTCCCAACCTGTTTTTATCCCACGCACGGGACGCCGCCTGCATGCAGCCAAGGGACGCACGAACATCGAACTACGAGAGCAATTCATTCTGGCTGATGGAGTGTCACAGAGCATGGCAGCGTTCAGACCGCGTACGCCCCGTTCTAACACCAACACACCACCGTCCACTGGACCCATTACCAAGGTAAGTACTGAAATTGCTGTACTTATTAAAGTCTTCTCTCTGACAGGATAGAACTTAGTCATAATTTCGCACAAGTAAAAAAGCGCACAGTAGTTTTTGGATATCGGTTTGGGAAACATTTTTTTCGCTTTCATTTTATTTGCACTTTGCACATGGATTGTTTTTAATCCATATGCAAGGTTCATTGTCGTGTTTGGCGCATGTGTTAAGCTCGTAGAGTTTGGTCGTATTGCATTAGTGTTCAAGCTATGCATTGACGCACAGGTCCGTGTAGTGTTTTGGTGTTGTTTGTTATTGTAATTCTTTGGATCCACTGCATTGGAGAGGTGGCACGTCTGCGCCTATGGATGTTATGGTAACGTATTTCGTTTCACCCTTCCCGCTGCTAGTTCCCAATCATACCCTCATCGGCAAAATTCACTCGCGTGCAACTAAACGTGTGGACTAATCGTAACTGCGTGAAAATTCGACACAAATATTCGCGTTCCGGCAAAACACGATTGGCACTATGAAGGCAAAAACGATTATTGTTTCGTTTTGTACTATTCCTTCTTTATTTATAAGCCTCCCGGTTTTTGTATTGGTACGTTTAGCTGAAGAGTTTATGGAGCAGCTGAGGCCTATATTCGAGGCTCTGCGGCAACGAGAAGAGCTACCTTGTTCGTATCCCCTGCACGTCGGTTCAACACATGGCACTAAGCAGGCCTTCATATATGGCCACTCAAGATCTCAAGGTTCCACAACACCGGGCGCGCACCACTATAGTCACCACCACGGCTATCAGCCGTCTCCAGGATATCATTGGGTAATGCTATTTAGGCAATGTGAAAGTGTTGCGATTGATTCGTGCTCTCTAATCATAAAAGGTTTCTTTTGTTTATTTGTGTATTGCACAAGTTCCATTGTAGGTTCGTGTACAGCAGTTAAAATCGTCACGTCCTCTAGATTGGCATGATTATAGTATAGTAATGTCTATTGATGATATCTTATAACAAATTGCTTTTATCATTTCATTCAAATCACTTCTTTCATGAACATAAACACGTTTTTTTTTATTTGATCAACCTTTGCATGCATTTTGTAATGTACAAAAGTAACGATATCATTGTATGATGTAGGTAAGAGAACGAACTGCACGTTCCGTCCCAATGTCTGCGGGAGGCGCAGCGGGCAGAGCATCCCGCTCATCACTGAGCGCAGGTACACCTGACTCCTTGAGTGACAACGAAGCAGCAAGCGGACTTGGAACTAGATACAGAAAGCCTAGTGCGCCAAGGTAAGGAACATTACAAAAACATATCCGGGGTTTTAAATTAATCTGATGTGAACAAGTCTACATTTATAATTGATTTGCCATAGATCTACCTTAACTCCTGGAGGATCTCGTCCAGGATCACGGCCGGGATCAAGAACCGGATCAAAACCACCCTCAAGACATGGATCTAATCTCTCTCTAGATAGTACAGGTAAATATATTGTTTGATTCTTTGTTTCGTTGTTTTTTTTTTCTGTAGACATTTGTTAAATTAATAAATCACATTTCATTTTAGACGACTTTTCTACACCATCTCGAATTCCGATGCGTAAAGTGACAAATACGCGAGCATCATTAGCTCGCGCAGCTGCCACTGCCAATAAACTCGGTGTTGCTACACCAAATGGTGGTTCCAGACCTCGTACTCCTACTGGATTATTGACGCCCGCTAGTGGCAGGTATGTCTAGCAAAATAATTATTGATATCTAACCTCTAGGAATAAAGAAATGGCTTAATCTTTAAAAGATATGTGTCCTTAAGTTCCAGTACAAATCATTAAATTTTATCTACATTCATTTGTTTGAAGGAAATTAACATATTATCATTTGAAAATGTAGCAACAACTGGATAAATCGTTGTAATTATTACATTACGACGAATTTCAAATTTAAAAAAGTGAAGGACCCTAATTTCTTCGCCTACTATAAAAAAAAGACTATGAAATAATTGGTGTAATGATACGCACGAACAGGTTATCTAGCAGCGGGATGTACCGCACCTCCAGTATACCGACACTGTCACCGGTGCCCGCATTAGTGAGGTACACACCAAAGAGTTTGCGATTGAAATGTTTGTCCATACGTGTATCTGAACTTACTGACGTACTTTGATTTCTTAGTTTTAATTTTGATGAATGCTTTACGTATTTTGTCATAAGAAATAGAAATGTAATAAATATAATTGAATTACGTCTGTAAATTGTTATGGAAGATACACAAGTTTTGAGCACGTCACGCTTGTTGAGGGTTTATAGGTGTAGTGACGTCTAGACCTTGGGAGCACCTGTTTGGGGCAGATCATAAATATTCTTCGTCTTTGTCAATGTAAAAAATATAAAAATGGTGGTGGGTCTCGTTTAGTTAAATTAAGGTTTTGTATATGATCAAAAGGCATGATTTAGGCAGCTAAACACCGCTTCACACCGAGTGGGTTATACTAACATATTCAACAGGATTTCAAGAGCGTAAACTAAATTGTAATTTTTTTCCTTCGCATGCAAATACGAAACTGGAAAACAAAATAAAACAGCTCTACGCATTCTCAGCCATCCTCGATGGCATCTGAACATCCCAAATCTTTATCCCATACTCATCCCGCATTCCAAACCCATGGTTCCACCAAAATTCCAGTTTACATCGGCAACCGTTCCCACCGATCCCCGTCTGTTGAAAAGCGGTTGAAATTATCCAGAAAGTCACACTCTAGAGAAACCTCTCATGAACCTAGTCCCACTTCCCACAATCCTTCGAGGAAGTCCGAGCAGAGAAGTCCTGAAGATGACTCCTCACTGTTCAGCATATCGGGAATGACAAGCGACAATGAATATGAGAGTAATATAAGCGAATCAAGCGGTGATGCATCAAAGCCGACCCAGCGCGACGTCAAAGGGTACAGCTTGTAGAATGCTAGCTTCGGATTTTGCCCGATTATTTTGGATTGATGCTCTTTGAACATTGAAAGTTATGTTTTCACGTCATCAAGTCGCCAGATTTCATTATTCAGATCAGTTGCTTGTCGTATCATGAATACGCACATTACAAAATCGTTTGTCGCACCAGAATCATCATGTATTTATTATAATAATCATTGCATACATACATTAAAGTAGCCTGAAGCACTAACCAACTACAAACGCTTGCACAAGTGACCAAATAGTTGCCTACACATTCACAACTGATTTGGGCTCTTTAAACTTTCACTATATATGCATTTGCCTTCTGTCATGTCCTGATTCCACAAATGTTGCAATACTCGTTCACTGCTTTTTCTACCTTTAGTATAGCAACACTTGTTTTGTTGTTGTACATATCTACACACGTAAAAATTAAAATATACATATGTATTGCAACATTTGATCATACCTTCACTAATATTTACGTGTAATATTGTTGTATATTTTGTAATGTTTCTTATGGTTTCTGCACATGTATTTCTTTTGATTCATCAGTGTTAATACATTTTATGTGTTAAATACATGTGCAGTAACAATCTAACCATATTTCCTTCTCTTTTGTCCTGACTAAATTTCTGTATGTCTGTGTGCTCGCTAACATCAACATAGGAGTGGGTCGTTTGCCTCCACTGAAGGACAAACGCCCGGCCGAAGTCGCATCCCAGTCCTTAAGGATCACCATACTAACAATAATATGAATAGGTAACTACTAAATTTATGTAGTGTGTTTCTCTTTTAGTTGTTTTATTTTCCTTGTAGTTAAATTAGTTTATAGGTGTTATTATTAATGTACAAAATTGGCGGTTAAAATGGTTTAAAAAATTTATTTCTAATTTTATTTTCAACTAGCTTTGCATGTTCTGTATATGATTTGGGGGGTAGTACTCAATTTTGCGTTCTATGACAGGCAAAGAACACCTTCAGGGAGCACAACGCCGGTGCGGTCAGGTCAGCAGACCGCAGTGACGCGACTGTTGCGGAAGCCTTCAGATTCATCTGAACCCGGCACTCCCACCACACCGGCCTCACGACGCGGTACTCCAGCATCATCTCGAACAACGGACAAACGCGAACCATTCCGACTTTAGACGATTAATTTAACAAACAAACTCCCTACAATTCATGATTTGAATGTAAAACAAAATTATGAAGACGGAGGTATATCACTCCGTCAAGCAAGTCGTTCTTATGCAAAGCTATTCCATTTAAAATCATATTTAATCAATTGCCAAACTTATGATATACCCCCACCTTTAAAATTTTTCAGAGCGACTTGCTTCATGTAGGCTAGTGCCGATGTAACAATTATAACTAACATAATATTAACAAATGCGCGAATTAAGCCTAGCTTAATAAAAAAAAACGCCAATGTGGTTTTTAATTTAAGTGAGAACAATTTTTAGATATGGTATTAGTAAAACTTAAAGTCTGCACTTGCTGCCTTGAATTTTTTTTCTAAAATCCGCGCCAATTTTTGCACTTTGTAATTAATTGTTTTATTTATTTGTGCTGTCGAGACTTAAAAGTTCGTTCGTTCATTAGTCGATGTGAATAAAGTACTTCTCTTATTTATTGTCAACGTTGCCATAATTGTTAGTGTACCTATGTTTTGTATGTAAAATGCGTATTATTGTCTCTTTACAGAGACGTGTAAAGTGTGATGACGTTTTTATTTTATTTTTCTTAAGGGACCATTTTGGTTTAACGGAATAATGAGTGATCATTTGCAAAGACATTTATGTTGTCGGATTCTGTCGCGTATAACGCCAGATATGCGTTGAGATAGGTAACTTAAATGTAGTTGTACGTGATTCAATAAGGTGATAATAGAATACTTTTCTTTTGTAATGCACAATTATGTGTTTCCTTTTATATTTTTAAGTCATTTTTGTCATTAGACATGATTTTTGATTGAATTATACTTCTGTTAAACACATTTTTCTTTTTTATATAATTATTTATCAACAGCACAATCTCTAATCAAAATAAAAAATAAAATCAATTATTAGGTTTGAAAATAAAAACGTGCAAAACCATCGCGATTGTCGCCAGAGTTTCGTTGGTTTTCCGTTTTGTAGAAATCAAAAATCTGCTCATAATGACCGCTATATTTTTAAGTACATCAAGTACACTGTCGCAAAAGACATTGTTTATTAAAGCGCTAAGAACATTTTGATATTTATTGTAATAATTGCTTTAAAATATAACCTCTTTCAAAATGTTAACCATCGCTCACCATTTATTTGTAAGTTTTTAATATAAATCTGTCCCTATTATTAAGCTTAATTATTATTATTACGAAAATTTTATTAATCTGGTCATTTTTATTTAAATCATTGTTATATTTGTTATGTAAAATCGTGGCAAATCTACTAAATGGCTTATGATATTTTTTGTACAAAAAAAGATATCGGTGCATTACACCAGTTTAAAATCTCATAACAAAATACCTATCAAATAAATGAAAAATAACAATTAACTTTTTGTTTTATTTTCCTTAAAAATAATGAGTGATTGTGGAGTAAAACTCAGTTAAAATCCGATAAAAAGTTGTATCCCGAAGGGGTGAATTAAGTGAATTCTGCATTACAAATTTTATAATAAGTAGAGGTTGGTAGAGGTCTGTCCCCGCATTTAGACTCGCAGACGATCAAATACGTTTTCAAATAGGCTGCTGGGTGAGCCAGCCAATCTGCTTCCAGAAGTACAGAAACCTGCAGTGATCGTTTCCGCGAACATCCTCTTGTGTGGGTTCTCTTTCGTACCCTAGGATAAAGTTGGCAGATGATTCCCCGGTTGTCATCTCCTTCATGAAGGATTATCCGTGTCAATGTTGGTAATAGAGCTAAATATATTGTAATGTTTTCTACAACCATCTGGAGCTCTATCAGACTGAGTAGTCTGCAGTTTAAATATGGTGAGACTCCTGTCGGTTTTGACCGCTTTAATGGGATACCAGTTAAAATTATTAAGATTGTTTTGGATATCCGTTTGGTGCCAGATTATGAATACAGAGTGTCACCACCCCTGTTCATTCCGTGGGTGTCGTAAAAGCCGACTAAGGACAAGCTTTGCAGGACAACAGCACTGCAAAAAGAAGGAAACCGGAAGTCGCCCTCCGCCGCCTCCTTCTGCGAGATGAGGTCTTCGCAGAAGGATGCGACCGCGGTAAAACATCTGTCACTACCGGCCATGGAGCGTATGACGGCCGGTAGCGAGAGGTCCCCTCCGATGAGTGCAATAAGGACCCGGCGCTGCGAGGCCCAAGCCGGGCAAATTGCCAGCGTGTGCTTAACCGAGTCCTCACTGCAATCGCAGTGGTGACAGGCGGAACTCAATTCCCTCTTAGCGATCGAGTGCAGGTACTTCCCGAAGCAACCGAGCCCGGAAAGGACCTGCGTCAACCAGAAGGAAAGGATTCCGTGCTGCCGCCCTGCCCACTCAAACTTGAAATAACCCTATACCAACCCGGTATAATTACCACGCTGGCCTGCTTTTAAGGCCCATTAAGGCCAAAACCTCATTTCTTAGGAGAGGCCTATATCCAGAAGTGGACCATTAAAGGCTGTTGATGATGATGATGATTTTGGATGTCCTATCTCCAACAGAGTCAATTATTTAAAACTCTTGTCAGTGAATGCTTTGCTGAACCCCTGAAGGCAATAAATTTAATTGGAAAATTCACAACATTTTTTGATTGTCGTGATTAGCGTCATTTATGTTTTTCTGATCTGTATGACGTTTGGACCAGTGATTACCATAAAAATAGGTGCAAGGTGATTTTAGCCCAATCTGCGCTTGTTTTTACAGGTCTTCATTTATCTTTACCGATCGCATACATGTAACAAACAACATCTCAATATCAGTTATGTCGATAACTATTCAATAGAATTCAATCTCTACGGTGGGTGACACCAGTCTTAACTGTTTGAAAAAAAAAGCTTCCAAACAGTGCGATAATCGCCACTGGTAGAATTGGATGGCATAAACCAGTAAAGTATGGTGAAGTAGTTGTATTAATATTAATGCTGCAAATGAAACTAATTTGTCTCCTCTGCACCATTAATGGTGCAGGTCAACGGTGCATTCGGTTCTATGGGAATCACAACTCAGATTAAATAATTTTTCTCGAATCAGGTTAAAAAAATAATTCGATACTCGCGAATAACATTAATAACTAAGTAACTAAGTAGTTACATAATGAAAAATAACGTTACATTCGTCTCTTAAATAGCAGCTGCATCCATAGAGTTTTTAGAGCTCAAAAATCAAAATTGACCCTCGCATAAAGAATAAAGATTAGGATATTTGTAATCACTTAGGATTATAGATCAACTGATGACTATTTTCCTTTATCATAGAATATTTATTATTTATTTATTTATTTTCTTTAAAAACAACTATTTTTACAGGCTTAGCCCAATGCGATAGTGTTATACCATCTACTTATTTATTATAAGAAATAATTCTTAATGCTGTTAATATAAATGGAACACTCCACAAAATAAAAAATACACACAAGGAAAGTGTAATTAAGATCGTCCAGTGCCAATAACCTTGATTTATATAATATAATAAAATCAATAAAGTTCTCAATATTTATCCACAAACGGCCACACAGTGCAAAGAGTTGATTAAATACCTACAAAAATTAGACTATGAAGAGACTAAAAAACTCAGGAACAGTATTCAATAATAGTTGCAAACATACACACACACACACACACACACACATACAGTCACAGATACACTCACACACTCACATACAGTCACAGACACGCTAAGGAACACGTTATACTCAGTACTCAGGCAAATGCACAGACTAGATTGATTTTTATTGCATAGCATACATACAATATATAATTGTATGGCTTAATGTGCAATGGGGAGTTGCCGCTGATAGTCGAAATACAGGCTTCGCCTAGTTCGACTACAGAGGGCCTAGTGCAAGTTTATTTCACATCTATTCGATCGTCACGGTGAGCGAGTTTGGCGCTGCGATTGGCTCGCACTATAATATTAGCCAATCGCAACACCGAACGCGCTTTACACGATCACTGTCGAGAGCGAGTTGATGTGAAATGAACTCGTTCTTGGCTCTCTGATGCTTGATTCTTTTAATTTTAAGACATATTAATATGGCTGTTTAAAGATGTAACCTGTAAGATTGTGTGTGTAATATATATAAATATAATTATCATATATTAACTTGAGACTTAGACTTAGACTCCTAGAGGTGCCCTATTAATTATTTTATAAAAATTCATAGACGGTATAGAATTTTTGACAGCAGAACCATAAATTAAAATATGTACCAAAAATAAAACAGCAAGTTGTTGATTCACGATTACAAACAAAAATAAGAATTGTACACTATTATTCCACTTTTTGCTTAGACATATTAGACATGGTAGGCTATAATATGAACGGTCCTGTTAGGGATCGTGTATTAAAATTGATCGAAGAGAAAGACAGGATAGAAAGTGAGATTAGGGATCAAAATGCTGTTTTGGAGACTAACAATGTCGGAATGCACGATTCTCTGGTAGACTCTGAAGGTTTTCCTCGCAATGATATTGATGTATACAAAGTAAGGCACGCTCGCCATCAAATTATTTGTAAGTACATGTTCCATACTTTAATTACATAGATTTATGATTAATAAGGGGCATTAAAGTAATGACAGGGGTTCGGTGCTACTTCACCAAAAGCATACAGTAATAGTTTTAATTATCATACCATCAACAGCCCTTAAAAGTTCACTGCTGGACATAGGCCTCTCCTTAGAAATGAGGTTTTGGCCTACTATACCACGGTGGCCAGACGGGTTGGTATAGGGTTTATGTTAAATTGTCCTTTTTTCTGCAGTGCTGTTGTCCTGTGTAGTTTGCTCTCACGGGATGAGTAGGGGTGGTGACACTCTGTATGCTTAATCTGTTACCACTGACTATTAAGTTTTATTGCGGTTTATATAACTATTATGTATGTATATATTATGGGTAATTTTTGACCTCAGGATTAGTTAAATTACCACTATATATATATATATAGATATATTGTATGGATAAAACAAATTTATGTAAGTAAATTCTAAACCATACCAACAGTATGTTATGGTTAAAATAAAGACATACAGAATAAAAAATGTATTCACATTACCACACATTGCAAGCTTTTCTCATCGGAGAGCCATACATGGTTTGATCAGTGATGCTACACACTGGTGCTCTCACAAAAAACTGGTGTTCAGCAGCACTGCTAAAATTCTTAAGTATCTTTTAATGCTGGCAATGCACTGGTGTCTCTGGAATTTTAGATACCAATGGGCGACAGTAGTCTCTTATTGATGACTCATCTGCTTGTGTGCCTCCTATAAAAAAAACACTTCTGTCGGCACTCTTGGAGGGCCAGTTTCTTTTGTGTATACAAAAAAGAAACACAATATATCATCATCATCATCAGCCTATCGCAGTCCACTGCTGGACATAGGCCTCTCCCATTGCACGCCACTTAGATCGATTTTGGGCTTCTCGCATCCAGCTCCTGCCAGCCATCTTGCGCAAATCGTCACTCCACCTGGCCTGTGGGCGTCCTACTCGTTTTCCCCAACGGTTGTCGGTTCTGCGGCTAATATGGCCAGCCCACTGCCACTTCAGCTTGCTAATCCGGTAGGCTTTGTCGGCGACCTTGGTTCTCTGCCGGATCACCTCATTTCTGATGCGATCCCTTAGAGAAACGCCGAGCATAGCCCTTTCCATAGCACGTTGAGCGACTTTGAACTTGTGGACCAGCCGTACCGTAAGTGTCCACGTTTCAGCTCAGTATGTCATGACGGGTAGGACGCACTCATTAAAGACTTTCATCTTAAGGCACTGTGGGATCGACGATGAGAAGACTCGACGTAGCTTCCCAAACGCTGCCCAACCCAACCGAATTCTTCTGTTCACCTCGTCCTCGAAGTTGTTTCTACCTAACTGCAATATATGTTATATTATAAATGTAACATTAACAGTACAACAAAATACATTCTTTTGTTTGTTGTTCAAAAATGCCCAACGCACCTAAAGAAGTTTTCACTTCAAAAACTGTGAAACAAACTAGCCAATTTCAGTTACATGAGGGGCATGATTTTGGAATCTTGTTCCGACTTTTTATAAAGAAAATTTATTTTCACTTTGAAAATCATTGTTTGGCATGTGGTATTATCTATTATAAAATTGTAGGTCTTCAAAACGATCACAAAAACTTGATGAAAATGATTGAAAAGGGGCTTGCAGAAGTACATGCAGACTTGCTGGGGAACAGAGGAAGCCAGTCAGTTGATTTACCAGCAACATACAGAAATGGCCACACAAGTAGCAGTAGCAGCGGGAACACTGTTAACGGCAGTATCAATAATCAATGCTTTGCTACAGTTGGTTTTGTCACTGACGGTTCACCTGCAGATGTTGCTGTGAGTATAGCATTTCTATCCTAGCTTGGTCATGTTAATGAGTGAGTCTTAGACGGTTTACAGACGCGACGATAACAATAATAAAACTAAAAAACCGAACAAAAATACAATAACAAAAAACTGAGACGATTTAGCTGACCTTCGAAATGTATTAAAAATCGACTAGACTTCCACACAAAAATTGAGTAGACTTTTACACAAAAGAAATATTTGCGGTGTAATTATCGTCGCGTCTGAGCGTCTGAAAATAGCTTTAAGACTGCTTTTTGCATTTAACTTTTAACGTTTTCTGGACTGAAAACGATTTACATTGATAAAAACGATTCACCTCTGGCAAGGCTGGCCCTAACAGTATCCAGTGAAAACTCTATACTGTTTATATTTCACATTCTCGATGCACACTGCAAGAGCAGATAATTATTTAAAGTGAACAATAAGTTAGGAACTCATAAGAAAATAAAGTAGAACCGCATACTGTACTGTCTGTACCCCACATGGATACTGTACCCCAAATAATATGAATAGATGATTATGAAATTTATAAAGTGAGTGAGTGATCCTAACTATTTTTATCTAATTATCATATTTTTAGAACTTTGCTAAAAAAAATAGTCTTCTTAAAGAATTGTTACAACCGCAATAAGGAAATGTTCAAGTGTTGTTGTAGATTTTCTAAACTTGCCATGCATAAAATATAATTACATAAAATACGATATGTTTACATCCAGATCAATCAAATGAGATCACTAGTGTGTTTATCAGTTAAAACATTTCTTTATTAATAATGTTGACTGTAAAAGGGTACAGATTAGGCCAACTAATAAAGGAATGATTATTTTAAATCAATTAATTTAAAGACAGGTACTAATTACTTTTATTCAAATCGATTAGATTAATCTTGAACATTATGTAAAAAAATAATTAAATTGATTTGACATGGCATCATTTTATTGACAGATCAAAAAAATCATAAACAATTGATTTTGAAAGATATTTAGGTTGATGACCCTGACGTTGGCAAACTCATCGATATCCGATGGAGCCATTGAATTAAAAGAAGAAGAAGGTTAACTTTTTGACAGCAATGACAACTCATTTACGACAGCCAGCTGTCATTGGTATCGACTACAGTACAGCCTGAATGCAAACTACAAACTGTAGTAACTTTTGGACGGTTTGTTAATTAACTGTTATTGTTGATGATATCACCAGCCAAATAAATACAACAATCCCTACTATGAGATATGCAAGACGGTACAAAAGTCTAATACATGCCTGCCATTGTCCTTTTGCTCCTAACTTCAAGATTCATTCTCAAAAGTATTTAAAGTTATATATATATATGTATGTTTATGAGCAGTCTGGTTACCATAGCACAGGCTTTGCCAAGTTTGGGATCAGACGGCCATGTGTGAGATGTGTGAGGTATATTTCTTTATTAATGCAACAAAGTTATTAAATGGAATTTCTGACTTGCATATTATGTGATCATATGATTGATTGTATGCATTATTTGCGTGCATACTGTTGAAACAGTGCAGGTGAAACCCTACAGTTCATCCTTTAACTCAGTGACTGCCCCTCAGTTACTGTTATTAGCCCCTCCAAATGTCTTATCCCCTGCTTACCCTATACAATAGAATCAAGTAGTCATATTAAATACAATTAACAAATTACTATTACAGGGTCTCTGCGAGCATGATGAAATTCTTCAGTTTGGTTCCGTCAACCACCACAACTTCAGAGATATGTCACAAATCATGGACATAGTGGGGCACTCGGTCGGTCAGAGGATAAACGTGAAACTTAGACGAGGCCACAATATTCTCAATGTGACTGTTGTACCGAGGCCCTGGCAGCAACCCGGGTTACTTGGCTGTCAGATATTAAGGAAGTCATAGGTTGTTTTTAAAAAGGAATTGATTTGCCTATACTCAGGAATGAAAGTTGCTCAACACCAAATGGCACATCTTAAGGGTTCTTAAGGTTAATATTCTGTATAATGTAAAAGAGCAAATTGTCAGTAAGAGTTTAACTGTTCAATTAATTTATTTATTTACAGTAGTTACACATTCAGTTTAGTATTAACAGCTATGATACAATAATACTAACTAATTCATTGCACCCACAATGCACGCAAACAAATCAATGGACCAAAATCTGAATCCAGGACATATTTTAGCGCAGTGGGTGGTCTGTACAAAACTGCGCCATGGCCAGGTTGACGTACTGAACTGGGGAGTTATACCCAAGGCCATCCCAAGTTATCCCAGTAAGTGGAATAAAGAAAGGGGTAATACATACATGTCTAGACAAACCTGAGGCAAACGTGTATTGTCTCATATGGGTTCCAAATGTAAATGCGTAATAGGAATTTTGTTGCTCTGTATACTGTATTGTTTTATTAAACTATAAAATTCATTATTTTTGTTCGTCACAAGCAATCTGTTCAGCTTAATAAAGTTTTTTTTTCTCTTGTTATTAATTATTGTGTTTTTGTAAATAAAACGTTGTAAAATGGAAATTAAAAAAATTGTGTATCTAATGTTACAAAGATGTTCTTAAATAGTAGTGAAAAAGTAGATTTTCATTTAAATTTAATAAAATAACATTTAAAAACTGAAAGAATGCTCAAGTTCATAAATCAATATTGTATTACAAAGTGTATTAATTTGTTTTTAATTTTATACAAAATAATGCAAAATGTAAAACCTAAATAAATTAAAAATAAATCTTGTGATTTATGACCATAGCGTTTGATTTTTTCTTCGGTACTTTTAGTTTAACTTGTTTCTGAACGCTGCTGTCACCAATTTTCACTATTTTTAAGTCGTCTTCTTCCTTCTGTTCAGCTGTTTCATCTTTTTCGATACGTATTGTGTCGTCATCATACATGTATTTCATGGAGAAGTCAAAGTACATTTTATCTTCTACTAAACGGTAGTCTGGTTTCTCTACAGTGCCCCGCAAGCAGTCGTGGTAATGACATACAGCTTTTTCTTGCTCATAAGTTTCGCAGGAACCTAAAAGCCAAGTATGTGAGTGGTGAGTGAAACACGGGCAGGCATTTTAATATTCGCAGTAATTAGTTCGACTTGTGATCTATGTCCCTAGTTTAATAACAAAAATGAATACCCACGTTGCATGCATATAGTAATAATAGTATGCCAAAGTAGATAAACACAAAATATCTAAAGGATTTTTAATTCGTTCTGGAATACTGACTACATCTACAAGTACTTCATCGTAGATTTATTCGCATACCTACATGAGCGGTTATTTTTTCTTGCCATTATAAATTCAACTTCTTTAAATAAATTAAATTTAAACTATATAAATGAAGCGAAGCTAAACTATGTGGGTTCCCACCGAAAACTAAGTAAGGTCGGGTGAGCGAGGGGAGCGTTCCGTTCAGTTCAGTTGCATAGCGGACGTCTTTGTCTTTTCGCCAGTTAGCGAGCATCATTATGCATTTTTTCATACTTTGATTGACACTACGACGACGACGACTAAAGCTACGCTAACGAAGTGAACGAATAACATCGCTGGCATCGTCGGATATTTTTTTCGTTTGTTTTGATGATGTAGTTTATCTCTGTAGTTCGGGGTGGCAAAAGAGGTGAAATGATGCTCGCCCGGCTCGCTCGCTAGCTGGCGGTGTAGCCTAGTTTTAGACATTGGCACATGTTTTTGTGACTTGCGATTTACATAGTTTACTTAACACATATAACATTTTACCAGGTCTTTGCACTCTGACTGTGAGCACGGCTCGTTCAGGCGCCATATTCTTGAAATGTACTAAGTAGCAGGCTAGCATCGTGCCCGTGCGCCCTCGACCATGTCTGCAATGAACACCTACCACCTAAAAAGCACATTTTATTAATTGACAAGTCTCGCAACATTAGACGTTTAAGTATAGCTTTTATGATTATCGTAACTTCCGATGTTTTGAAATTTACGCGTCATACGGATCGAAATAAGAAACGTGTACTGGTGTACCTACTTATGTTAATAATATGTAGGTATTTGTATTACCTGTGTTTAAATTTATCAAACTAACTCAATGTTTATTGAGTACGCCTTATTACGGTACACTTTCAAACGTCAAGTGAATTTCATATACTTTTTAATCGTCTAGTACCTTAGTATATTCTTTTTACTTTTCGGGATCTGTAACAATGGCGCCACCTAGTATCAGTCTTAATACCAGTACAGATAACTGTGCATTTTGCTGCAAGATATTATTTTTAAACAATGTTACGAGTTATGAGAAAACGGCTATTGTCCAGTTGAATTCTTATGGTACGAAAAGTCGATAACAACTTGCTTGTATCTAGGATATATATACTAGGCAATAGGTACCTATTACGAAATTATAATGAATGAGACGTACAATATTTACTTAGTAACCTTGAACCACTTAAGAGAGGAATTTAATTAAATACGGTGACTTAAATTGTTCTCAAGATCCATTACGGTAGAAACGGCAAATAACAGATATACCGGCTATATATGTATTTAGCTTATTCAAATAACAATGCAAAAATTTACCTCTCCCCTTATCTCTGCTCTTTCACAAATCTCAATAAATTTTAAGATCTGTTTCATTGTCGGTACACCGAACTCCTTTATCCTGATCTCTGACCATTTTAACTTTTTTTTACACTCCATTATTGGCGGGATCCTCTCTGGCGAAAGGGTTATAAGATGGTTCACACCAACGTCAACTAGATAGTTGAGATTTGCGACTGATTGCGGAAAACCCATAGCTGCCACCTTATTTTCAGCAAACCATGAGAAGTTATATGGAGGATACGATTCACAATCCATCTCTGTTACGGCTTTCGTTGGCTCTTCAACGTCTTCATTGTTTTCCTTTTTCGGCTCGTCCTTATATTTATACCACAGTCTTGCTAACTTTAGATTGGGTCTATTAGGCACGGTACTCATTTTTGCACACAAATACGGGACTATAAAATTCACAAACCAGTTAGGATTTTTATTAAAGTATATTTATAAGATGAAGCCGCACTTGGTACTTGGCCAGCCGGCATTGGCAAGCACATTGGCACCGGCTAATGTCGACTCTCGACATTTCGATGTTATATTTATAGCGAAATGTCAATTAGAAATGTTTATGTAGATGTAATATAGCTGGATGACAACAGTTACGAGATTTACTGTAGAGCATAAACAATTTACCTAACAATAATATTTATCTATTTGTTACTTTTATTTCAAACTTAGTGGTGCCCGCGACCTCGTTCGCGTGGAATTTGAAAAACGGTGCCTTAGTGGGTTCGATTCCCGGACCGGACAAAATTTTATAAGGTTTTTCCGGGGAAAAAACCTTATAATATAGTATAATAAAATAATATTAAAATCGGTGCAGCCGTTTTGAAGATTACCCGGCACAAACAGACAAAAATATTTAAACTGGTTTTTAGGCATGTGATGCCTTATCTTCGATGGGGTAGGCAGAAGTATATTATCAAAAGGTATTAGATATATTTAGTCCTACGTAAAAGAAGTTTAACCTAAATGCGTTTAAAACTGTTTTAAAAAAAATATCTTAACAGAAGAGATTAATGGTGATATGTTCGACCTGGCAATGCAATCTAGAACCACACAATAGCAAGTAAACTAAAGCCTCGGGATCAACCTCTGTAGTAAATTTATCTATGTGATATATATTCGGCGCTAAAGTCGGATTATTCTACCGGGCACGTTCCAGCCTGCAGATATTAAAATTTCAAAATAATAAAAATATCATTTTATAGATCTCAATTCGCAGAGTTCGATTCACTCTCGGGTGACTAAGTCGTGTTTCGAACGAATTTATTAAGTATATTGCGGTTGTTTACTACCCAGATACCGGTTTAAGCCGGTGCGCACACGCGCAGCCGGCCGTTATCGCGTAGTGAACCTTATGCAGTATGAGTGAAGGTATTGTTGAGAACGTAAGTACTACGGACATTGCTGATAATTTAATTATGGACTCAAATAATGAATAGCAACGATGAAAACTTACACAACCAAGAGGGAGATTGGATTTTGTGCGCAGGAGAGAAGAGAAGAAAAAGTGAAAAAAATGATATTTGCATTACCAGCACAGAAAAATTACCAAAACAGTTTGCATTGGCTAAACTATTTCAAGGGGAAAACATAGGAGGAATAAAAGCCATAAAATATGTAAATGCCTATAAAATAATAGTAACATTCGAGAATCTATTAAGTGCTGAGAAATTAACCACTTGTCCAAGCATTAAAGAGAAAGGATGGAAAATATACAAGACGTGGGAGGTTGGAGTATCGTATGGTATCATAAGAAATATAGACTTAGAATTATCGGAGAGTGAGCTGTTATCGTCTATACAAAATATAAATGACTGTGAGATATTATCAGTAAAAAGACTAAACCGGAGAGATCCGGAATCTGGTTGGATACCTACGGAGACCGTACGTATATGCATCAAGGGAAGTTTTCGTCCGCAATATATTAAGATAATTAATATAGGAGTAAGAGTAGAACCTTACATTTTTCCGGTAACTCAATGTTCCCGATGTTGGCGCTTCGGCCACCCCTCAAAATTCTGTCATTCTTTAAAAATCGTTTGCCCAAAATGCGGCCAAGATCACGCAAATTGTGACACAACTACATTTAAATGTGTGAATTGTAAGAAAAATCATATATCGCTTGCTAAGTCTTGTCCTGTATATATAAAGGAAAAAAAGATAAGGAGTTTGATGTCTGACTTCAGCCGCGCTTGACGCGCAGCCGGCCGTTATCGCGTAGTGAACCTTATGCAGTATGAGTGAAGGTATTATTGAGAACGTAAGTACTACGGACATTGCTGATAATTTAATTATGGACTCAAATAATGAATAGCAACGATGAAAACTTACACAACCAAGAGGGAGATTGGATTTTGTGCGCAGGAGAGAAGAGAAGAAAAAGTGAAAAAAATGATATTTGCATTACCAGCACAGAAAAATTACCAAAACAGTTTGCATTGGCTAAACTATTTCAAGGGGAAAACATAGGAGGAATAAAAGCCATAAAATATGTAAATGCCTATAAAATAATAGTAACATTCGAGAATCTATTAAGTGCTGAGAAATTAACCACTTGTCCAAGCATTAAAGAGAAAGGATGGAAAATATACAAGACGTGGGAGGTTGGAGTATCGTATGGTATCATAAGAAATATAGACTTAGAATTATCGGAGCGTGAGCTGTTATCGTCTATACAAAATATAAATGATAGTGAGATATTATCGGTAAAAAGACTAAACCGGAGAGATCCGGAATCTGGTTGGATACCTACGGAGACCGTACGTATATGCATCAAGGGAAGTTTTCGTCCGCAATATATTAAGATAATTAATATAGGAGTAAGAGTAGAAGCTTACATTTTTCCGGTAACTCAATGTTCCCGATGTTGGCGCTTCGGCCACCCCTCAAAATTCTGTCCATCTTTAAAAATCATTTGCCCAAAATGCGGCCAAGATCACGCAAATTGTGACACAACTACATTTAAATGTGTGAATTGTAAGGAAAATCATATATCGCTTGTTAAGTCTTGTCCTGTATATATAAAGGAAAAAAACCACGACCACGACCGCACGTACAAAATCAAACTATGATCCCTAGTAACTTAACTAATAGGACTAATATTTCACAACATAAAAATCAAACGTATGCGGCAGTTACAGCGAGTACACATAAATACACAAATATTGTCGAAGTCGAAGATACGCTTAATCAGGTTGCAACAACCAGCAAAAAGGAAGCAACGCAATTCATCAGAGCATATAACATTTGAATTAAATTCGTCATCATCGGAGTCGGACGCCGAGGCGGGTGGCGAGATGTCCTCGGTCGCAGGCGAACGCATCACTACTGAATAGTCTTGGGTAGTACACGTACGATGTACTGATAGGTACTAGTACTGGGTATCGTAACAGTACTATTAGTACTAATAGTACTATTACGGTGTGCTAGTACGTTGTACGAATTGTACTAGTACGGTGCGAACCTGCAGATGTCCGATTAAGCACAAGACTACTACTGAAGGCAGCCTGCGAGCTACGAGTACTCGCCGTCTCCGCCGATGTCGCCCATTATCAACTACGAAGACTAGTGAAGACGGTGTGGAAGGTTTATCTTGTATAAACGAACAACACATTAATAATTTTGAAATCGATGAACGTAGTAAGCAATCTAAACCTGAGACGTTGTCAAAAAAAAATGAATAATTTCAATCGCTTCTGAATAAAATTAAAAAGTTAATTTTTTCAAAGAGATACACTTGGGTTCAAAAAACTAAAATAGTTATTAATGAATTTGTAGAATGGTGCCTATCCAGTCTCTTGCATAATATTACTGAGATACCTTTACTCAAAAACTTATATGATATGTTCTTAAACTGCCAAAATGTCTAACAATATAATGATACATTTTTTACAGTGGAATGCACAGTCTTAAACCAAAACGGTCGGAATTCGAACAATTATTAACACAAGAAAAAATTCATATAGCCGCGGTTTGTGAAACCTGGTTGGATCCTTGTACTAAATTTAAATTAAATACTATAGGGTATTTAGGGCAGACAGAGAAGATGGCTACGGGGGTGTTTGCCTTATTAGCCATAATTCTATTCAAGCGCAATCATGTCGTATATACCACCCCAACATACAGATTCTTCATTGCAAGATTTTTAACTGTAAGAATATCGAAAATGTAATAACTGTTTACTGCCCTCAGTGGGCGTCTACACGTCGACATGACTGGGACGTTCTGTTTTCACAATTTCATTATAAAACCTTAATTTTAGGTGATTTTAATGCACACCATTTCACCTGGTCATATAAAACTGATGCTCGTGGTTCCCAAATATACGATTCTTTATCGGATTGTAGTTTGGTTTCTTTAAATGATAACAGTCATACTCGCAATAAGTTGGTAGCTGGCTCAATACAACAAAGCTCTCCTAATATCTCAATAGCCTCATCTGATATAGCATGTTTTTTAAACTGGAGAGTAACAAATGAATCCCTGGGTAGCGATCACCTCGTTATTGGTATTTCTACTGCGTCCTCTTTTAGTCCATATTTCGATAAACAGCGTAACTTAAAGGCCGCTGACTGGGATGCGTATAAAACTTGTCTTGAGAGCAAATTTTCAAATTTTGTCATAGCAGGTGAACCTCAGTGTTTATATGATGATTTTATTAACCATATTAATCAAACAGCCAATGACCTTATCCCCACAAAAAAAAAGTCTCTAAATCCCACAAGCAATTTTACCCCAAAACCTTATTGGACTCCTACATTATCACATTCAGTAGCCAAAATAAGAGTTGGTTTATCCAAATTTTGGAAAAACCCTACACCTTTTAATCTAGTTGTTCTTACTCAGTGTGTTAAAGAGTCTCAAAAACTCATAAAAAAGGCCTCAAAAAAAGCTGGCATAGATTTTGTGATAGTTTGGGTGAGGTTTCTTCTGCTAATGAAATGTGGCGTAAAATGAAATGGATGAAGGGAAACATAACCTGTAACCCTTTCGTAGATCAAAATAAAAGTGAGTCGCTATTGTCAAGTTTATGCCCTGCGTATGTTCTTAATTCTAAGCCTAATTTCATCTCTAAAAACGATAAAATAGAATCCGAAATTACTTTACATGAACTCGAAACTTGTATTAAGACGAGTGATACGGCACCGGGGTGGGACGATATATCATTTTCAATGATAAAACATTTGCCTAGTAATGGAAAGAGAGTATTACTATCCCTATACAATATAGTTTTAAATACTGGTTTCACTCCCTCTCAGTGGCGTGACATTTGTGTCGTTCCAATCCCAAAGCCTGGACGTGATCCCACACTTATTACATCTCTCCGCCATATTAGTTTGATGTCCTGTGTTTGTAAGATATTTCATTCAATCTTGAACAGGAGATTGGAGTGGCTTTTTGAAGGAAAATGGTTATTTTCAGGAGACTGTTGGTTTCAGAAAATCAAAATCTAGTCTGGATAGTTTGACGCGACTGGTAACGAGGATCCAGTCAGGTTTCTCCAAAGATTTAGCGACCCTAGCATGCTTCCTTGACATTGATAATGAATACAATAATATTAAAATTGACTCATTGTTGTTTATTTTAGATGAGATTGGTGTTGGCGCGAAAATATGCAACTACCTTTGGCAATTCCTTAGTACAAGAAATTTAAAAATTAAATATGGATATAGTTTTATTAACCGCACTACAGGTCAAGATAAGCACAAGGCGACCCACTGTCCCCATTGTTATTTAAACTTGCAACTTACAATATTTGTAAATCCATAAATTGTGTATTTGTATCTCAGTATGCCGATGACTTCGCACTGTACACTTCAGATAGATACATAGAAGATGCACGTAACTCTCTTCAGGGGGCATTACATTTTTTGGTTAAATCATTGGCAAATTTAGGTTTAAGTGTTTCGCCTTGGAAAAGTAAGATGTGTATCTTTAAAAAGGGTACTAATAGGAACAATTGTATAATAACAATTGATGGTATCCCATTGGAAGAAGTATCTAGTGTGAAATATTTGGGTATGTGGTTAGACCGATCTTTAAAATGGACAAAACACATTAACGAACTATATGCAAAAGCACATAGATATTTAAACATTTTAAAAGTACTAGTTGGCCCGGGGTGGGGTGTACACCCTAAACATTTACGACGACTGTATATTTCAATAATTAGAAGTCGCTTAGATTACGGCAGTTTTCTTTATGATAGTTCTTGCAAGTCAAAATTATACAAATTAGACAAAATTCAGAATGCAGCTATGCGTATAATTGGAAGTTTCGTTAAAAGCACTCCCATCCACGTAATGGAAAGCGAACTCTGTATCGTGCCCTTACAGATTCGTCGACTATTTCTAGGGGGTAAATTTTGGCTTAAATCGATGTCCATGTCTAACAATTGCACAATCAATGTTATAGAAGAATTAAACTCACTTATTTCACGTAGATACTGGAGACGTAAAACGATCCCTATTCTCCTTACAATAAAACTCATTTTATAATATATATATATATATATAATAACACATTTAAGGATATTAATATATATTCACAATTAAATTTGGAAATGTTCTCATTAGATTATTGGATTAACTGGTACAACTTAAATGATGTAGTGAAGCACAATATTGAAGGTATATGTGGTGATAAGAGAAACTATAACCCTTGTCTGCTCCGGGAACACTGCTCCCTATATATCAAAAGCAAATATGCTAATTATTATCAAGTTTTTACCGACGGTTCCAAAGAAAGTTGTTTGAGTATGGGTGTTGCGTTTTACGATCCTCAGATTAATCAGAGTTTAAAATTTAGAATTTCTCACAATATGTCCATTACTTCTCTCGAATTGATTGCCATTTCAGAAGCCCTAGCATATATCAAATCAATAGATGCCAATAAATTTGTAATTTTAACTGATTCAAAAAGTGCGCTTCAACATGTGGCTCGGTGTACCTCTTATGTAAGAGCCATGCCGATAGCGTACGACATTATAAAATCCCTTTTTGAACTAAAATCAAATTCAAAAGAGGTGATCCTTCAATGGATTCCTTCACATATCGGGCTGGCAGGTAATGAGGAAGTAGATATATTAGCAAAGCAGGCTACTAGCGATGGTGTGCCCATAGACTTGCTGCCCTTTTTCACTGATTGTATACATCTGATTCGAGAACACGGCTATAAGCTTTGGAAGGTTCATTTTGATGAGCGATCAGTTGAGAAAGGCATATGGTATAGAACATTGCAAAATGAGCCTTGGAAGTCTCCATGGTTTGACAAGTGTACATTGAGGAGGCAGGTATTAACTATAGCCTTTAGATTGCGTTCCGGGCACATTCCACTTATTAAAATTGCGTACATGATGAAAAAAGTGACATCTCCCCTTTGTTCTGAATGTGGGATATTAGAAGATGCGTTACATATTATGGTGGAATGTGTTCGGTACGAGGATATTAGAAATGATATGTTGTTTATAACAGAGAATTTGAAAGACATTAGAGCCTGTAACCAAATATTAGCTTTTCCCCTTTCAGAGGCAGCAAAAGCGATTTACAAAATTGTTGATATCGGTATGAGGCGACGTACGAGTATCTTATGTATATGATTGTTCTATTAATTGTTAATATTGTATGTACTGTATTCTAATTGATGACCTTATGGAGTGATGTAGTCCGAAAGGACTAAAACTCCTTAAATAAAAAATAGATCTCAATTAGCCCTTTCGACCTACGTCAATAGGGAATATGCACGTGACACCAAAATGGACAAAATATTTTTATTTGTAATTTTTATTGCTAAAAAAAGATACCCATACAATTATTTTTGAAATTTATTATAATTTAATAGTGAAATTTAATCATCAAAAATTGGCTTTTTTAAAATTCCCTCGCAAATTTCTAAAACGCAACGCTATTGGTTGAATAAAACGTGACGTCAACCTACACTGTCAAGAGTGTCAACAAGTTGTGTGTATTTGTAATATTTGGTTTCTAGTGATTATTTGTTTCATTTTAAGTTAATAACTAATACGTTTTCAGTGTTAAATTATTAAATTCCCGTGTAGAAAGACTCAACACAATTACTGAATATACTTTGTCAGGTGCAGTTTTGATATTATTTGGGCACAAAGAAACGGTACAATATTTATAATAAGTTTTTATTGGCTGTTCCATGGTAATAAGTTAATTTTTATCACTCACTTTTTAACTTTCAGAAACTTTGTGAACTTCACTCCGTTGTTGACATCGAATTCGTCTGAAAGTGTAATCTGACGTCACAAAAAAAGCGCGCCAAAATGGACGTGTTCAAATTGCCCCAAAATGCTGGTGATTTTAATGAAAAAAAAATTGTGTAACGGTTTATATTTCGGATGTGTTATATTTATTTTTGGTAATGTAATAACTAGTAGAATCGTTTAAATAAATAAAAAAAATACATGCATATTCCCTATTAATTTATAAGCCCGTTTTTCGTTTTCCCAGGAAAATGTGCCTTTGGTAGTTTGATGTGTCTTTACTCTTATTTCTAGGGAGTAGTCAGTAGTTTAAGGGTACAAATCATGTACACTTAGTGCAGATTTTGCATTGCAAAGCTGAGCTCTACGAAAACGTTTTTTCGACGACTTTTTATTAAGCGTTTCATGACTTTACAAAGTAAACTTCCAAGCCAAGAGGAAGCAGCTAACTATTTTACGGATCTCCCTGATGTACGCCTCTGCCTATTATAATGTCTTTACCTTCCTTCTCTAGTTTTATTTTAGCCTTGCTGTTATCGTAGATATTTTTTATTATTCTGATGTATTTGTTTTCAATACCTTGGTTTTTGAGTGCCTGCCAGATTTTTTCATGCTCTATTGTGTCGAAAGCTTTACTGTAATCTACAAAGCAACAATAGAAGATTATGTTGTATTCTTTGCCTTTTTCAAATAGTTGTTTGATAACATGAATGTGGTCTAGAGTTGAATATCCGCTCCTGAAACCCGCCTGCTCTCTTGGTTGGTTTTCATCTAATGTATTATTCTGTAGAGTATAATTTTTGCGAAGATTTTATATATATTCGACATCAGACTTATAATTATTAATGTTGTTTCTATCTCCTTTCTTGTGTAAAAGTACTATTGATGATGTTGTCCATTGGCAAGGTATTATCTCGTTATCTAAGACTTGATTGAAAAGATGTTTGACAATTGGTATTAGATGGTTTCAATTTAGGATGAGGAACTCTTTGCTTATGCCATCCGCTCCTGGAGCTTTATCTGCTTTTTGAGTTCTCACAGCTCTTTCCACTTCCTCGCTTATTATGTCCGGTACTTCACCTCCTCCTGTTAGGATTGTTGTTTGTGCAGTGATTTTCCTTGAATATAATTCTTTCTAAAAAACTAGAAATACTGAACAGAAATGCAAATAAAAATCACAGAATATAAAATAACATGCTAAAATACAGGTTTTGTTTGTGCCAACTATAAACTGAGGAGGTTCAAGGTTAAACTACCTGTTTAATGATCTAAAAAATATTCTTAGCATGACACATGTTAGCTTCCTACAGGTTGACTCAGATTAATTAAATAGCTTTGAGAAATAATATAGATTAAACATAATTTAATCAGTTCATGAGATAATTAATAAAAATAAAAATGTAAATAACTAACTTAAAACTAGAATAAAATCAGTAAAAACAAGCGTTAAGTCTTTAAAAATATTCTTACTGCTAATGGTTACTAATTAGCAAAATTATGCGAAGGAATGATTAGACTTAAAAATATTTAGATTTCTACAATGTTAAGAGAGCTTTTTTTTAAGTTGCAAGCTTGTAATATTAGCTCTATACAAAATTGCACAGTCTAGAAAAGCTGTTGTTGGCCATAGTTTTATTTCCCACTTAAGGAATTGATAAACATTAATGGAAGAGCAGGCATTGTCTAAATACTAAGAGTTGAATACTAAAACCGTTTAATCAATAGTAGTCTTCCTAATGAATGATGTGAGGGATGATATCTCACTACTCGCTCTCTCACCAGGCGAAGGGCTGAATTATTTTTCCTCGCTTAAATTCTGGGTATCCGAAGCATTTTCCACAGCTGGCCAACGCTTATGACTTGGTGCATATAGCACCAACAAAGCAAAAATATAGATATTCCACATTCCATAAACACCAGTAAAAAATGCAGAGGTATACTCTAATTCAATATTATCATCCCATTTCCACCGGCCCTCTGCAACCTGTCCTAACATGAAATCTATTACTGTCAGTGCAGCACATAGTAGTGTAGCCAGCATAAGAAATTTGAACCTGTAGATAATTCCTTCATTGTGTAAACGTCTCACTGAACACATAGTTGGTAGTGACTGTCTCTTATATGAGATATTCATGAAAACTTGCCATATCATATAACACAAGAATAGGAAATAAACTGCAGTCGAGATTCCAGCCAGAATAATAAATGTTAGAGCCAAATTAGTACCAATATCAGTCACCCGGATAGAGTAGAATGGGTTTCGAAGCTGTATGCCTCTTTCACACATATCAAATATGAAAAGTGAAATGCAACCTATGGCAACAGCACTTAAATGCTTCCAGTACTGTTTTAGAGAACTCTGGGTGGAGGCATCTTGTATCAACATATGTTCTCCAGCAAAAACTAACCAAAATGAAAAGAGTGTAGCATAAAACACACCCTGACGGATATCACCTAATAATAACATAAATGGCAAGTCAAATTGTAGCGTTAAGTATTCAATGGGCATGTTTAGAAAGCAAAGAGCTATGCCTAGACATAAAAGCATTTTCTCCAACAATACAGGCTTTCGAGAAAGAATGTGAATTCGCCTCCAAAACCAAATCAATATAGCAATAATGCATGGGAAAAATACTGTTTTCAACGACAGCCAAACTTTTGTAAATCCTCCATTTTGATTAATTACAAATAACCACATATCTTGTATATGGCGAATGTGAGAATTCATAGTAGGTGTATCTACAGGTAATCTCACATTAAGAACATAGAAATCGTGAAACAAAGAACCAAGCTCAAATAATGGTATAGCTGAACAGTTATATAGATATTCCTCACTTTTAATATCAATTTCACAGTCTAAATGGCGTTTTTCGATAGATTGTGTATATAACTTCCAATCGTCCTCGGGGTCGCCTTTATTCCTATATGCTAGGCGTGCGTCAATTGTAACTGTACTCCTCGGTGGCATTTCGACCTGCGAATGGTATTTAATATCCATTTGCAATACTCCGATTAAGTTTTGTTGCCATCTCGAATAGTCCAATGTCTTGCTCTCTCTAGGAAGCGGCATTTGAAAAGCGAAAACTATATCGGTTTCCAACAAGTCATGATGCGTGTAGCCAAGGTTGACATTCTTGCACGAGCCCTTCCCACGGTTATAAAACCATTTTGTAGTGTCATTTTTCACTGTAGTTGTATCTTTACAAACTGTGCCGAGTATGCTCTGAACGTTTGCAGGCATGGGTGCGACCAATCCGATAAGGAAACATGTTAGTTGACACAATAACAGGAAACTCACTAAGATGGCGAGTTTTCTACCACTTAAGTTCTCAATTATCGTTCCAGTCATATTGTAGGCGTTAAACTGGCGATATACATTTATACTCGATTCAACACGACGTAAATCGACCGGTCATGACTTCCATTGTTCTTGTTTTCTTTTCGACGCGACGTATTTGACATTTTTTTTTTGTATTTTTATGGCTTGGTAACAAGACCTTTAAGCCAAGTCTGAATTTTTGATAGATAACTTCACTATTTTCCCTTCACTTCAATGTTCAATCTCAATCAAAAGTGCATTTGACAGATGTCAAATATTTCCACATGTATTTTTTATGAAATTGTAAATTGGTTTGAAGCAGTCCACATTTTTTAATAAATCACTAAGGCGGAGGAGGGATCGATTGGTGTCAAAAAAACTTTCACTTCATTAAGTTCACTGGCAAGGATTAAACGGTCTAAGGAATACGCTGGACACGAGAAGATCACATGATCTACATCACCGACACTACCACATTTGATACATTTGTCATCTTCAATTATTCCAAGTCTGGATAAATGCGCAGGAGTCTTAGAATGACCAAAACGAAGTCGATTGATTGTGGTGATAAAGTCACGGCTGGCACTTGGTAAACAATAAAACCAAGGCTTGCATGGTAAGTCTTGTTGGATGTTCCCATACCATTTTCCCTTCACTTCCTGATCCTTTTTCCAGAATTCTTTCCATAGCTTCTATACATCATATTTTACGGTTGAGTAACAATCTGTCATGGGTATATTTACAAATAATGATACATCCAATGAATTAATTCCTTCATATGCAGCCTTGTAGCCGCTTTTCTTATCAGGCGGACTACTCACCGGCTGACCCAGTGGAGAGATTCACAAGATTACCTCAGGGCGCCTTTTATTAAACAGAAGTGTGTGCGTGTGGGATACCTACGGGACCCCTTAGAGAGAGACAACTTACACCTCAGTCATACATACATGTATATTTCAATAAAAAATCAGTTACAATAAAAAATAGTGGGTATATAAAAAAAAAAACCGCAGCGGCGCGCGTCAGAGCCGAGCTGATGCTGCTCGGCGCCTCCCCGTCTTCAATCCAGGAGGTCACTTCCCCTTCCGCCCGAGTCGGCTATTTATATTAGGTATAAAGGAAGGTTCACTAATGATATAAATAAAGTTAACGAGAAGTACGTAACCCTTGAGTACGGCTGTCCGCTTGTTTGGTGAGCCGCACGACTGCCAGTTTGCCAGAGGGTACCAAGAAACTTGATTTCGCACCAGAAGGCCACAAATGAACAAGCACGCCGTCTGAGACTGACCGTCTTGACCCGAAATCTGGGACCCTACGAATGGATTAGCACTCATATTATCGATCAGGTTCCAGAAACAAGTAAGTACAAGAAAATTATGAATATACTCACCACTTGCGTGGGTACTTTGAACAGATAAAATATTACGAAAATAAAATCACCAGACAACAAAATACTATTTAAGATTGGAAGACAAGAGTTAGCAGAGTGTCCCCTGTGGCTGAAAGCCGGACTTATATATGTTCGGTTTGTGAACTTTCCAGAAAGAATCCCTACTTTAACATTTCAAACTGTCACTCAAATTATTATCTAGGTTAACACGAACTAAATCAAAAGTAACTCGCTTCCTACCATAACAAGACACTTTTAACACCTATACAATTTGTCAGGATAAATTAATAAAATGACTTACCTATAAAACAAACACCATCTAGTGGTCCGATGGCGGACGAAGAACAACAATACTATAGTTACAAACTACTTTAGATAAATCAACAAATGCGACGAGGGGGGGGGGGGGGGGGCAATAAATTTCGCCTTCTACAACTCCGTATGCAATACAAATATACAAAAAAAATAACTGTTACAGCCTTATCAGCTATTTCATTGCCTGAAATTTCTTTATGTGAAGGAATCCACATAAGAGAAATTTCCAGGCCTTTTTTCATGCAATTATAAATAATTTCTCTTATTTTAAAAATCAAATATGATGATTTAAAGTGAATTTGTGAGCTTTCTAAAGATTTAACTAAACTTAAGGAGTCGGTAAAAATTATTTTTTTTTGTTGACCATTTACAAACGAAATGATCTTAACTGCTTCTAAAACTGCATAAGCCTCTGCAGTAAATATACTACAATTACTATTCAGAACAAAACTTTGAACGAATTTAGTCTGAGGGTTATAAACAGCACTACGAACATAATTTTCCAATTTACTGCCATCAGTATAGAGTGTGTAGAAATATCTATTTTCTAACATATCCTGATTATTATTAATGGAATGGGTTATTATTGGGATTTGATACAACAAACAATCATAAGAATAAGAATAACAATGCCAAGGAGATATTGCATATATTGATGGGAAGTTTTTCATCATTTCCAGTAGTATGCGGGTCAACTCGGGAAACTGCCCATTGAAAAGATCAGCCCCTGATGTCAAGGGATCATTGCAGACTAACTCGCAAGCTACAATTCTTTTGATTATATGTAGGTTATTTGAAGCTAATAACTTAATACTATATCTTTCTGCAAGAAATAACCTTCTCAATGTTAGAGGCATGATATTTGTTTCAACCTCCATTGCTCTGATGGGAGTTGAGCACATAGCTCCTGAAATGATCCTCAAAGCCTTGTTCTGAATAATATCTAATTTATGTACATACCTACTATCTAAGTAAGATAGACAACTATAATCAAAATGACTTCTAACTATGGCTTTATAAAGAATAGATAGTATCTTTGGGTCTGACCCCCAAGATACCCCTGCTAGACACCTCATAATGTTTAGAGTTTTGAGAGATGTATTTAATGTGCTTCTCAAAAGATAAGTTATTTTCAATAACTATGCCTAGAAATTTATGATGGCTCACTTGAGGAATAACTTCATTATCAAATATAATTTGATTATTTGGGGAGTCCTTACTAAAAATCAAAGCACTACTTTTAGATGGATTAATTTGTAGAGATAATTTGCCGTTATAATATGAATGTAATTCCTCAAGTGCATAGTTTAGTCTATTAATAGCAATATCTACATTATTATTTACAGAATATAATACAAGGTCATAAGCAAACTGTAAAATATTTACAAAATCAGTATTTACATATTTACAGATCTCACTGGTATACAAGTTGTATAGCAGCGGGGATAAAATTGCCCCTTGCATCGTGCCCTTGGACACAATTCTTGGGCCATGTAATATGTTGTTATGTCTTACATATAGTGTGCGGTTAATTAAAAATCATGCACCCATTTTGCAAATAAACCAGGTATACCTAGATCAATTAACACCTTAACTAATATTCCAGGATGAACATTATCAAACGCTCCTTTTACATCCAAAAAGACACATACAGCATTTGCTTTACTATTTTTTGCATATTTCAGATCAGATAAAAGGCATAAGAAACTGTCTGCACAGCTCCTGCCCGGTCTGAAACCATATTGAACATGTGGAATGATGCCTTCAGATTCAACAAACCAATCAAGTCTGCTTTTAACAATATTTTCAAAAAATTTACCTATACAAGATAGAGAAATGGGGCGATATGAATCAGCGCTATCTGTCGGTTTATCTGGTTTAAGGACTGGTACAACACACTGAGTTTTCCAAGAGTGAGGAATTATTTGTTTTGACCATAAAGCATTGAATATTTCTAATAAAATATCTAATACAGTTGAATCTAACTTTTGTATTAGAATATATGGAAAAACATCTAAACCTGGACTAGTATTTTTACGAGACTGAAGACTTAACAGAAATTCGAATCTTGAAAAAGGTTCTAACAAAAATTTTGATTTCTCATTATTATTTTTAAGATTATAGTACATATCTAGATTGTCTACAGTAATTGAGGTATCTGCCGACAATTTATCCATAAAATAAGCTATAAATTCGTCACTGTATGATCTGATATCTGATCTGATATCTATACCAATGACCAACCATCCAGCCCGCATACCTCCCGCTTCCTCAGTGTCCAGCCTGTCCTGTTACTTGCACATCACAGGAACTGATGGAGGCTACTGAAAGTGCCGAACTCGTCGCCAAATTTTGGGCCGACTCAATTCGAATTGTCATCGACACGCTAAGAAGAAGAAGAGACATTTGATTGTATTTTTCCCAATCTGCTTTACTATATAAAAATTTATCGATAGGTGAGTTTACTTGATATCTGTCAACTGAAAGACTAATATTGGTTATAGATGGAAAATGATAACTGCCCATATTATTATCATGTACTGACCACTCACAAAGAGTAATACAAGGACTGGTTAAAGTTACATCTATAGCAGAAGGGCTACGATTAGGATAATTAATCTTGTAAATGAGCCATCATTTAATATACATCATATAATCTAGGAATACACTCTTGCTTGAGCGTGTTTAAATACTGACAAAAACATTCATAAGAAAATATAGGATTCTCTTTATCCACAGTAAAATCTTTAAATAAAGTTAGAGACAGGTGCAAGAAAGGAGCCTCCCCGAGTGACGTATCCACTGATCTACTATACGTCCGGCGCACCCTGGGCAGTCAGCGAATCCCCACGCTGACTGGCTAATCCTTTCACCACGATGACAATTCCAAGTCCACCAATAACACCGGCTTTGTGCGTAGTCTCGATTAACATCGAAGGGTTCTCTCAAGATAAATCAGAAATTCTTTCCAATTTATGCCGCAAAACTGGCTGCGACATTCTTTGCGTTCAAGAGACCCATCGAGATGAAACCCAAAGCCGGCCACACATCGATGGACTCACGCTTATCGCCGAGATCTGTCACCCAAAGCACGGTAACGCAGTGTTTGCTGCTCCAGGCGTAAGCATACTTTCCACCAAATGCTCAAACGAGAACGGCATAGAAATTATCACAGTAGATGTTGGTAATTGCTCCATCACTTCCATTTATAAACCACCCGGCACCACATTTAACTTCACTCCGCCAGAGAACTTTAGTAGCCAGCCAATTAAAGTTGTAATCGGTGACTTTAACAGCCGCAGCACCAACTGGGGTTACAACGACA